TCAACAGCCGAGTGTACTTTAACCTCAGCCGATAAACGACAACAGGATTGAGGCCTGGAGACAATAGAAACTGTCACTTTTTTTTTTTCCAAAAAAAAAAACAACTAGACAATCAGTATTGGCTCAGGACAATAACGACTTCTCTTTTTATGACCTTATAGCTTGGTGTATCTTTACTTTTATCTTTTTGTTTCGAGATCATTATTCCATTTCCCAGTATCAAACGTTGATCAAGTCACGATCTATCTCCACATACAAGTCAACGACATCGAAGTACAACGACTACAAGCAGTACAATATCACTCAAGACACCATGTCGCTCAACTCAGACGTTCCTAGAACCTCTAATGAGGTGGCTTTAGGTCACTTTGTTTTCCAAACAGTTTCTCAAGATATGATCAACTACCTTGCTCAAAAGGCAAGAGAGGTCATTCAGTGCGAACCCACACAAATCTCCTCAAGTCAAGGTCCCTCACCGCCTCGAACTCCCCCTCAAGAGAAAAGATCAGCATCAGATTTACCGTCGTTAGAGAGATTCATTACTTCTTTGATAAAGAGATCCAACGTCCAAGTACCTACACTCATGACAAGTTTGGTATACCTAGCTAGACTAAAGAAGAGACTGCCACCAGTTGCAAAGGGTTTAAGATGTACAGTTCACAGAATTTTCCTCGCCACATTGATCTTATCGGCCAAATTTCTCAACGACTCATCACCAAAGAACAAACACTGGGCCGAATACTCGAATGTCCGGGGTTATCCAGACTTTTCATTCACTAGGACAGAAGTCAACCTCATGGAGAAGCAGTTACTTCAGCTACTCAACTGGGATTTGATTGTCAGCTCTGATGATCTCTATACTCATTTGGAGCCATTCCTCACGCCAATCCGATTTGACTTGGACCGAAAGCAAGAACAATGTCGCCTTCGCGAAGCACGTCTACAAGCTCAACGAGAACAAGAAGCTCTCGCAATGCAAAACATGTCCTTCGATCCAGCCGGAAGATACTGGGTTCCAACCACCGAAGAAAAGTACATGCCATACTATGGCGAACAACAATCCCTCTTCACTACCGAAGACCCATACAACCACTACTCACCACCATCCTCATCTGAGATTCCCGGTCTTACTAGAAGCGGTACCGCAGATACCCTTGATGCCATGTCCTCTTCCGCCTCATCTTACATCTCCGAATTATCTCGCTCCGGTACACCTCTATCATCTGTCAGCAGCTACCTTGACGAGAACGATGCCATGCAATGCGATACCTACTCCCCTTCAGGTGTTGCCCGCGACGTTGTTACTGTTCAAGTTGCAGGTGCCGATGGAAAGCTCAGACCTATGCTTCCTTACGAAATTGACAACATGGCTCATCATGATAACATGGCAATGGCAGAGGAAAAGCGTCGCGCGGCCAAGAAGTCAAAGGGCAACTTCTTAACACGATACTTTGGTGGTCAAAAGACTCTCTCCACTGCGTGAAGTTCTTCTGCACTTCTCATTCTGGTTTCGGATCGGGAGTTTATTGGATGGATGGAAGAAAATGGCTTGTTTGATTTACGATTTTCTTTGTATCAATTGATGAATTTTCGTCTTTTTTTTTTTTTTTTTTTTTTTTTTTTGGCTTTTATCGAACTTGAGAATTGGGTCTCATGAGCATGAGAGTTTGCAATATATTACATCCTGCATCGCTAGGAGTTCATTGGGCGTTTAGATTGGAGTTCAATCATATCACATCACATCATGGATGGGAATGTGGAAAGAGATGTCAAAAGGACCGTCTTGATCTTCAGGATGAAAAAACAAATCTGGATTTCTTTTGCCATCTGGAATTGGGTTGGATGTCTTTTTGACAGGAAGGATTGGGATGGATGGATGGATGGATTGGAACTTGGGCACGGAAATACCCTGAGTTATTTGAAGTGCATATACGCTGGGATTGGGTGAATATACGTGATAACGTTAACTTCACATAAGCATGGAATGGTATTTGGTAGCATTAGCATAGAGTTTGAAGGTCTGGTCGGACCTGATCGGCATGGATCTGATCGCTTGTGTTCGTTGGGGAATACAATGAGAGGTGGATTTTAATTATTAATATGTTACACTTCTACCAAGTTTGTCTGTGCCTCTTATGTGAATTTTGTGAGACTGTGAGGATGAATGTTCTGACTCGTATTGTATGGGAAAGGTGAGGTGTTGGTAGAAGTCTACTAATGTGTGAATTCACTTAAGAGGTCGTTTGCTGCTAGCACTAACTAGGAGACCATTTTCGGGAAATACCTGCTTCATTTATCTTTCTTTTGTGTCTATTCTTCTAAAGATTGCATATCAAATTAAGCAAGAGTTGGTTTGACAAGAGATTGAGAGATTACATTAGGGTCCTCGATAGATTAAGAGATTATCTTGATTCTGGAGTGATATTCCAGTGTCTATCACCAAAATGGCTGTACTCAGTAAGAAGCCGTGTTGCAAACAATCTGTTCGATATGAGTGATTGAGAAGGTAGGAACCACAGGTGACTTTCGGTACTGTTCGAATATTGAATTATTCTTCTTGCTTGAGTTGGGGAGTTAGATGCGGGAAATCTTTCTGAGATGGTGTTTGCAACGAAGTCAGACAAGGTGTAATTTCGTTTCATATTCGTGATTATTTCAAATAATTGAAATTGATTTATTGTCTTTGCTGGAATTGGAAATGGATTTGATATGGTGTGCTATGTTGTAATCTTACCATTGTGTAGATTTACCAGTCATTGCTCTCCTATACGAAGCGATCTCTGTGTTAATGGGTGCAAGTATTGCGTTTGAGATATGTGGTATTCGCAGGTTATAGTGAATGATGGGAACATGAAATGTGTTCTCGGGGAGTGAATACACTGGTTTGTTGTTTCCTTATATTTGCATCTGCAGGTTGAATGACGGAAATCAGTTGAGTATTCACTTTGTCATTATGCCATTGATTGCTCATGAAAGCACCTAGTCGATTCTATGAAGGGGACGGGGATTCAACAGATTCGCGCGAATTCGATTTGAGGTTGTTAGAAGATCTACTTATAATTTGGATTTTGAGCTTCTCATGGCATTTTTACCCAACAACCCAGAACTAGTCAGCTCTCACTCGAATAGCACTTGAAGAGAACCTTGTTCGCTTCTTGGAATAGCCGCCATGTTTAACAATGAAGTACCGCAACCTCGTACTCGGCTCGGGATTGGTCAGAAGAATTTAAGCGTGGCACTCATCCCATTATCATAATCCTCTGCTAGGTAGTTAAGGTACTTCGCTTCTCCCCTCGCCTAATCGGAGCTATAAAACAATAATCTGCCCCTCCAAAAAATTGACACCATTTACTAGGAAAGGGTCTTGTCATACTCCTCCACGGCGTTCCAATGGTTGGAAAAAAGGAGTACCTCTCTGTCTGGTCTGTTTTCCGGACTACCGATCACAATAGTATGATATTATCCTACGGTCAAAGTGGTAAGTTCTGATAGTTTTCCTTAGAGTACTGTAATATTATTCCGGAATTCTTTTTCTCGGCACCAAGCGAGTTGACGACTTCGACGGGACATTTACGTCTCGGCTCACATGATTGTGTACTATCCAGAGCCGAACAGGGAGCCGAAACTTTACATTCGATGATTCGGATATTATCAGTTTCGCGGAACTTCACTTCGACGATCATGAGCATGCTAGACGGAACAGTCGACAGAGTCGCAATTCATCTCAATGTCAAACAGCACTAGCTCTTGCCTAGTTTGATGCTTTGATTAAGTTATTCCCTGGGATTGAACAACAGTGTGTAGGTGCAGTTAAAACGGAATGACTTCACTACAATTTCAATCGGCATATCTAGGCTTTTCCGAATGTCTTAGCAATGAATTCGGCGCAGATGGTGATAAGAGGGGTAAGCACTCGTCTTTGTGCGAGGCTCGAGAAAAGTGAAGACTTCCCGAGCAAATTGATGCAGCGAGCTGCACAGGAATCACAAATATCTTTTAGGGGTTACCGAAATGAAAATTCTGGGTCACGATATAGCGACCATGAGTTTCAGCCCACAATCCAGCACATTAGCTTACCAAAATAGTGGGCATATGTCTCCTCAGCAGAATATTATACTTCACATCAGCACATCAATTCACTTGCAAGATTTGGTTAAGATAATCCCATTGGAGTCTAACAAGAGAACTAGACCTATGCTAAACCACTGGATCTTAAAAGTCTCATTGAGTTTGGAATAAAAAACCCTGGGACTTTTCGGTCTATGCCTATGCGAGTTAATATTTGGAAACCGTCATATTATTAGAAACGAGTATGAAGTCTTTTTCGAAGTAATTTTGGACTCTTAACAAGATTTCTGAATTTGTAATCTTGAAATCATTTTACTTCTTGATTCTTAACTCTCTACTTCATCTTTTCCTGTGAGTAAATTTATTGGTAATCAAGCAGCAATTGCAGATTAGACGGATCCTACTCTTGTGACTAGAGCTACTGTTGACTATTATATTTGACATGACACTGACAAGTTCAATGGATTTATTTGTGACAATGATTTCTGTTCTTGAAATAACTACTTGTCAATGGTCTATACTTGATACTATTGAGAGAAGTAAAGAATATAAATCTACCATACATATCTTCAGAAAAGAATTCCAACAGTAAGCGGTGTGTCCTCCAAGACGTATTCCTGCAGCCGCGTTTCTACGACTTGCAGCACGAAGCACATCCTATTGATTTTATTACCCTCATTAGCCTCGTTATAGTATGAATATTCTGATTATCCGTCTGATCAAAGGATTTCAGGTTCTATGAGTAGGCTCATACTCTGTACGCGCCTAGGTAGATAGACGATGCTTACGCCTGTTATCACGTGATATTATCATTTACAAAGCACATGGCAACCAAGGCTAACCCTCGTAGGAAGACGATTTCGATTAGTATCGCTATCAACACTAGGTCTACAGTTTCCCTATACATTCCCATTCTTAAACTAGCGGGCAAAATGCCTCCCAAACGCAAACCCTCCTCAACCCCCCCTCTCCATCCCCCCTGCACACATCCCCACGTCCTCACCACCTCGCACCCCTCGTCTCAATTTCCCCGCGTCTCTGCATCGCGTCGCGCAGCCGCCACCACAGCTTCCGGAATACATAAAACTGGGATTACAGATACGTACATTCATGATTTCGTATCAGATCTAGAGTTCGCATCTACATTTCCTGCCCCCTTGGTGCTGCAAGGGGATGCGTTGGAGATTGATGCGCAAGAGCCTGGTCAAAATTTTCGGGCATGGGAGAGAGGAAAACATAGGAATGCGGTGCCGGGAGTGGAGGAAGGGGGAAGGAGGATAATTTATGTTGTGGGGCCGCCGGGGATGGATGGGGAGGAGATAGAGAGGTTTATGAAGGGGTGGGAGGAGTGCGAGGTTGGGCGCGGTGGTGATAGAGTAGGAGATAAAGGTGTTGAGAATGAGAAAATGAAGATGGATGGTTGGATGTTGGATGTTGTCTTTTATCTTCAAGCTTTCTATCACGGTCTCCCGGTTAAACAAATGGATTCCTCGCTTTTGCAGTTCACACCATGGGAAGATACCTCTCCATCCTCAGCATCTAAATCTAAATCCTCCAAAGCCAAACCCAAATCCAGAACCACCTCCAAAAAGATCCCACCCACCTACATCAGCCTCCGCACCTCCACCTTCAAAACCGGGATCCGCTACCGCCTCACCCCCTCCTCCCCATTTACCCACCAACTAAATCTCTCCGACCTCCTCGATCTCGCCATCGACATCCTACCCTCAGACGCATACGCACTACTCATGCTCGTAAACCACGATTTATACGAAGACGACGACGATGAATTTGTCTGCGGGAGAGCTTACGGCGAAAGTAGAGTAGCTGTTGTGAGTACCGCGCGCTACAGACCTGAATTAGATGCTGTGCAGGGAATCGAGGGAATCCATGCTTGGCCGGGGAGTCACTGTATTGAATATATGAACGAGGTGTGTGGGATTAAGAAAGGGAAACGGAAGAGAGGAGAAAATGAAGATGCAGATAAAAATGATGAATGCGCAATAGCAGGAAGTCCTCTAGCACGCGCAGTAACCCAACAAAACACTCTCCCTCCACTATCTCTATCTCTATCTCCCATTGTTTCTGAAGACGCACTGAAAGGTCTATTCCTCAGCCGTATATGTCGCACTGCGTCTCATGAGCTGGGCCATTGTTTCGGAATCGCACATTGTCCTTATTATGCATGTTGTATGCAAGGGAGTGCGTCGATACAGGAAGATGCGAGACAACCTCCGTATCTGTGTCCGGTGGATTTGAAAAAGGTGGTTATGGCAACGGGGGCAGATGTTAGAAGGAGGTATGAGGCGCTGTTAGGGTTTTGTGAGAGCCATGGGAGCGCGCATATGTTTGTGGCGTTTGGAGAGTGGATTCGAGGAAGGTTGGAGCAGATAGAGAGGGTAGAGAGGGGTGAGATCTTGGACTTATTGGGGTGAGGCTTTGGAATTGCATGCGGATGACATGGTTTCGATTATTTTCCTATGGTTCATTTTAATCTTTATTCTAATCTTTGTTAATCGTACGGTAAATAATGTTTCCTTTCAATGTCACATAGATCGATCCTTACGACGTATATTTAGGGGTATAAAAATCTGATATTTCTAGGTAGCCGCGGGTATGCTTGGTCCCTCAAGGGCGTTCCACCCAGCCAATTCAAAGCCATCACTAATGTGCTATCTCAAGCTTCCGGAACCATTGCATCACATGTAATGATACCTTGTAGTTCCAATTCAAAACTCCAACCAGTTTGAAGCATGCCAGCATTATTCTTCAACCTAGAACGTGTACCACTATTCCCACTCATCATCTTGACTTTTCCTTCTTTCATCATGGCGAGCCTCCTAGCCCTGCAATCTCATTAGTGACTATTTCAATTTGGTAGATAAATATAGGAAAAGCAAAAGCGACGAGAACGATTGGGAGGAAAGGAGAACTTACCAGCAGCCATAGCTAAATACCACGTACGACTAGCTCCTCCATCTAACCAACTGGCATCAAATTCTCCCTGCGCAAAGAAGTTCCACGACGCTCGAGGATCAATAATCGCCAGATTAGCATATAAAACGCCCCTCCAGCCACCAACCACGCTATCAGCCCTCCCATTTGAAAAGTAAGTATTCCATTCTTCCGTAACAAATTCCTCTGTTCTGATAAGTGTTGAATGTGGAAGAAGTGGAAGCATGTGAATTCCCTGGACCAACTCTGGAGCTGCCCCAAAGTAGGTAACATGGTCGAGTTTGTTCTCGAAGAGAATGCCCGATACTTTGTTGCCGATATAATTGGATGGTTGAACCGTATTTGTAGATTCGTAGAGGAAGTAGTTCTGTAAGGATCGGGCAGTGACAGCCAGTTGTAGATTTCCTCTCGCTTCCATATTTGAGTCTCCTATTGTGCGACCCCACATTTTTATGGCGTAGGCTGATAAACTATCTTCAGATGAAGATTCTTCGTCTTTACCATCAGCAGTTTCGTAAAGACCGTGAGCCCATGAGTGTCCGTGGTACCAATCGAAGTTACGGGAAACGGGAAAGTAATTGTCTTTGGCTGAAGGATTGGCATAGTCTCGTACCATTGTATTTACGTATGCTTTGTTGCTTGCTATCCAGGTAGGATCTAGGTATCCAATAATAGCAGCTGCATATACGAAATATGAGTAATGGAAATGGTGGTCGTTATAATATGTGTTTCCAAAATCAACACCTGAATCTCCAGTTTTGTATGATGCACTAGAGACAATTCCTCCCCAGGCGGCTAATTCCAATTAGTCTGAGCCATCTTGATTGCGAACAAATAGAACTTACATTCATATATCAAGGGGTATTGTTGCTGATTGTCAGTGAAACGTGCGAAGCTTAGCTTCAGGGTATTCAGACCTGCTTGTGCCAAAGCTGCATCTCCGACGAAATCATGAAGTGTGTATACGATCTGGGCGAATTTTGCAAGTGCCTGGGCAATGTTAACGAGATAATTGTCATCGGTGAGTTATACACACCTTCCCACTATAATACATAGAATTTAAGTCCGTTTGCTCCGTCATATTTTGCGAAATCTCACTGGCAGCGATATTTGCGATGGTAGATTTGGCAGCCGCAGAAAGCGAGTTCGAGCTTCCTTTCGTCGGACTCCAGGGCGCAAAGTTCATACTTAGTGGTAAATCCTCCTCCAACGTCCAGGAATCAGCAACAATAGCCGTCGCCATTCCCTTGGTTGTTGTCGCTAATTGCACTCCATTGGTTACACAGCAAAGGGTGGTACCATCAAAAGATTCTAAATGGTGCGGTAGAGCGAACATTGCCAAAGTGGTATCGCTCAATCCCGCCTTGTTGAAAGCAATTGTATAAGAACCAACCGCATCACTAACATGACCCGAAACGCTCGCAGAAATTGGATAAGCACCGCATGCTTCATCGAACATAGCTTCATGTGCAGCACTTGCACTTTTTGCAATTTGGATGATTCCATTAAAGCCACTACTAGCCTGAACCAGCCCATTGCTCACCGCTGTGAGAGTGAGATTTTGTCCAGAGGGTGAATAAGCATATAACAACCATGTCTTTCCATCTTCAAGTAGCATTGAGTACTTCGTGATTCCTCGCTTTGGAGGTGTGGGATCTAGAGTCAACGTTCGGAAGAAGACACCGCTTTGTAAGATCGGAGTAGCACCTGCAAAAGTAGCTGTCACAAAGCCCATTCCTTGAACCAAAGGAAATGTGATAGCAGGGGCGGCATCGGGAGTAGGACTTAAGTTGACATTGACCGAAAGATCAGTCAGAGAGTCAGTCGTTAAGGTTGTTGATGAGCCTAGTTCTGCCGCCGAAAGAACCAATGATTGTAACCCAGTTGGGTTTAAGAAATATGAAGCAGAATTTACTGTATTATTTGGTCCAAATACTCTTTGATTGGCATCTATATGGACGAGGGTCATTCCCCAGCTTTTGGTGGCACCACCCCCTTTTGACCAAGCAAGTGAGTATGGATGCGTCCAAGTAGGGGATGTTTGACTTCCTGTTTAATCATTAGTTTGCATTTCAAAGGCTCCTCCAAAGCGATGATTCTCGAAGATATCCTTTTCAAAATTCAACTTAGGAGACTACATACCGAGAAAGAAATTGGCGTAAAACTTGTTAGTATCAAGTGGTGCACTTTGTGGTTTAATTCCTAGCCGAGGTACTGGATGATCTGAGCGAGAGCCTAGATTAGACGGGGGAGGTGAGGTGTCGATTGGCTGGAAGATATTGGCATCTGCTGCAACGGTATTGATTTTAAAATTGGCAAATGTTGGTGCAGTAGGGGCCATCCGAGTTGTGGGTGAAGGGATTGACGATGTAATTATAGGAGGGTTGGTAGCGTGGCCAGATGTTTCAAGACTGGAAATAACTGTTCCTGTTGTGTCGAAAGAATCGGTACTCGGGGAGGGTAGAACTTGTACTGTAACCTGTACGGTCCCGGAGATTGAGGAAGTGGTCAGCACGGAGACGGATGGGATGACCGTCGTTGTTTTTATGGAAGAACTTAGAATCGCACCAGGCGAGGAAAGAAATAGGAATCCATCTGAAGAGGTTTCGTCCGGGAGAAGAAACTTGGGTTGAACAGGATGTATGTCATTTGTGATTAGCGAGGCATGGCCGCCTTGTCCTTGAGGAAAAGGTGCACCGCTCACAATTGCGGTAAGAATGTAAGGAACAAGAAATCTGATAGTTGGCTTCATACTTGAAACTTGTTGGCTACCAAAACACTAGGAAGAGTGCAAGTAGATTGTGGGAAAAGAAAAATAAGGTGGTAAGAGTTAAGAGTTCTTAAGTGATTTCTCGGCCTCTGTCAAATGATATAACTCGAGTGTAATTTGAAGTCTAATTTAGATATATCATTCACTCCTTCACCTCAATATCACTGGCAAATTGAACGTGCTTGTAAAATGAGGGGAGACTTCCCTTCTAGGTATGCTTGTTATGATTTTAGATAATAACAATTGAGATGCTAATAGGTGATAGGATAAGAATTCGAGCGTGAGTAATTCGATAGGTTTGTGTCAGATGAACAATCACCGAGCACGCTGGAAGCGATTTGGCAAAAATTCAATACTTGTGGAATGACGAGAAAGTTCGGCATCGTGAAGCTCGAGGAAGGTACATTCGGCCCGTTGTGTATCATCAGATTAATACTACTGACGGGCGTCCTGTCAATCGACGTCAGTATAGTAGTGTGATACATCACTACTTGAATGATGTATGATCATCATGGAGATAAGATTGAGATATCCAAAGGGGGATATTTTGGTGGTTGAGGAAGGCGCGTTGGTCGCGTGTCTGGAAAATGGTCAGAATGTCTTGGGGCCGGGAAATTTCTCGAAGAAAGTCGAGTTTGAGTCGAGGAATGTAAAATCTTACATCTCGACTTTTCCATAAACCTCCACAACTTCGGAGATAAATGAAAGTAAAAATAGGAGAAGGACAACATATTTTGCAATTGTGCTCTTAACAACTTCGATAAGTATCAGATGAGCGCGACTTTGTGATCATCTTTCCTGAACTAGACGATTTTGTCATTGGAAGCCTCAAGAAATTGTCTTACATTTAGGGCTCAGGTGCATGATATGTATAACATGTGTGACTGTTAGTATGATGAACATCTCTTGAAACTTTTCGAAGAGATGCAATTGTGAATATAAACCAAATCAGAAGGATATATGATATATACTGACGAATACTCGGAAGAAAAATGATGAATATCCATTGAAAGTTGGCAATCAACCCATTTGATAAGAATGCTGGGTACCTGAGTACACAGGTAAGTCGGGTTGGTACAGCTTCAATGTTTTGCGATTTGCACTTGACCTTAACCTTAGGCCAACCTCCCGGCTTCCTACCTCGGCCTGATCCACTTCGAATCATGTCTAAAATATATACTTCACTGTCGCCATTCAGAGAGGACCTGGGAACATGTATTACGTTGATATCTCTCGAGAAGAAAAGATCTTGTCAAACGTTTTCAAGCAATTTGCCAGCATCGCCTTGGCAAATTTTGATGTCCATCAATGGATTGCCAAGAGATAACCACATTCACGTGATATGGCTCAAATGATGATCATATGAAAGATGGCACGTGGGTGTAGTGTAATGTTTCCATGACTTATTTCTGGTGGAAACTTTGAAAATTCGGGTACTTCATGTCAAAGCAACAGTAGAAGTAGTAGAACAAGTGATTTGTTTGGCTTAACTTTGGTTGAAAAGTGTTAGAGCTCGTGATCTGAATTATTATCCTTAGCTATGGAGTGGAATCAGTGCAAATTGGTGATAATATTTCGATATTGAACGAGGCTGGAAAAATAACAATATCCAGTGCCATTAATATTCGCCAAACAACTACAGCTGTAGTATCAGCTCCGATATGTGGAAGACCCGGAGTATCTTTTTGATTGCGTCGATGCCTTAATCTTTCCGCGATGTGGTTATTGAGAGATGATAAGGCAAGTTTGGCTCTCTCTTGCACGACTCTCTAATTGCACTTGATACTTTCCCGTTTTCATTGCAGACGGCAACGATAAACCTATAGGCAATCCAGAGTACTATTGGAATACATAATGTGAATAGATTGTCTTGCCGGGAGGTCTCCAACAAAATTCAAGGGTGATGAACAATATCTATGCAGACATTCCACATCAGAATAGGTTGACCAGAAAGAATTCGCTGATATTTCCGAGAGAATGAGGAGGCTCATATGGTCACTTATTAAGGGCACATATAAAGCTTCATTGTACTGCTAGATTTAGTACTGGAAAAAGGACCTGTGCAAAAGAGATGTCCTATGGTCCGGGACTTGCTAGGATAACAAACCTTCTTCGCTTCTATGTAACTGTTTAACAACAACTCTTTTGTGCGATCCCAATGGGTTGTCTCCGTTCTAGAAAATACCAGCAAATTTACAATAGTTATCTTTCAATCGTATCACTAGATACATCGTATAATGTACGCACAAGTATGCTTCACCAGACTTGCCACAACACACCAATATGGAATTCTTGGTTGTGCATATATGACATTTCCAACATGTGCAACTTCTCCACTAATAATATAGCCCATCCCTACTATCATCTTACCAAGGCAAGGCACCACCATCGTACTGATGGATACCGTCATTCTTTTCCAGCCTGCCACTCGAATATTCAAAAACTCGCCATTCGACTCTTTTCCATTTGACTCGATAAGCTCAATAACAGCCTTTGCGCCAGTTTCTACATCGAGATCTGCGGAGGCGCCTCCTAGATCAGTTCGAAGCCACTAATCGCTCAAGTTAGCCAATCTCTAGTTTAGAGTCTACCTTCATTCAAGTGGATCTCAAGCATTATAAAAAGCGGCAAAAATCTTACACTAGGATTGACTGGAAGATAAGTAAACCCTTCATCGGCATAAGACTGTGCGTACGGAACTGTAAGCATGTTCAAGGCCGCCTTCGAAACTTTGTAGGCTGGAAGTGCCATGTTACTGTAAACAGGGGACCGCTCGATTGAACCGCCACTGCTGCTCCTGAGTTCTATTGTCAGAACCTGCTTTCAAGTGTAGAATATGTTGGTTACTAACATGTTGATGACTTTCTTCTGAGCTCCTTGCTTTAACAGAGGAAGAAATGTGCTGGTGACGATATGAGCGCTTGTGACATTTGAATTAAGTACGGATTCAAGATCGTCCCTAAGAATCAAGGAGTTAGAATCTCAAAACAGACGTTCTGAAAGAAGTGAAAGAATCCGCATGAAACTTACATGGCATGTATTCCAGCCGTCATCCGATTTATTACTCCAGAATTATTGATTTAAACATCGATGCCTTTGCTGTCTAAGAGAGCAGCAACCTGCTTCTCCGCTTTTGTACACTCGATCTATTGGTGGCATCGAGCTTTATGTACTTGACGGTGCTTGGAGATGACTTTATCAATTCTTCAAGGGCAGGAGTGGGATTGCCTCGAGCAGTTGCAAAGACCAAATAACCGGCCTTCGAGAATTCGGAAGCAAGAGCCAAGCCTAGCCCTCGAGAGCATCCTGTTATGAGAATCGTTGCCACCATTTTTTGTAACTAGTTGTCGAGAAGTGAAGTTCCGTACTGCGGTTACTTTACACTGGAGAAGATCTCGATTTGCTAACTACGTCATTGGCTTTTTCGCTTGTGACGCGATGTGACACTGACCCCGATGCCTCTTGAACCGCTTGAATTAGATTCTGTGCGATGTCTTAATCTAGGCGCGCCCTAAGATTAAGGAGCGATTCTTTCACCCTGCGTGGATCAGATGTACGAGAATAGAGTACCCACGTTTGCACCGTTGGAGATGGGAGTTTGCTGAGAGATGCCGTTGTGCCATATTCTGAAATTGATGGCAAGCGGGTTAGAATTCAGTGCTTTAAACCAGCAGGATATCCCGGTGAGATACCTTAAATACATTCGTCCACAAAAACGCGAAGTCTCTACCGATAACAAGTCGTTGTCAATTTGTGCGGATGTGTAAACTACGTTAGAAACTAGGTTAGCTGGTACAACAATGAGGCACATGTATAAGTCTTCAGAACAAATTGCAATAATGGCAAGTTTCTAGTCAAAATGCAATAGATACATCAACAACAAGGCCGACCTTCATCCGTCGCCGACGGGGTTTGAGTTGCCAATCGCTCTTCACACGATCCCAAGACATCAGAAGTCTGTCAGGGCTGGTTGCTGAGATTGAGTTACGATAATAGTGGTACAAGCGAAGCAAGAATGTAACATCAGACTTTGGAATTGCACAACGGGCGTCGATTTTGTGATTTGGGAAAAATTATGGTCGTATTGCAGTACGAGTAGAAAACCGTGAGGTCTCATCAAGGGAAGTATACAATGTTGAAATCCGACAGGAAGGGAGAATGATCTCCATTGAAACGCCTCTACATTGCAAGCACGTTGAGGGATAAATTTGGAGACATAATGCACTTCAACTAAAAGAAGGCATTTAGTGAACTTCAAGTACCTGGGCAACTCCTTGGTTTAGCACTTCCAGAAGACAAACAAGATAATGCTGATTTCATATTCCACTGAGAACCCTAGCGTTAATCATAAGTAGTTCAGCTTAAAAAACAAAGGAAGACTTCTTGGATATGTCCTTCTCTAAAACAGATTTCGACAATGCAAGCAAATATACAGAAATAACGTCGCATGCCAATCACGGCCTTCATTACATTAACGAATGAACAACATGGCTGCTCAATTGAGTAGCCAGTTTTATCGAGACCGTTCACTTCACATTGTACACCTAATTTCCAAATATTGTGAACATGCGCTTCTTTATCTCACGCTCCATGTTTCAATCCGAGGGGTATGATATTCATGTTATCGTTTTGATACATTTTTTGATACAATTGTCAACGCCGTTTTCCCATAAATCCTGAGAATATTTAGTGAAAGAACCTGCAGAAGGAGAAGAGCATCCTACCATTTCACACCAATTATTCATGTCATTCCATCCGAAATATCCTTCCACTTCCGCAGGTATGCTTCTCCACTGAAAGCACCTTTGGGATCATTTTCGAATCTTCCTCTCGGTGGCAATATCTTTTTTGTGACAAATGGTGTGAGCTAAATCACAGTCAGCATCCTGTAAAGCGTTCCAAATTGACCTCTTCGAATTCGTACTTTACACTCCTTAAGATTTGGCGGCACAACGTATGTCCTGACTTTATCCCACTCGATTATGTACCCTCCATGTTGTGTATGTCGACCCGTTGAACCACTTCCAGTACCCTTGTAGAACCCCTTATTTGCTTTCTTCGTACTCAGGGCATGTCGGGCTACCCGTTTCATTAGGCATTGTGTGGGCTGCATGATTGCGATTGATGGTTAGGAGTTTATTTTGGATTTTGCAGACTCAAGATGCTTCTCCAAAATTGTCTTTAGACGCTAAGGTTCGTCAGGCGGCCGCATTATCCGATTTTGAGCTACTCCATTAGGTTACCGCCTTTCTACATCAGCAGAAAAAAAGTTTCCCGATAAAATTGATAAAAGATAATCAACGATTCTAACTAAATATTGCGACAATAATTTTGAAAGCGCAATCATGCCTGGAAGACAATCGCATGGCAGAACGCTGTTGAAGCAGCCCAAAGTTCGAACAAAATCGAAGAATAAGACTATCGATGCATTTTCTGCCGCACAACAACAAATTGGGGAACGCCATCGAGTAAGACAAAGTCGATTGGGTCATGCTGAAGGCGGGAATAGACCTGGGAAGCGAGATAGAGATGAAGACGACGAAGATGATGGAGAAGACGAAGAGTTCAGTGCGAAGAAACAAAAAAAGGGTCCAGCAAAAGGTCGATTCGATGAGCTAGATATCGACGAGGGAAGCGATAGTGAAGGGAACACATGGAAAATGGGTGTGGTGGACAGCGATGATGATAGTGATATTGACAGTGACGAAGCTTTTGGGGAGAGTGACGAAGAAAGATTCGAAGGATATGCGTTTTCGGGGAGCTCGAGTAATAGAAAGAGTTCTAAGAAGCGTATGCCGCAAAATAAAGAATTAAATCTAGATGAGGATGATAATGGGGAGGACTCCGGATCAGAATTGGAGGAAGGTGATTTAGGAGAGGGTGCTGTCGATCTCGCAGATATGTTAGACGCTTCATCAGACGATGAGGATGAAGCTGAAGCCGAAGGCTCAGACCAATCCGGCTTTGACGACGAAGAAGAAAGCGACGAAGAGTCTTCCGCATCGTCTGCCGATGACGAAGATGAAGACGATTCTATGGATCCGTCGAAACATGCGGCACTACAAGATTTAATTGCGAATCTTCCACTCAATGAAAAAGCCCTCGTCAAACGACGAAATGATGGCGTGAGCGAATATGCTACCCCCGGAAACTTTGGTCTCCCATCGACAAAAGAATTCATCACAGACCTTGGCACAAGCAAGATTAACGATCGTTCAATCAAGAAGGCTCTCAAGTCTGAAAAGGGCGATGACAAAAAAAAGGTTGCTAGCACGTTAGAAGTACCTCTCGCTAGGCGTCAACAAGATCGTCTCGATCGTAGCGTAGCATACAACAAGACTAAAGAAACTCTGGATAGATGGACAGACACCGTAAAACATAACCGACGAGCAGACCACTTGGTTTTCCCCTTGGCAGATCCAGATGCAGATTCCGCACGCGCAAACACTCGACTTCAATCCACAGCACAATCCAAACCATTCAATGAGCTTGAAGCCACAATCCAGAGCATTCTTGAGGAGAGTGGACTCGCCACTGCGGGTGGAAGAGACGACGAAGATAAAATCCGAGAGTTTGAGGAATTGGAAATGAACAAACTATCCATGGAGGAAGTGAAAGCTCGTAGAGATCAGTTACGAATGGCTCGAGAGCTCCTTTACCGAGAAGAGCTTAAGGCGAAGCGAGTTAAAAAAATCAAGAGCAAGTCTTATCGCAAAGTTCACCGAAAGCAACGTGAAAGAGAAGAGGCGAAAAACAAAGCAGCTCTTGAAGAGGGAGGCTTTGTTCCTTCTGAGGATGAGCTTGAGGCTCAGGATAGAAGACGTGCGACTGAGAGAATGGGGGCAAAGCACCGAAACAGTAAGTGGGCCAAAGCCACAAAAGCTACGGGTCGAGCGGCATGGGATGAAGATGCTAGGGACGGTATTACCGAAATGGCTCGAAGAGAGGAGGAATTGCGAAAGAGAGTGGAAGGAAGAGCAGTGAGAAAAGAGTTTGAGGACGACTCGGATGAATCCATGGACGATTCTGAGGATGATATGAGCGACGATGACGAAGGAACGGAGCAGAAACGAATTCTCCGACGCCTGGAAAGGGCAGGAAAAGACGATATTATTGACGACTCCGCTCCAGGAGCAAAGTTGGCAAACATGAAGTTTATGCGGAATGCCGAAGAATCTCGCAAGAAGGCAAATGATGCTATGGTGGAGGAAATGAGAAAGGAGCTCGCAGGAGAAGAAAGCTCTAGTGAAGAGGAAGAAGACGGCGATATTGGGCGTAGAACATTTGGACCTGGATCTAAAGTCAAAGATGCTCCAACAAAACCACAAAACTTGAATGAATTCGAAGAACCTGCCGACTCGGAGGATGAGGACAACATGGATGTAGAATTCACGGGCGTTGATAATGGTCCTAAAGCAACTGCCAGTGCACCAAAGGCGAAGAAGACGAACGGCTCGAGTGGAGGTGTTGGAAAGTCATTTGTCACAGAACCAGAGGTGGCTACTGAAGGTGGAGCTTGGTCAAAAGTACCTCTGAAATCGGATATGGTCAGCAAAAAGGAGGCAAACAAACGCAGGCATAAGAGTAACAGTGCTATGGATGTCGAAGAGCTTGATTTGTCACAAGCTGCGGTAATGGCCAAGCAACCCAAACCCAAGAAGGCCAAGTCAAAAACAGCCCAAATTCTCGAGGCTTCTGATGAAGATAGTGAGGATGATGGCGCTATTAATCTTCCATTCGCCATCAAAGACCAAGAACTTATCAAGCGTGCTTTCGCTGGAGCTGATGTCGTCGGTGATTTTGAAGCGGAAAAAAAGCAGACCATCGAGGATGAGGACGAGAAAGTCATCGATAATACCATACCCGGTTGGGGAAGTTGGGTAGGAGACGGCGTGAGCAAAAGAGAAAAGGCAAAGAACAAAGGAAGATTCCTTACCAAGTCTGAGGGTATCAAGGAGCAGAACAGGAAAGATGCAAAGCTTGACCGCGTTATCATCAATGAGAAACGTGTCAAGAAGGTACGTAGAATACAGCTGTTCCTTTTTTTTTTTAGAAGTTACTAACGAAAACTCCAGAATGGTAAATACTATGCATCACAATTGCCTCATCCTTTCGAGAACCGCCAACAATACGAGCGCTCATTACGATTGCCAGTTGGTCCGGAATGGGCTACCAAGGAGACCTTCCAGGACTCGACCAAGCCGAGAGTAATGGTCAAACAAGGCATTATTGCTCCTATGTCCAAGCCTTTATTGTAGATTAATATATGTGGATTTCAATATCATCACAATTCTAGTTAACACGTGCAGTCATTGGCTATTGCCGTGCACTATCATAAATCGTACATTGAGAAAGTGTGTTGACCATTTACCTAACTACATCATCAATAATCGAAAATCCGGTTTCCAGACTGACTTGATTTATGGATCTCGCAAATTTTGAAATCAAATCCAGACAATGAATGCTCAATATCCAAAAGAACCCTGACAACAATGACCCTAATTACCCCTGCACCATACCACCTTGCCACAATTTCATACCAAAGGACCCTTAACAATCCGATTCAGCCTTAGAACCAAATCCAATAAATTATTACCAATAGTTAGAAGGACTGTGAGATTCATTCAACGACACAGATGCAGGGTTTGAAGTTTAGTGTATTTAGCGTCGACTATCCGTCTGATTTCTAGGCTACGATGCCTCGTGAATAGTTTTAAAGAAAATAGTGTATCTATCTATCTTTGAGCTCTAGTTAAGCGGTGAAGAAAGGGGCTGGCATATTCGTAAGCGCTCCCTTTAGATTTGAAGTAGTTGCGACAAGTGCAACAATCACGACTTGTACTCGAAGTTCTTGTAGGTGTACGGAGGCGTTCGTTCTAATGACTATCGTATTGAGACTGCGGATTCTGGAGAGATATACCTAACTCATAATAACTATCTAATATTAGATAGTATACATGTAAGATAGTGAATGCATTTCACAGAAGCTGTCACTGAGGCTGGGGTAGAATGACTAGGTACATAGCACACAGCAAGTTTGTAAGAGCAGGTAATGTTAAATAATTAAAAATTTCCATCATGGTATCTATTTTATCTATCTAATAATCTGGGTTCTGGCGAATGTAATGATATTACAGCACCACCCAATATCCCCTCATTATCATTACTAAGGCCATCGTGTTTGGCCTTGAAGACAGGTCTACTTCTCTTGGCATGATCTTTTGATCTGCTCCAGGTGTTCGAGGAACTTGTGATATCCAAGTTTCCATCGCCAATGAGCTGCCATAAGTAGGTCTGATCATAGAATGTGGAGTTCCACACACTCTATAATGGTGGCAAGGCCACAGCTGTCTCAAAAACAGGGGCAGCTGTTCACTTCTGCCCATCTGTGGCCTATGAAATTCTCTTGGCCCAATCTCATAATTTGCTGTTTGGGATAAACATCCGCAAATCTCATCCCTCCAAGTCTCTTGCGCGTTTGGCCTCTGCCTTTTTCTCCAAATTTCCGGCTCTTTCCATCCTCCATCTTCCTCCGTGGTACCACTCTAACAATAGCAATGGACTGCACGCGAGAGTTATTCCAGCGAATATCAAAAATGTCACACCAGAACCTAATGCATCAATAATCAACTGCACCACAGCCACACCAGCTGCTCCCAACAAGCATCTACTGAGGTTATTGACAGCGGTAGCGCTTGCCGATTTACCGGGGTAAAGGTCGATGATCAAGGCGCTGTTGGAAGAGAAGACCGCAGTAGCCGTGTATGCAATGAAGAATTGTAGAACCAGTGGAAGAGCAATAATTTCGAGGCTTAATGAGTAGCCGTAAAGAGCCGTGGCAATAACGAAAACAATGATGATCCACCAAATGTTCCTCATTCTTGCAACTTCGATAGGAAAATCTAGTAGTTCATTGGCCTTGATAGAAATATCGACCGGAATATTGTGTTGTTTACGGTAACGGGACTCGACAACTTTGTAGTTGTAGTCCATGAGATAGCCTGTGAGGTAAGAACCGCTGATGCAACCAGCGCCATTTGGCAAGAAGATCAATCCGAGTTCCAGATTGCTGAGATCGAAATGCTCTGAGAATAGGGCGGTGGTACTGGATGTTACCATAGACCAGACAGTATAGATGATAGCACCGAAAAAAAGTGTAACGAAGACATCTTTCTCGAGTAGAAATTTGAGAGGAGCGAAAACTGAGGAAACTGTGACACTCTTCTTTGTGGGAAGTTCTTGGGAGGAGTGTTCTGTGGATGGCTGTACATAGAATAAGGGTCGATGAATACCCTCAAGGATGATAGAACCGTTCCCAGCCAGACTTCGAAGCGTTTCTGGAAGAACTGCGACTATTAATAGAAGGGCTAGTGCACCCAAGCCAAAAAGAAACCAGAAAATTGCACGGAACCCCAGATATTGAGTTATGATTCCTCCAAAGACTGGGCCCACAGATTGCCCTAACATTCTAATACCGCCAAATATACCAATGAGGCCTACATAAATACTATCAGTCCTTAACGATCAAGAATAGAAGCCAGAAATAAAGTGAAACTTACCTCCGCGCTCTTTAGGAGTTGTGATGTCCCCAATGACTCCAGCACCTGTTCAGATCATCAGTCAAGTTCATTATCAACTTAGAAGAGTTACCCACCGACAGCTATCGTGGCAGCACTACCGGCAGCTTGTATTGCGCGGAATGCCATGAGGGCCGCGAAGTTATCACTAAAAGCTAGACCGATATTTGAAGCGAGATATACAATAAATGTTCCTAGAAAGCATTAGACATATCCGTGATTCGATCATCTACGAGCATACCCATGAACGTAATTCTCCTTCCTAATGTGAGATTGAGTTAGCGTGATATCAAAAAGAGGTTTCCGTTAGGATCCATGAAGTGGAGAGCGCTACGGAGAGTACTATTTATAAAGTGAGGAAGTACTAACCTTTTGTGTCACTAATTGGCCCCCAGAATGACGGAGCAAGTCCTTGAACAATCATATAAACCGTTACAGTTAGACTAACAAGTGAAAGAGAAACATTAAAATCCTAGATGCTGTTAGACTAAGATAGTACAGAATTATGGTATAGACTGTGTACATACGGTGGAAATCTCCTTCAAGGCTGGAAAATAGATGTTGCTTGACAAGGGAGAGAATAAGCCTGCAAGAGATACTATATACACAAGCTGTCTTTTCTTTGCCATAGAAAAGATGTGATAGGGCGGTTGTTCTAACTCTTGCTTCACGACATATACACTATTGGCGGATGATGTGACGGCACTACTATCTAGACGTTCTTTGTCGTCGAAAAATTCAACAGATCTTTCTATGTCGCCTTCAGAGGAATCTCGAGTTCTCGGGTGATTGGGCTCTATGATAAAAATGCCATTGGGTCGGCTCTCGCGAGATGTATCTGTGGCTTCATCTACTCGTTGGCTTGAAGTATTTAAGGCTTCATGTTGAGGGCTCAAGTTTTGTGACTGCTCTAGAACTCCGCATGATTGATCGAAAGATGACGAAGGTTTGCTATCGATAACAGGGCCGGGGTTGATTGAATCCATATCCTAGATCTAGGCTGTGATTGGAGAAGCAAAGATACAGCTCGTCAAAAAGCTAATGTTTAGAAGAGATGGGTTGAAGGAACACAATGAGTCGAGCAAGCCTAGGTGGAAGGGTCTTTCTCCATGTTTAATACTCACCTCTAGGAGAGCTGTGGATCAGCTGGGGGACTGAAGGTGATTGCGCACAGTCATCTATCACATCAAGCATGCAAAGGTATATCCTCACAGCCCACTTGACGGCACAGCCCTGAGGATAATGAAGCACTGGTGGAGACAGGTGAGAAGGAAGAAAGATGAGAATGAATCGAAACCTTGTGCTAACCGTTGATCCATCTCCTGTTATGGTTGAGTCAAGATGTTGTTTGGAAGTTAGCATGAAACAGTGAATTATCTGATAATCTAAAAGATAAGATACATGTTTGATGCAGTGTGCCCAGAGTTCGAGGAGTAGTTCGCCATCCACACTAAAAGGGGTTCGAGAAGCCCACACAGAACCAGAATAGCAATCCTGATCGGGCAGGTATGGACATACAACAGCGGACTGAGCTGCTTGGCAGAAAAACACGGCCCTGCGCACAAGGTACAATGACAAATTATTGAATCAGACTCGCAGGTGGAGAACATATAACAATTTTCAATTCCTTGCCTCGAGAACTCTCAAAACGTGATTGGTAACAAGGAAAACAGAAGACGAATTGGCAAAGTCAAAGTATTTCTTCTTACTTCATCATAGCCAATGCGTCAAAGGACGGGAAAAGCCAAGTCTGGTAATATATGCCTTGAGCACATCATGTTGCGGCGAACAGCGAAAGACACAGCAAAAACAACTGAAGCAAGTGTATTATACAAATCTACATTTGGTGGGGAGAATAGAAGATACTTCGGCAGTGAAATTTCTTTCTGGAAGAGTGTATTGTCGTAACTGTCGTATAGGAGGGGATCGACAAGAGGCAAAAAGGTTATTGATCAACATTATCTCCACGCTCTGAATAGCCTCAAGACATGTTGGGCGTTAGTTCAAAGAATTGCCAAGAAGAAGCATGGGCTCGGAAACCGATCCGGTAATGGACCGACAGAGCTAAAATAGACTACCGGTAGATCGTGCACTGCTCGATAACACATGAAGCCAAGCTCCCGCCCAGAGTTGCCCAGAGAGGCCCAGAGAGATGAGATGAATGTTGATTGTTGCACATTCACAGTTGGTGTAGATAATTTTTCCGGCATTTAAGATAAAGTGGCTCTTCACTGGGCGTTTGAGTCGCGGAATCTAACCAGAAGGAGCTAGTGTGTGTCTGAGACATATCCACACTTCACTTCATGTGAAGATTGGGATCTTTGAAGATTTTCATTACGGTTGAAAAATACCTTATCACACACCAACGTCATCATTATGGTCGTATTCATTGGAAAATATTGCATATATGTATGTAGCCAAGCTCTCTAGTGAGAGAATATACATCTTTGTCGGCCCCGAACGTCGACCGCTGACATTTATCTCACAATATCATCATGCAGTCTTCGGGAGCCAAGAAACTCAAGTTGATGAATTAACGAAGTTGCGCCGATACCTCTTTTTTTCAGTTTTTCGTGACGAAGAATGGTTCTTGATCTGAAAATCTTCATCCTCAAGGTACTTGGGAATAGATTTCATGGATCAGATGGACTACTGTTGCAAATGAGAACGTTTGATCGACCCTTCCCGAGGGTCTCCGTTCTGAATCCTCGCATAGAGGAATACCTCAGCCTGAGCTACGAAGTTTGATCCTAGATGAGATGGATACAAACGTATGAGGCTGAGGTGGATTTGGAGTGGATTCCCTATCATCAATGTGAAAAGTGACGGCACTGGTCTATTTTCAGGGTTCTAGCAGTCTAAGAGCCCTTTGTGTTTCCTCAGTTCAATTTTTTTATTCAAATCATTTAGAACTTCAAATCGTTCAAAATTGTCCACTACCTTCAAACTTTGAACGCCCAGATTTTAGGTCACCGGCCCGGAGTGGTTGCAGACCTGTCTATTGCTCCTCCCTACCACCTTTTCATACTTGAGTAGCACACATTCGAAATAGTGATTGATACTTCAAGCATCAATTTTATTTTCTCTTTATCTTTATCATTGGCAATTGTCACTTGTTCGCGCTCCTGCATGTAAAGATGGGATCGGTGGCGAAGCAGTGCGTATATGAGGCCTTTCGATCGGCGGGATCTTTGAAGTAAGAACTTCTGTATTATTATTAAAGTTTCGCACAATACTCCAAATCAGATCACAGAGGAAAGTTGAGTTAGCTGCTGTAATGATCCACCTAGTGAAGGATGTATAATGCTTGCGATGTGATCAAAAAACTTCTCTCATGAGCATATGCATCTAAAGTCTTGTGGGTGTTATTAACTGAGTTGACAACAAATCATCCTCTGTATTCAGGTCTCATTTCATTTCTATTGTTTTGTAGAAAGCATACTTTGATGCGTTGGTTGAAGCGGGTGGATGTCGTGAGTAAGATGTGCAAAAAAGATACAAAAAAAGTGTTGGGTAGTTGTAATCTGCATTCACAATATGCAATGACTGTCTAGAATAGCTAACACAGTACTTTTAATCTCTCGAATACTCACTGGCGACGCACAAGCCAAACGCCGAATCTCTCGTAGCAACAAAGATCCTCTGGTCTACAAAGGGATTGAACCCTCTTCTCCAAAGCGACCTCGCGAAGTCCAACTCATCAACAGTTTTTCATGATTGAAGAACGAGCTGCATTTGTTGAACACATCTACCTATATTGAATTTCTGGCAGAGTGACATTCTAAGCGGTATCAAATTGGTACTGTACTCTTATTCACTGTTATTTCCCATTTAAGGTTGTATGAATTTAACTCTAATTTACGGAGAAAGGAGCCAAGTGATAGCACTGCTAGCTTATACGATTAGAGACCCAATCGGCTGCAGGGGAGGAGGAAGGAAGCCCTCTACTTTCGAATATTCTTCTCCTACCTGTTACATAGTGGTCGTCAGCTCGAGGAGTTTTTAAATAGATTATGGACGGCAGCCAAGATTATGGACAGGGCAGAGAGTGCCCAATTCTTCTATAACCAATTATCATACATATCATTATCTTTAAAAATTGGGCCCATGGCGTCAAACCGGCGAAATTGAGGGGCCGCAATGTGATCGTTGTCTTGCGGAAAATCTAAGGATTAAACTATTGTCGCCATCCATATCGAATGAAAGCCCTTGAATGTACCTGGATACAACAGGTTTACACTTAAAGAAGTCGATCGACATTTTACGCAATGTGGAATATAAACACCAAGACTAACTTAAGTGATCTGGACCGACGAGATGCATGAGCGGGTATAGTATTCTCTGGGCATCTATCTTGCTTGTGATACGCATGTGAAAATCCATCTAGATATCGAGGATCTTTAGGTGCAAAAGTGTTTTTTTCTGAACCGATACCATTAGCCGTCCCAATCAAAGCCATCCTTGAGGCATGTCGCTATCTGGAAACTGGATTATCGATATCAGGAAGTGCAGAGAAAATATTAGAAGCAGGGCATAAACATAGACCTCAGGATGTACAGCCTAGTTTCGGAACTCGTGATGTTGAACAGATTCTGATAATCTATATTGAGAGATGTACAGTACTATACAACTCGGGTCATTCGATGTAATATGCTAATGGAATGGAGCTAGAAATCCTCTGAAAGCCGTGTGCTAGTATAATTTAGCAGAAGTATATGGAAGTCGCAACACCATATACTCGTAGATTCTGATTTCTTCCAGGAAGAGGAGAGATCATTTACATGACTCCTTGTAAGATGGGTGCTGGAAGGATCAATATCTAAGGACGATACTTTCCGAGCATCGCAAGTGGACATACGGACTTACAGGAAGCTCCAACATTGCACATAGCCACATAGTTGCAACTACCTTTCATACACCGCAAGAAATGTTGAAAACATTCCATGCAGGCCAAGAGTAATTAGAGTACACAGTTCAAACAAACCTAGTATAGACAGCAGGTTGGAATGCACGGTTATGATTGTTAAAAATTGGAAATCAGTTATGTATATCCACCGTTGGACCCGAATTGACATAATGCCGTGACAAGAATTCAATGTGTTGAAGGGGAACACAACGTATAATATGATTTGATTTAACGAGGGGGTAGAGGCGAGAAATTCTTGATTGTCTCAGTCTTCGGGCAACACACAGAAGTCATTTTGTTAAACAGGTGATTTGTCCAATATCACAAACGCAGTTTGCATTGAGGGATGGATTCTTGTAGTCAGCAAATGATTCGATTCATAGAACAATTCCAGGACCAGGCCATCCAAAGCCCTTTGTAGGCATGAGTATCATAAATTTTGTGACTTGTTTGAATTCGTTTGGGGTATGTACAGTGGCTGAACTAATGTCTCTAGATGAATCTCTTCTCGAGCTGTTGAGTTGATGTTAGTATAAGTAAAACGTTTGTCAAGAAAACTCTATGAAGCCCAATAAAAACTTACTCTCCATGGGTTATTCAACTCGAATCCCAGAGGAGCACTTGGGTTGTCGGTTTGCCCTCGAAGGAATCCAGTCAACCTTCTATCACGGTCCATCACTACATCGCAGTCAGTATCATACATAGTAGCGTAGAGTTCCGAGGAAAGAGGTTACTTTGCTGCATGAAAGATTAGTTCCCTTCATAAATGTAAGGTTAAGACGTAGGGATACTCACTCTGTCCCAGGCATCTACAGAATGTCTGGCTCTCTTTCCACCGTTTTGCAAAGCTCTAACTCCAGACATTCCAGCACCAGTAATACCGAACATCTGCGCAGTACTCAGTATTGTAATCTTTGTGGTAGAGAGGTTGTGGTAATGGTAGAGGTACGAACGGCAAGCATGATTCCATATGGAAGGAGAGCTTCGAAAGGAACACCCATCGTGGCAATTTCGTGAATATCTATTGAGTCCTAATTAGAATTGTAACATTCATATAGCCTCGCAAGTAATATAGCACGTACCTTGTATTTGTTGTTGGCTTCTCAATTGGGGTGATAAGGCTTTTTGAGAGCCTCGGAATTGATTGACGACGTTGGTTTGCGCCAAACTGAAGTGAAATGATGACTAAGACTTTAAAGGCCGCCTGAACGACGACTTTGGGGTATTCATAACCCTTGAGAAGGCAATAACAACACCACACATGATTATCAATTCAAATCGAGCTTGATCTACGCATCGGAAGGTCATATACATACATATTTGAGGCTCACATAATTGTCTTTCGATGGAATTGGTTTAAAACATCGCGTTCATTTCTTCGAACTGGACTACTAAATACCCAAATCACAACAATTCATCCAACAATTATCTGGGCAAGCTGCGCATGACTTACGTTAGTTTGGCTGGTAAAGTATGTCCATTGGCATCTAATCAATTGAATCGGCGACAAAAATCGAACACTATTTCATCTTCTACTTAATTATCCGGCGGGGCGCAGAAGCAACGATTGCGAAGGCTATCCAACCGCCTCGGCCACATTCTCCTATATTCTCGACATCGATAAATATTCCTCTCATGCCAATATATCTACATCGCGCATGAAAAACAATTCATAAAGAATGGCGGGAGCGGCAGCAGCAGTGGTGCTCATGGATGGAGAGCCTTCCCGTAGCTTAGCTACTTCTGAAGATGATGCTGATTTCGAAGAGGATGACGACATGGTTCCCGACATGATCAATGAGGACGCAAATGCATATGCTGCTAACATTCAATTGCAAAATGGCTTGATCGGAAATCATAGCGATCTGGAGGATGACAGAGAGGGACCGGAAGGAGAAGAGGATATGTTAACAGATGAAGATGCAGATGGAGAGGAGGACGATGAAATGCTCGACGAGCCAGACAATTTGGATCACGCTGAGGGAGAAGAGGTAGATGAGAACCAAGAGCCGGTTGAAGGAGATGAGGATGACGATGATGCGGAGGGAGTTGGTGCTGTCAAAATTCAGCCTGGTTTAGAGGACGATGATGATGAAGACGCAGAGAGTGGCTCCGATAGCGACAGCTCTGCGGAAATTGAAGAAGACGACGAATCTAAGGATTCTAGTGATGTCGAGGAAGAAACACGATGGCAATCCAATGGGGAGGAAGGAGAAGAGGGAGAGGAAGAACACGTAAATCCGAATCGCTGCATGTATGTTTTCCTTCCTTTCCTCTGCTTAAAGTCTTCAAATCACTCATACCTTCTTAGATTCTGCGAGCAAGATGAGGACGATGATCCGAGTGAAGAATTCGAACTTTATTTGGCATGTGAGATGTGTGGAGACAATGGTAAGTTGACCCAGTATTCATGATCGGTAAGGCTGACAAAGCTGTAGCGCATCGGCAATGCGCCAGAAATTCAAATGCACTCAAGTCTGACGAAGGTATGTACTGTTCCCCGATATAGAATTGGATAATGCAGCTAAAATAAAATCCAGAGGCGGAAAAATGGTATTGTCCGGGATGTCACGAAAACCGTCTTGTGCCCGAAAGTCCAAGTGCAGATATCGATATGCTTGAAGGCCCAGAGGAAGAAGATGCGGAGGAAGGCGGCGAAGAGGCAGACAGTGAAGATGCGCCAATCAAAGCAAACGAAAGGAGAATTTCGAGGGACAGAGTCCCAGGGGATTTATTACCGCCCAGACGTGGTACAATCAAATCAGATTCACACTCCGTCTTCGAACAACTAATACCACCAGAAGATCCCATGGATGGCTCACGTTTGTTGCGCAAGAGAAAAACTTCATCCGTGGAAGCTGATGAGGGACTCGTTTTGAGAAAAAGGACCCGTGACCGAGATGCACTTTCCGATAATTCTAAACCATCATTTGACGAACCACATGATGAAGCTAAAGTCGACAACGATAGCAACTTATCACTGACTAACGGCAAAAGGAACAAGAAAAGGGTGGATACACCTACAAGCCCGCGTGTTTCAAGATCTTTACGTCAAAAGACTTCGTCATCCTTAAGCCCGCCAGTCAATATTGTCGAGAAATTGCCCGGCACTCTCAAAATCTCCTTTCGCGTTGATCCTATGGAACTGAGGCATATTCTCTCATTACCCCCTAAACCAAAAAAGAAACGCGGCGGTCGTGGCGTCTCAAAAGCTCGATCCGCAGCGATTTCTGCCGCCCTCGTCCCCTCGAGTTACTCACAATCATTCTACCCCTCCATCCACGAGAAAGAACTGGAAGAGCTGAAATCCAAACCATATGGTGGTATTCTTTCCGAAGCTGACGCTGATACATCTTTAACACTACCTAGAGCAGAGCATCGACGTCAATTTGAAGATGCTCGCCAAACGGCTGAAGAGGACTGGAAGGCAAGGGCAGCGGCAGCAGCAGAAGCTGCTGCTAAGGCAGGATTGAGAAAGGCACGCAAGGTGTCAGGTCCAGCCAGCCAAATTGAATATATTGATTTTGGGGCATATCAGATCGATATCTGGTATGCTGCTCCATATCCAGAAGAATATAGCCGTAACAAGGCACTTTTTATATGTGAGTTCTGTTTGAAGTACATGGAGTCCGATATTGTTGCCTGGAGGCATAAGACAAAATGTCCATGGAAACACCCTCCTGGCGACGAAATTTACCGAGATGGAAAGATCATGATTTTTGAAGTGGACGGTCGCAAGAACCCACTATACTGCCAAAATCTTTGTCTCCTAGCAAAACTCTTTCTCGGGTCGAAAACTCTTTACTATGATGTCGAGCCTTTCCTTTTTTATGTCATGACGGAATATGACGAATTGGGCTGTCACTTCGTGGGCTACTTTTCGAAGGAGAAGCGACCTAGCAGCCTCAATAATGTCTCATGTATCCTCGTACTGCCTATTCATCAACGGAAGGGATATGGTCACTTGCTCATCGACTTTTCGTATCTTCTCACTCGTGTTGAGAAGAAGACTGGCTCTCCTGAGAAGCCTCTTTCGGACATGGGTCTAGTCTCTTACCGTAATTACTGGCGACTCGTTTTATGTTACTACTTACAAAGATTTCAGCCGTCTGAACGTGTTCCAAGCATCAAGGCTATTTCTGACGAAATGGGTTTAACGCCAGATGATGTTATTTCGGGTCTTGATGCCATGGGCACCCTCGTCCGCGATCCCACGACTGGCACCTATGCCATGAAGTTGAAGCCGGATTACTACAAGGAGGTTATTCGCCATCATGAAGCAAAAGGATACGCGAAACTAAATCCTAAAGGGTTGGTCTGGACGCCTTTCGTCATGGGTAGAGGTAATGCTTCTGCTTACGATCATGCACCGCCACTTAACACGGTAGCACCACGCGAGGAGGACGAAGACGAAGTACCCAGTGTCGAAGGTATATCTAATGAAAGTGTCCAAGGCACATCTTTGAACGGTCTTACGAATGGTGATACAGAAGAAATGACAGCATCATTAGGCAAAATGAATACCGGGGCTATTGATGTCATTAAAGTTGCAAGCTCAGAAGGCAGTGTTGGAAAGTCGGCGATGACGCAAAAGCTCAATGGTATAACTAAAAAGTCATACTATGATCTTGCCTCCTCGATCCCGGCTATACGTTTTGTAGTATTTCCTCCCTTGCCTGGTGCTCGAAGTAGAACTATTCCACGCCCAACCTTAGCGCGACCATCTTCACGTGCAAGACTATCAACCTCCTCATCTGCTCGACCCAAACCTCGGAGGGCGGCGGGGGTACCTATTCGACGTGCATCCACTACGTCTGCATCTGCTTCGAAGGCGCGGACTGCAGCGCGTAGAAAGAGCGGAGGTACAGGGCGTGGGCCTGGTAGATGGCCAAAAGGAACCAAGAAGAGCGATTTTGGGAATGCGGAGAGTGGTCCCGGTTTACCGCCTAGATTACTGAAACAGCGCAGTAAGCTAGGAAATGAGGTATTGCTTGGCGACGAAGAGGAAGGGAATGAAGAGACAAGAAGTGACCTCGATGAGTCGGCAATCTACGATACTCCCGCGCCGAGATCGAGACGAGATAGAGATTTGTCACGCAAGGGTGTCGGACTAGGCAAGCCTATTCTCCTGGGCAAAGGCACAGGGGCGGGAATAGGAAAAGGCAAAAGCCCTCTTGTTGATGCGGAGGGCGATCAAGAGATGGCCGATGTACCAGTTGACGGAAGTAAAGCTGATCGTAACGCGGATGTAGATCAGGATGCCAATATAGACCCAAACCTTGATGCGAACACGATTCTGGGCGCAGGAGGGGATGTGGATGCAGAGGGTGAAGATGAATAGAAAGTGGTCTGTATGCTAGCTTCATGGGGTGTGAATTTGCGCGTTACGATATTTGAAATGGTGAGCAAGGATACCTAGGCTACAAATGGCGTTTGGAAGGGGTATTCATGAGCTTTGGCATTTCGGCATTGGCAAAATATCCTATTGCTTCAGGCACGTATTGGCGTCAACATGAGAGATGGGGCTTTTGGCAAAATTTCTTAAACTGAAATCATTTATGTACTACTACTACTACTACTACTACTATGGTTGCTCTCGGTATCTTAGACAGATACCACACAACGAACTAATCCTTGTGCAATATTATTTCCCATGTAATATCAGCTTAATGGCAACGTGGAGAGATCCTCCGGATCACTCATCGCAACCTCTTCCTCGCTGCTCTCATCATCTTTGTTCCCGTCTACATCTAAATCATCTTCTTCAGGAAATACAAATTTTGGTTCAGAGTCTGGCTCTGATCTAGAGTCGTACGAAATGCCATCGCTGTATGCGTCATCGTACTCTGGCTCTTCTGCAACTACATCGAGTCCTCCGCAGACCTTTGATCTGGTGGGGTAGTCCTTTTCGGCTATGAGATCTTCAGGGGGATTGAACTGATGTTCAACGAAGATGTCATTGATACTTTGGTGGTTATTAGTTTTTGGATTTGACCGTGTTTCAAATGTCCAGGTTAGTCAGAAGGTTTACTTATAATAATATCAATAGTTCGACCTTTTGCACTCTCAATGGCGCCTTTTTGAGCACAATGTTTCTCAATTTTCTCCTGTCCCGGATGTTCGAGTCTCTATGCTCAATAAGCTAATATAACGCACCAAGTATTTAGTTTAATGGGTGTGATCTTACCATTGCGACTGCATGCTGCAAGACGGACTTCATAGTCTGTTCCACGTCTTTCACGTCCGCAGATGCGTGATTGTGATTAATCTTGTATCCCAGAAGCATGTCCGTGCTCTTTCGGTCTGCTCGAAAAGCCATACCCAGTGCTGATCCCATGCGCCATCCATTTCAGCTCTACCTACTGGTTCAGATGCCTTAGCTCGAACTAATTCATCTATCTTGTAACAGAAGTTGAAATTATGTATTGCTGGTCGTAAAGTCGAGAAAGCTTTGCTTGGGTTTCAACTGTATCTCGGAACGGACGGGGATGTCCATGAGGCGTTTCCATTCTTTGTAGTAAGTAACAGGCGTGCTGCAAATGGTTTTGAACGAAGGGCTGAAGTCGATAGTAAGGCAGTCTTCAACGGGGATATCGGCACCCCTTTCACAAAGGTCTTGTTTGGACGATCGGACAGGAACGGGAGGAAATTCATCGGCAAACATCTTTGTGGCATTCTCTTTGTTGATATATATAAGAGGTTTGAGGAACGAGAGAGAAGAATCTCCTAAATAAAGCTGGTGGCCAAGCTTTCTGGTGCTGTGGAAGTGAATTTATTTGTTAGTGTAGACTTTCGATTACTTAGCCGATTGATTCTAGGTATCTAGGTATGCAAACTTGATGTGATAGTCGATTGAGAAGATATGAAAAGACTTGTATGAATGATAAGCTTATATAGCTTTATAGTTTACTTGGATTACATGATACCAAGAGAGACTTTCGGATGATAATCTTATGTTCAGACAATATTATCAATCTTCGGATTCTGGAGAATATTATAGGCATTGAAATTACACAACAATATGATATTAAATGACACTGCAACTTGAAAAGAGCACTTTTTTACATGCCCAACTGCCAGCTGGTTCCCAGTCGGTGAAAGCCAATGCCTCACGAGATTCGCACTCCCTTCTTCCCGGTGAATGCTGATTGATACCCAGCATCTTGGTACTATCACAGTTCTTCTATTCGCCGAATCTATTGGCGCACTCTCTCAGCATGTGTCTTTCTCAGCTCTGGGATTGTTTGCGGCTTTCAACTAGGACATATGTGAGTGCGGTATTCACACTGTGTTTGAAACATTGGGACTTCTCTACCGCGATCCAAAAGGGACTAAGGGTTTTCGGAAAGCCCGCCAGTTTGCATGTTACTACGTCGGAAGAGCTCTGAAATTTAGACAACGTTATGTCTTGTCTGATGACTTGAAGATATCCCTTCACCAACTCGAACCGTTCTTCAAAGCATATCAGAGGGAGGAGGTAGTGATGAAGATCCGTGTTGGCAAACAATACAAGCACATATGGTAGCCCAACAAGCTACAGGCAATCTCTCGGCAAGTGTTTCCTTTCTTCTCTCTCGTCACCTAGGTATATTGCATAAGCCGCAAGACAAGTTAGATGGTGATTAGAGATCCAAATTCAAATTAGAACTGTGTTCTAGATTGCCTCTACGTTTGTAGTAAGGGTTGCTAAACTCTATAAAATATCTAACCCGCTGAATGGCACACGTTATTGTGTAAGCACTAACAAGAGACTGCCATCTTAGAACTGCGGGTAGCTTGATAGGATTTCCGACCACATCTAGGAAGTGAGTTCCGCGCGGACCATGAGCCATGAATTTACTAGGGGTTTCTACCTTGCAGATACTTGGTACATCACTTCACATACTGGCATTGTAACCAACAGAGTTGTCCAGATTCGAGAAAATGCTTATTTTGGCAGTTCTGCATGGATCCATCCATGAAAGATTGAAAAGGGGGGCTTATCATTGAACGTTGCTATACTCTTGTCATGCACGATGAATTCACTGCAGAAATTCAGGTTCTTCTGTTTGACACAAAAGCTCGATCAAAGTTTAATTATTCTGATCGAAGTCAAGTAACGAGTTATAATCTGAGCAATTACATTTCATGGACCTCTAAACCTCCTGTTATCTTGAATTTCATTGCGGAGAAAGAATCTACTCTGGGAACTTATTGTATCTTCTAATTATGTTTGAGCTTCGATGTAGATGGGGAATTTCATGCCGAGCGGAGACGACGTAATAAGCCAGTGCTAATACGCGGAAACGGTGTGGATTTGAAATCCATGCGTGCGGCGAAGGTTATAGATATCATTCCACTACTGAAGGATTGGTCCGATCTAGTTGGCTCGGGTTGTAGGAATGTTGTTGGAATAATTAGAATAGTTTAATTGAAAATGCACTAATTAGGTTTTGACACAACTATCAAGTTACCGACAGTTCGGTTCTGCAAAAACTATGCTAGTTCAACCAGAAACCTACTTGACAGGTTTGAGCTTCTCATTGGGTCAATAGTGAGCGATTTTTGTTTCTCGAAGATCCAGTCTAGAAGTGCTCATGTTGGAATTATTATGGCACATGCACAGTCTTGGTTGGCTGTGCCACTGGCCTGCAGAGAGTGGATTCTGTCGTATATAGCACTAGCAATCACTCAAAGTGATACTTGAAAAGTATTCGGCAAATAGTGTGAGGGTTCTGAATGACAGAATGTTTTCACGGAGTGGAACAAAGTTCGGAAGGATCGCTTGCAAATTCTCAGGGGCTATCATATAAGTCAAAGCAAGAATCCAACCCGAGCACCGGTCTTGCTCACGGTTGTTACTTTCCAACGATCCACGAATTCCTTCACTGGATCACGATTTTGAATAGCCTTGAACTTTTGCAAGATCCTGATAGTAGTTTTCGCAATTTGGAAAACGCCAAGATCGCTAGCTGGACACATTCGTGGCCCGGCCCCAAAGGATAGATTTATCCAACGATCAGGTTTGAAGTCGCCTTCCCATCTCTCGGGACGCCATATTTTAGCATCGTCTCCCCAAAGATCCTTGCATCGAGCCATTGACGCAAACCAGAGTACAACCTTTACGCCTTTCTTGACGAAGATCGGAGAATTTCCATTTGGCCCTCCTCCTGTCGAAAGGATTGTGTCACGAAGTGAAATACACTCGTTCGCACTTACACCGGGGTATAGTCGCATTGTCTCATTGATGACAAAATTTAGATACTTTAAACTTTTCACAAGTTTAGGAGTGAGTTCCGCAGATCCAATGGCCAATATTTCCGTTTGCAGCTTCGTCCAGGCTTGGAAATTGCGTGCCAGATTAAAGGACATGTTCGTAAGAGGCGTTGCGATGGCATCGTGAACAGGGAGGAATAAACCTAAGAGCTCATCTCTGATCTCCACTCGATCTTGACCTAGGTTTGCTAGTTCGTAAGCCACCGAGTATCTTTGTTCCTCGCTAGGCAATGTAGCAGTGTCCATTAATTTGTCGAGTATCTTAGCAACAAATTCTTGCGCATCTTTGCATGAAGACCAGAACTTAGGATCCCGAGATAGAAAATCCCAGAATGGCAACACCATTCTCATGCCTACACCTTGTGAAGAGTAATTGTAGGCATCTAGAAATTTCATGGCATCTGCTGGAGTTTCTGGCAACAGGGTCAAGGTTGACTCCCCAAATAAGATCTCAGAGGAGCTATCAATTGCTAATCGATCAGAGAGAGGTTGTACATCAAAAGTGGAGCCATCTTCAGGAATCAGGGCCAGAAGCCGCGCAACATGTTGTTCAAACATACGTTGATGGTTTGTGGCTTGTGCAAAGATCGGAGCGAGCACAGATCGATGAGCTTTCCAAACAGCACCATCGGTAGACATTAATCTATCGCCTACCAAAGGTTTCAAACCAAAATATCTCATGGGCCCGACTCCGAATGATTCAAAATCTGTTCCATAGATAGCTTTAACATGTTCCGGGGCTTCAGTGACGATCTCGGCAACACCATATGGAAATGATTGAAACGTATGGCCGTATGCCGTATTTTGAGAAGAGACCTCTGGCGATTGTATCACGCGATTGCTTTTCATATGTTTCTGTGAACCGGCTGTAGATAACGTCAAGTCCAAAGAATGGATCTTTCTGGGGAACTGATGGTGGTGGCTGGCACCCCTTTTTCATTCGACTGGTGCTTATGTGATTTCGTAGAGCACGAATTTTAAGTAGAAAATTCGTGCAGAGGAGCAACAATGATGGATAACTGAGATCCGATATATTGATCAGGGGATGAAGCTCAAAAGATAAAATAACATTAGTAGAAGTGAGGGAAAACTTTAATGTTTGAAGTAGATTTGGGGGGGAGGGGAACTGTGAAGTATTCCAACTTTGAGTAATAGTCAGAATTATTGTGGATAGCATAGTGCCAAACCTTTACCACAAGCAAATTCATGACTATGGTACCTATGATGCAGAAACAGCTAAAAGCATTAGCACGGAAATGGATGTAACATAATCAGCCAACAGCTACCAACAGGGGGCCTGGCGGAAATCTAATATTTGCCCGGGATGCGTAAGCGAGTGTGCTAAAATAAATGGCTCATTAGATTGTTATGATCTGAAAGGATACCAAGTTTTATATATTCAAAATCTAACAAATCCCATTTGGGACTCACAGTGTTATAAGTGTCCATCTAATATCCATTGGGCTGGCTAATTACCTTTGGCCTTATAAGAGAAGTCGTTTTTTTACAGACACATTTCGATGTATATTTGACGATGACACTTTGTCTTCTGAATCACATAAGAAACTATGACATCTTCACCAGTACTTTTAGCTGAGGATAGCTCGGCCAGGACATCGGAAAACCCACAGCTCGTTGTAGGGTTTGCTTGCTACTGAAGCCGAAAAAGTGCCCGAGAAGGAGATAACTTCTGTCAATGCCACAGTCGAAAGAGATAGAGATACTGTAGAAAATCCTACCCGAACAGTCAATAGGCTTTCCTGGATCCTAGTGGTTGCTTGTATTTCATCGTCGACCTTTTTGTTCGCCATAGACAACACCATCGTCACCGATATTCAGACAGCTATTTTCGAAGAATTCGATGAAGTGAGAAAGCTACCATGGGTTTAAGTGGCTTTCATGCTGGGAGCGGCTGGAACAAATCCGATGTGGTAAGTATTTGAGATAATCTACACACATCCTCATACTGACACGTGGTGGTATATAGGAGAAAGGCATATGGTACATTTGACGCAAAGTATGTCTATATATTCACAACCTTGATTTTTGAGGTCGGCTCCGCGATATGTGGTGGTGCTCCCAACATGAACGCTCTTATTGTTGGTCGAGCTATTTGCGGACTGGGAGGAATAGGAATGTATATCGGTGTCATGACTGTGATGTCCGAGAATACATCAAAGACTGAGCGGCCAGTATATCTTGGGCTGATAGGTGTAAGTCGACTACATTGAACTTTGATTTCCGGTATGCTAATCCGAAATGATCATAGATACTCTGAGGTATTGGCAAAGTGTGAGACTTAATCTCATTCAATATTTGACATAAAGCTAACATATCCATAGGGTTGGTCCTTTCATATGAGGGGGTTTTGCCGACAGTGGAGCCACGTGGCGATGGGGATTCTATATCAACCTTTGCATTGGAGGAATCTTCGCTCCTGTATATGTATTCCTCATCCCAAACCCCGATCTAACTTGGGTCTTCTTGGTATATGGAGACAAATTGACTGGCTTGGTGCCTCACTTCTCTTGGGTGCCATTGCATCCCTGCTAATGGCCATTGCCTTTGGCGGACTACTATTTCCATGGAATTCCGGATTTATCATTGGGCTTTTCGTCACTGGAGGTGTTTTGTCTATAGCATTGGCAATTCAGCAATTAAATACGCTAGGGACAACAGAAGAACACAGACTGATTCCGATAGAATACCTTCAGTCAAAAGATATAGTTATTTTATTCATTGAGACAGCCTACGCCGGAGCAGCAGTGTTCCTTCCAATATACTTAATTCCTATTTTCTTCGAAATCATCCACGGCGAGTCTGCATTGGGTTCCGGTCTCAAGCTCCTCCATTTATCTTGGTTTTGGTTACTATGACTTTTGTCAATGGTTTCACACGATCAAAATGGGGCTACTATATGCCTTGGTATTTTGGATGCTCTGTTCTCCAAGTCATTGGTTCTGCGCTTCTCTTTACATTGAAAGGGACACTTCTGTCAGTGCCATCTATGGGTACACTGTACTCATGGCATTTGTCGGCGGCTGGAGTGTCAAGCATCATTTAGCATTACTCAATTCCTTGTCACTCCCAAAGACATTCCGATTGTGACAGGTTTCTTGACGTGTGCCCAATCAGGAGGCGCAGCCCTATCACTGGCAATTGGCGACACTGTCTTCCTGAATACCGCACAGAGTGGAACCTGCTTCCAAATCGAAGCTCGTCTGAAATTTAAGGACTCATCTCCGGTTTGGGAAATTCTTTCTTCGAAACTCTAGATGATGATATACAAAACGCTATTCTGGACATCATTATGAGCAGCTTCAAGAAGCTTTTCGTTCATTGCAGCCGGAGCCATAGCACTCGCCTGTTCAGTCTCCCTGAAAAGGCAGAAAATTGATGTCTCTTGAAAAGGTGGGGAGTACTTCCAAGGAACTATTTAGCAAACTTGTTACGGTCCGTCAATTGCGCTTCTTTCAAGAAATTTCAGGAATTCCGTTCTAATCTTTCTAATTTTAATTGTTACAGTTCATGAAAATAAAAATTCCCGAATAAGGGTTTCTAGGATTTCTTTCTGATCCTAATTAGCATTACAGTATTACATTAAGAAAACACCTTAACAGTTTTATTCGAAGCAGGATTTCTTTCTGATCTTGAATGGTATGGTCATAGACAATCAAATTTTTAGACATCATGTTTCAGGATGAATATCTTAAGTAAATACAGGGAGAGAGGTAGATATAGAAAAAGAGGAGAGACCAAAACGAATAGTCGAGAGGAATAAAGACAAAAAGGATAATATCTCGACAACGATATTAGGTCCGTAGACCTCAGATAGTACACATCAGATGTGTTTAGGTATCCATCTGTACTCTTGACCAATACTTAAACTACTTGGTGCGAGTTATTCATGTTATCTAGTTCTAATTTGGCGCTACTCCCAGATATATTTACGTATAAAGGGGCTCGCGATGGTCAGAAAAAGCCGAATTTCAAAAATCTATAACTCAATCGAAATTTGATATCAAAATAATAAGTTTATATGTTTTCTTAGGATTTTCAATAGTAATCAATAATTGATTGATAATTTCTAACAAAGAATCTGAAAGAATTAAAGATATTAAATCAAGTTGATATCTAATTTTGAAAAAAAAAAGACTTGTTTTTAGACTTTTTTTGTACATTTGGTGCCCGCTTTCTTGTGTTCGTTACAAGAGAGAGGGTATAATCGTGGACAGAAAAACTAGCACATCAAACTCACCAAAATCAAAGCTCTTATAAACATACTATTCTTTTGAAATCAAATAATAAACCAGAATACATCTTTAATCTTATTAGAAAAAGATCAATTAGAATTAATAAGCTTCCTATTCTTTACAAATCATTTTTATATTAAAAAAATATTATTTATTTCATTTGAAAAAGAGTTTTGAAGATATAGTGTGTTTTGAGTGTGCTAGTTTTTTCGTCTACGAGAGGGATAATCATTACACTACTCGATCACTCCAAGCACCACTTAGTGTTTAGAAATTTATTTACTTTGCTTTCTATAATCTACATATTCAAAGACCACTATTACGATTTAATATTCCAATGATTGGAATTTCCTTCACCAATAGCGTGCCCGCCAAATAAAACACCCATAAACGAATTATGACCACATTAACCTGACTTATCACAGGTTGTTCCTCCGGATTTAAAGAACTCATCCAAAACATCCTAGATCGAGGCAATAACATTATTGCCACATGTCAAGGCTTGGGAGGTCGCATCAAGCACTCAAAAGATGCCGGTGCAGCTACCTTGTCTCTGGACCTAGCCGCTTCACGAATTTGGGAGATCGGGAAGAGTTCATCGTAAGCACCAACTTCGACCAACCTACAGCTACGATTGACGGGGGTGGTAAATGTACACCGGCATGATAACGTGGTAGCAAATACCTATACTAATCTGCGATGTAAAAGAAGTTCAAGTGAGACTTCACAGCTGTTTCAGCTCTGATCTGCAAGTCAAATGTCCCTCCAACGTTAGCTATCTTTCAATCAAATAATCTTTTAGATTCAAATGTTTTCGGTCTTCTGATTCAGATTTGAGGACTAGCAGGTCTTTCAGACGTGAATTCATGATTTCACTCTGAAAGACTTACGTATGAATATTACTGCGAGCTGAAACATTATAGTTTTGGATCATCAGGTAGCCCAAGGCTCCAGTTCATTGTGATCCAATAGCTTCCTTCAAAAACATGCTATTTTGTAGCTGATCTTGATGAAAGATATGAATTTATGTAGTTTGGTGGCACCCAGAAACTATAGTATAAAGGACACAAGAATAGTATCATGGCAATGAAAAAAGCGTTTTATTTCACTCCAGTATCATAGCTATGAACAAGAAACAATAATGGTATATGCCAATACCCAAACCAGACTCCTCGCTAAATAGTAGAACGATAATTTGAAGACCAAGTAAAACGAATTTATACTACGGGCTTGGACCTCCATCAGGTAAAGCAGGCAAAGGTTTCTGCTCATTATAAGCCTCTTCTTGTGTAGGTGTTTGAAGGGATTGAGATTCCCTGATATCATCAACAATTTGCCCTTCCAATGCATCGTGCTGAACACCCGTGGACGTGGAGTTCACCTCGTCCATGGGATCGTGACTCTCAATATCACTAGGCGGGGGACTGGCCAGAGCAGTCGGGTTTCTATCTCTGACACCCCTTTCTTTCGCGTCTGCAACTGACAGAAACGAGGCAGGTGAAGAATTATGGGATCTAAGTGAAGGTCCAAATGATGAGGTGCGAAGAAGTTCATGTTCTTTCGAAGCAGATAGCAAGGGGTTAGAATTTTGGTATTTCATTGTAATGCTTCTGCGAAGTCGAGAAAAGGTACCAGTTGTTGCTCCAGTTATAGTGCTGGTGGCTGTGTCGTCAAATGAACGTGGAGGAGTCAGCTCGTTATCAGAGCGGGAATATGTTGATATGGGTGTTGGAGGACCCCAACCTCTTGATCGGGAGCGCGAGTTGACAGATTCATCCGAGGGCTGACGTCGATGGTGGCCGGTCCACGTATTTACAGGCGAACTTGCGTCAACAATGTAATCTTCGCGGTCCCGGGAGGTGTAACCCGGCATATCGATTGGACTTTCCATACTAGTAATGTTGCTGGTTATGCGGGAACGTCGATTATGGAGAGAGAAGCTGAGAGGCTCAGCACTGGAGACACGAGAGAAAATTACGAGGCCGAGACACAGAAGAAGCAGTACAGATTGGATGATAGACATGCGCTTTTGAAAGACAACTTCATCGGCTAGAATATTGAGACGAGCACTAATAGCCAGGATTTCTCGGCGAGATTCTTCTCGTTGACTTTCAAGTGAAATAACAGTCGATTGCCATATTTCATCATATTGTTGACGAAACACGCGGAGTTCCGTAAGAACTGTGCTATTGAGATTTTCGAGAAAATCAGTTGTCTTTTGAAGTTGCCTTTTTTCAACCTTCAAGAAGGCTTCTCGTAGCATCTTTGATTGCTCCTCAATATACTTCAATGATAAAGTTGAGTTCGTTTCCAACAGCTGCAAGCGTCTTGACACAGCCTTGAAAAAACTTTCTTGAATAGTGGGTAGAGAGGCAGATCCAGAAGAAGTGTTTGTACCTCGCGTCTTATTTGTACTTGTAGCATCTTGAGATTTGTTGACTATAGTAGTTGTGGAACTTGTTGGGATTGTTGAATGTGAGTTATCATGGGTTATTTTGGAAGATTTGTGGGTTTCTTGGGTAAGTGACGTGCTTGCTAGAGATGCTTTATCCTCGGACAAAGTTTTCTGTGCGGAGGGGCCGGTGAAAGGCAATGCTGAGGATGTGATCCCGTTATCTGTGAATGCAGTAGAAATCATTTCAGGTGATGGTGGAACTTTCATAGTAGTCTTGAAATTATATGACTCATTCTCCACCGCGGCCTGACTTGTGAGAATATGTTCCGGAGCATCTGAAGGATAGCACAAGTATAGAGATTGTATAGAGAGTAGTTCAAAATCTCTGGCTATGGGCTTCTTCCAAGGAGAAGTTGGTGTTGGCGGTGGTTTAAGGTGCGTCTCCGCTGGCAAATCCTCCCTTTGAACGTCTCGAGTAGTATATAATACTGTAGGCTCTGCCTGGTTACCCGATGTCACACGGATAGCTTGCATTTCAGTCGATGTCGGCTGAATTATTTCTGCTATAGCTTCTGGAACAAATCCTTCTTCAGGGTCCTCATCCGCTTCCTCGTCGTCATCGTTGTTAGCTTCTGTATCCTTCCAACTTTCAAGCATGCGAGTGCCATGAACTCTCACGAGCGAGAGTGGGCAATAGTACTCCTTTCCGTAATGTGTCAAAAATTCGATGCGTATATACCTTGCCCAAATTTGCGGATTCTCTATTAGAAAGGCTTGTATTTCTCGCGAGTTGCGAGCTTCATAGACACCCAAATCTTTCCACTTGTCCGTCTTCACAGGCCATCGATCGCTAACACTAACTCTAAATGTTCTTAGCATACTGGAAAAGAACTCATAATTCGCAAGAACTAGAGTATCGATCCATATATCTTCCTAATGACTTGTTAGCAATGTGATTACTGCTGCGGGGCAGCACAACTCCTACCGAAAGCTCAATGACTAAAAACTTGTTCAGTGTTTTACATTCCGAAAGCATATAGGAATCCTTATTCTCTATCAACACAGCTTTTGAATTTTTTGCACCTTGATGGGTCTTCAAAACAGTAGCTCCAGCATCAAATGATGCATAGGAAAAACGCTCTTTGCAGGTCTTGCCAGCATCCTTACTTCGGTGTTCTTTTCGATGCCCAGAACCACCTTTCTCTTCTTGTGAATCCTGGTTCGAACCCATGCCTTTATCTTCGGTCGTTCTTGCGGTTTGCTCAGCCCCTCCATTCCGGAAAGCGCCAAAGTCCAAATCAATTTCCCCATCATCTCCAAGAGACTCAAGATTGTTTTGAAATGCTTCCGACTCTCTTTTCCTAGCCGCTTCGGCAGATCTTCGCTTGCCCAGATTCAAATCTTGCTGCCCAGCTTGCTCTAATGTTTGTTTCTTCCACTCTTCGAATGACAAGAAAGAGGCATCATTAAGCTCTCCTTCATCGACGGTAGTCGGAGATGCCGTAGGAGACGGTATTTCTGGAGATGGGCTAGACGATTTAAGATGAATGACGGATATACCACTTGTTTCGCTCGTAATTGTAGCTTCGTCATTTATTTGGGCGATAGGCTCGCTGAAAGAAGGTGTGTCCGATATCGTGACAAGTACAACATCATTTTCCTGGCTTTCGAGAGTTCCAGCTGCACCAATAACATTTGTTTTTGTGGTTGGCGGAGAGTCCGTGCTACTCCAAGATGAACGAAGACATTGTTGAGGTAATTTATCTGTTATGTAGTTGATCGTTCTAAACTCGCATGTTCCAGTAGTATTCGGGACATTGATTGTAGGGCCTGTGCTGGCAGTGGTTGGCACACTGCTCGCGATTGTCCGGTTAGGTAGGCAGAAGAGGAATGAAAGCGCAGTTGTTGCCACGATATATCGATGACATGCGAAGAACATTCTGGCTCGGCGGCATAGTGTTTTGGATTGAAGGCGGGATGTTGAGAGGGATGAATTAATGAATTAGCTTCGATAAAGTGCCACGGCGTATCGGAAGTAACAGCAATCCAACTGCAGATTTAGGACAATGCACGCACAGGCAGTTTTGTGGATTCAATTGTGCGGTGAGTAAAATGCAACAGAGCAAAACATAATTTTTCTTTGGTTCCTTGTTTCTTCCTGCTGTTCGTTTCCTGTTCGAAGGTCTGGTTAAACTCACTTGTTAAAGCTAGATCTAGAAGCGGTCATTTCTCCTTTGGTTTTAATTGGTTCTTTCAGTCCTGATTGCACGTGATCCCTTCAAACTATTAAGACCCTTCAATTTTTCTCCATAATGATGCATGAACTTTGGCCCACGATAGTCTAGGAAGTGGGATGTTTTGAACGCTAGTCCCACGATACAGAGCTTTCCACATTTTCAAGATAGTGGGGTTTATTTACTTTGATGCAAGTACAACAGTGAAGCATTTCTGCGCTATCAAACATGATGTATGGTAATATGTACCGGTATGCTATGTTGTCACGGGCTTTAGCTCTCTGATTCATTACTTTGCCCCTCCCTATGACTTGGACAAGACACCCCTCCGTGTATGACTACAACGGCTCGACCTCCCTCTCTAACCATCTCATAGTGAGCTCATCTCCCTTAAAAAAGTCTTTAGTTTTGGAATAAATATCAGCATGATACTCGTTCAACCAGTGCTTTTCTTTTCGGGTTAGGAGAGTCTCGTCGATAAGTTTCCGGCAGTATGGCACCATCGTGACATGCTCAAAGCCCAAATATGGCTTGTCACCAAATTGGTGCTTCGTCTCAACCTCCTTCACCATGATAATGTTTTCAATTCGGATACCAAAAGAGCCATCCTCGTAATACCCAGGTTCGTTGGAGATGACGTTTCCAGGTGCTAGTGGAACCTCCGAGTATTGAATCCTGGTCCCAATTCCTATTGGTCCTTCGTGAACATTCAAAAACGAACCAACTCCGTGGCCTGTTCCATGCCTGTAGTCCAAGCCTTCTTCCTGTTTGTATCTTAGCATCGTAGGAGCGATATCGAGCGATTGGACTTACCCAGAGGAACTGTCTAGCAAGGACGTCGAGAGCAAACCCGCTAGTTCCTTTAGGGAAAATGGCCATGTCTAAAGCAATGTTGCCTTTCAGAACTAACGTATAAGCCTTCTTTTCCATTTCTGTTGGCTCGCCAAAATGTAGTGTACGAGTAGTGTCAGTAGTGCCGTCAAAATACTGGGCGCCAGAATCACATAAATAAACAACCTTTGGATCGATTATTGAGCAGTTGCCGGGCTCAGGCTTGTAATGAATGACTGCTGCATTAGGTCCAGTGGAGGATATTGTGTCAAAGGATAGCCCAACAAAATTCTTCTGCTTTGACCGTAATTGCTCGAGTTTGTCAGCCGCGGTAACTTCATCCATCTCTACTTTTTCGACTACGAGCTGATGCTCGAGCCATGCAAAGTACTCGATAAGTGCTGCTCCATCTCTAACATGACAAGCTCTCATTCCTTCTAGTTCGGTCTCATTTTTGACAGATTTAGCGTCCCCGATTGGGCTTCGCACTTCATCGACTTTAGCATCACCACCAAGTGCGCGTTTTAGTGCCCATGATGCCCTGCTTGAGACTAGGAACTTCTTGACTTTGGCGTCTTCTGCATCCAGAGATTGACTCAAGACTTCAACGTCCCCAAATATCTTCGAATAGTCTCGAACAGAAACTCCGTTTTCATTGAGATGCGCCGTGCATTCATCACTCAATTTGCTTGAATCCACGTACAAAGTAGCGGATGAAGATGTGACGGAAGCGTAAGAGAAAAAAACTGGGTTGTAAGGGATATCGTTTCCACGCAGATTAAATAGCCAAGCTATTTCATCTAACATGGATACAATGATACCGGAGCTCTTTTTCTTCAACAATTCCTTTCGGAGATCTTCGAGTTTAGTCTTGACGTCTTTCCCGGCAAATTTACTGGCCAGAACCTTGACGGGCTCCTTTGGTCTGGATGGACGACTGTCTCCCCAAACAAGGTCCACCAGATTTTCTTCCACGGCAACCAAGTCATTTCTACCACAAGCAAATCAGTATCTTGCATATAAGGCGTAGATCAGAGACGACCCTCTATGGACTGTAAAAATAATAGATGTATCATGCTTACCCGCCACGTTTTTTTATTTTCTCAGTGAGTTTTCGGGCGTCAGATGCAGACATGATGGTAGGATCAACACCGACAACTTTTCCGTTCTCAGATTGTTCAGCGGCCCATTCTTGCCACGTTGGTACATCCTGTAGACCTTGTTTTAAAAGGAGCCAATTGTCTATATTATCATGATTAGTCTCCAAGTGATCGGTAACCATAGGAGGATGCCGACAATAAGATAGATGCCAGCCTTCCGTAGGACTACAGTCAACCCGATTTACTTACCATCAAGCTGGCGTGAGGCCTGGTTGAAATATCGGCCTATGAGAAACTTAGTAAAGTCTTTACGCAGACCAAATGTTACAACCTACCATCCGTGGCTAGAGCAGCTTTCTCCAGAGTCACTACTGCACATCCAGCTGATCCCGAAAATCCTGATATAAATTCCCTTCGCGCATCACACGCTGCAATATATTCGGAGCTGTGGCTATCTTCCGAAGGAACAACTATATGATAGTTAGGCAGAGTTGATATATGGAGGAATGGCCACTAGGTGACTTACATACTGTAGATATCGACCTTGTTCTTTTTCATAAGCTCCCGCAACCCCGCCAAGCGCTCCGTTGTATTAATGCTCTCCATATCTGTTTCTAAGATCTCGTCAACCCCAAGCCTCAATAAAAAGAGCACTCCTTGGATCTGCAATGCACGTACTGGCAAAACTGGACGAATATCGAATGCGAGTGTTGAGAGATTGTGCGAATGGTTGGAAAGAGCTACAAGAACGGATTCCACGTAAGCAACTATTTAAGGGACGGAAGTATCGCATTGGGTTTCCCAAGAAGGTAGGTAGTGGAACAGAAATGAGTGGCCAAAGAAGATGGGGCAGATAACAGCGAGGCTTCGGTGTAAGGTTAACGTGAAAGAAGGTATGAAATGTGTAGATCTAACCAGTTAAATCAAGAAACTTATATTATGTAACACAACAACACTCTTTGTAATTTGATTGTTGAGTGTCTACTTACTCGAGTACTATCTTTCTATATTGTCATAAGCTGTTTGAATCTCTTGTCTACATTCCAATGAGTGTACTCTTCACTGTACCATTTGATGTGCTAGACATGTAAGTTGGAACATTGGATAGTCATGAAATGATCTGGTGAGGCTACCTCAGCTACTACCACCTCGAGGCTACTGGTGGGCTGAGGTGGGGTTAACACACCTTATCGAACAACCAAATAGAAGCTACTCAACCTACAACAATATAATAAAATAAGATCAACTACTTGTTCAAAATTGGTACAATATTCCCCAAAATAAGAATATTCTAGTTGCAGATGGTTCTCGAGATTCCTCTTTATAATTTTTATCAAACCAAGAAGTGATAAAATAAAACTAGCATGAATTGGCTTTTATAGCGACGATTAATCAATTCTTTTCTATCCACTCTGCGAGGCTTATAAAGGCTTGCTTGCTACCGCTATCCAGAAGGCTGGCCCAAAGATTCACCGGCCATAACAAAACAAACAATTTACTGCAGAACATCTTGCACATTTCTTTCCCTTCCACGTCATAGATCTCCAAAATTTGAGTTGAAGAATCTCCCAAAATTATAAACCCAGTATCTTTTGGCTTCGGTCATGTATCAAACTCAAGCCTCCTCCTAACCCGCCCTACTTTTAGATCGCGTGTGCTTCCGTTTTTGCTTGATTGGTACACAAACGATACCCTTTCAAAAGGATATGGAGACCGAAACGTTACCTTCATCACTTGATGAGGTAGAAGCTGTAAGTTCATCTTTTTCTATATTGTCCTATGAGAGTAGTTGAGCTGCTTGAAGATGATGGATATTTTGTTTAACAAAATTTTGCTGAATATGGAATGTCACGAGATCACAGTCAAGATATGTCTTCCTAGCAAACACACTCACCTTATTAAATTCAATTTCCAATCTAGAAGACTTACTGATTTGACTATAGCTCGTTCATCAACTATACAAGGCTGGTCCTCCTCAACAGGTTTCAAAAATTCAGGAAACTCTCCAAAAGCTACAGAGTTCTCCTGCTGGTTGGGAGCTGGCCAATGGCCTACTGGGCAGCAACTCGGAAAATGTCAAATTCTTTGGGGCATTAACGTTCACTATCAAACTCAACACAGATTCGTACGTAGGCTGGTCCCTGGGTTTTTGATCATTATTGAATTCTACTAATGTCCTTGTACTAGACAATCTCTACAGGATGATGATGCGCAGATTGTGCTACAACAGATCATTGGATGGCTTATCAAGTGTTTGAATTCTGGCTGCGGAGCACTTGTCGTCAGAAAACTATGCACAACATTAGTCACTTATTTCCTTCATTTCTCTGGCTCTTGGGCTCGTTGCATTTCTCATCTCACATATTGCCTATGCCTTGGCGAGGCCGTTCCTTATCAAAAAATCGAGGATGCTCCTATTATGGCGGTCCTTGCCCAGAATCTACCAGATGACAAAAGTCTGGCGATACTGTGGTTCTCAGCTACTTTGGTAGAAGAAGTTGGAAAAACGGATTCAAATTCAATGAAGCAGTGGGTATATCAATTCTCTACAACCAAGCCAGTTGCTAATATCTCAGACACAAATTTCACGAATATGTGGTTCAGAATGTTGAAGACATTGTGACCATATTGACAAAGGGCATTGTAAACACACCAGGGGTTCCTATAAACACAAAGGTTCGCCAGGAATCAATGAAATGTTTTCAGGTTAGTCTTCAATCTTTATTTACTACCACCTTTTGCATCATAGGCATTGCCATTGCACAAGTAATATATTGAATGGCCAAGGTATGCTGAAGTATCTAAAGGTTGTTCCTTGGATTGCATTTGAAAGCCTTGTGAAATGAACAGGTTATTCGAATTGACCCATACAACTCGATTTTTGAACAGAGCCAAAAAGCCTTGGTTGTGCCAGAACATGTTTAATATCCTGAGAGTCATTTTTGCACCGGTTTCAGAATTCATACTAACATGAATAGTCATGGGTTCTTTACTCTCATCGTGCATTTCTCGATGCCGCCATTGTTCTTGCTCCTTTAAGAACTCTAACTCAGCCTGCATTGATGCTGATCATCGATAATGATTTATATGAAATCACTGTGGAGCTGTTTGCAGACATACTAGCCAACTACTCGTCCTTTCTCTCCGAGAATGACTTCACGATGCTTTACGATCTCTTCAGTAGCTCTTGGGCACAGGAAAGATATGCGAAATTGGTCCAAGGCGATTTTGACTTTGATTCAGTGCAATTCGGCCAATTCCTATTAAGTTTTGGCGATGCCACGGTGCAAGATCTAGCTCAAAATATCTCGACCGATTCTAGAAGTCAGCAAATACTTTCTGCTCTTGTAGGACTACTTGGCGCAGATGGCTACATTGTCAATGAAGACAAGATATTTGTCCCAGCAGTAGAATTCTGGGCTGTTTATCTGGAAACTGTACTCGACTTGTCATACAACGTGGATGCTTCACCTCCTTGGCTACCAGCAGCGAGATCAGTGCTGATGCAAGCAATCGAGAAATGCTGGCATAAAATGCAATTCCCTCCCAAACATGAATTCAGTTCGTGGGATTCAAATGAGCGTGCTGCCTTCAAAGATGCTCGAAGAGACGTGGGAGACTTAATACAACAATCTTACATGTTACTTGGCTTACCACTTGTTTCTAGCTTCGTTGACCTCATTCTAAAATCGGTTGAGAAAGGAGACGCCTGGGGCGAACTAGAAGCCTCATTGACCTGCTTATCTGAATTTCAGGACTATATCAAAGAAGAGTCGGATGAATACTTGGACAAAGTTTTTGGATCGCCACTTTTCTCTATGCTCACAAGGTCCGATTCAACTGTCCCTTCACGCACAAGGCAAGCGTTCCTCATGGTCATCAATGGCTATCCAGACTACTTTGAACGTCATACACAACATCTTCCGAGCGCTCTTAATCTTATGTTCAGTATGCTACATTCACCAACGTTGGCCAGGGTAACATCAAAGTCAATCGCGATGCTCTGTTCATCCTGCCGAAAGGTACTTGTTCCTGAACTTGCGGCGTTTCTGCAGCAATATAGTGAGATCAATCGAGAGAACTCTGTGGAAAGTTATGCAAAAGAGGGTGTCATTGGCGCTATAGCATCAATTATTGAAGCAATGCCGAACGATGAATTGAAGCTGGCCCCTCTTAGACAACTGTTGGAATTTGTCCAAAGGGACCACGAACGAAGTCTTCATTTATTGAGCACAAATTTCACAAACGTGGCATCAAATACACAGGTGCCGGATAGCCAAGTAGCTGCTGACGAAGTTGAACTCACTGCTATAAGATGTTTAATAAGTATCGGAAAGGGTCTTCAAGTACCTGCGGATACCCCTGTTGATCTTAATACTAATGAAAATAATTATTCATACTGGAAGAATGGCAATGGCAGAGGAATTCAAGTACAGGTTTTAAACATTCTTACCGCAGCTAACGAAGCCTTCCCCGGCCATGGTGAGATAACAGAGGAAATCTCGCACGTTTTTCGCACTGGCTTGGTCGAAACTGATGGCCCATTTGCTTTCCCTCCTGAAGATGTTGCTAAGTAAGTTACTTCTGAGCATGTTATCGTAGCCTTTGTTCAGTGCTAACTCAATGACTTAGATTCATCTTCAGATCCAATTATCAGACGCCTCGTATTATCACAGTCATCAACACCGCCTGCTCACTCATTAATTCATGTAGCACAGCATCAGATGAGCGCAACCATCAGGTTTCAAGTGCCTTGTTAACATGGGTCTCTGGATTGGCGGAAGCTATAAATCACGGTAGGTCCTTGTATTCGAACTCGCAGTTTTATAACAGAATTTACCAAAAAGGAGGAAAATTTATGCTAATAAATTACAGAGCCCAGCAATGACCCAGAGATCTCGCAACCAAGCATCGAGTTCCTCCATCGTCTAATCTCCACCCCTAAAAATCTCCACATTCTCCTTCACCATGAGCCCAAATCCTCGCTTGAACATATTTTCATGTTTACCCTCAAAGCCCTTACAGGCCGGGATCCACTACCCAAACAAAGTGCTGCTGAATTCTGGGTAAGTTAGACCTGACTATTTATCCCAGTTCCCCCAAATAATATATCAAAAACTCAAAGACTAACCCTAATCTAGGCCTCATTCGTCTCCCTCCCTACCAACAACCCAGATACCCACGTCCAACAAGCCATTACCAACGCTCTTCAACATCTCGGACCCCTCCTCGCCCAAGCCCTCATCTATAACATTGGTGGTGGAGCCGCTCGCAGCGAACTCGACAAACTTTCTGACCCGCTGCGAAAACTTGTTGTGAGTCAGGTGCGAGCAAAGAGTTGGTTGGAAGCGGCGTTGATGGATGGAAACTTCCCAAGTGACAAGATAGATCAGAAGGAGAAAATGGTATTTTTGACCAAGGTCATGAAGTAAGTTGTTCATTATGATGTCTGTTGTGAGAGGGAAGTTGTGAGCTAACTTTTGTGAAGTCTTCGTGGTGCTAGGGGAACAAATTCGGTGGTGAGAGAATTCTGGTTAGCGTGTCGAGGATCAAATTTTGCATATGTTTCTTGAGATGGAGAAGAAGGGGTAGATGGACACGACCAGAATGTGGATGAATGAATATTTGGATGGTGCCAAGAAAGGAACTATTCTACAATTGAATCCAGATAGCATTGTATTGTACACGATTGAACGCCTCAATCAATTTTAAATAGATAGACCAATCCTTTTTCCAGCATCTCATTTTCTATTTATGCATCCTCATCCTCTACTTGATCTGTAAACTTCTTGAATAATAAATACACTAGACATGTAAATCTAGAACCAACATGTATCTAAAATCGCATAAAAGCAGCCATAGCGAAAGTTGTCCCAAAAGAAACTTTGAACGCAACGTTTTCTTCTATGAGCGAACGTAGATTCACATGTTTGATATAGCGCTGGATACGATCTGTAGGGACGATATCGAGGCCGTGGGAAGAGGCCCACTGGAGGGGGAATGTTTGTTAGATGGCGGTGAGTTTATTCGGAGGGGAGAAGAAGATCTGTAAAGCAAGAAGTAGGTTGGGAGAACGTACTTGTATCCCAACAACCATTAAACCGATTATTAGCGCTAGCGAACGCGAAAATGTACTGACTGCCAGACCGGCTCCTAGTCCTGTGGTGGGTTGGGTGTTAGTGGGAGTTCTTTGTGTGATTTGTTCTTAATGGCTCTCTCTCCCTGCTGCCTTATTTTGCTTCCCTCTTGACATCACCTAGTTTCCATATCCATATCCATATCCATTCTCTCTCTCCTCCCTTCCCCTTCTCTTACTCTCCCTTTCCCCTTCTCTCTGTCCCCTCATACTCGAATAACTCAAACCAAACCAAACCAACCCCAAGAAAGGAAAGAAAAAACATACCAACAATACTCCCACTACTAATCTGACTCACGGTCTTCGAATCCAAGCCACCTCCCTTCTTGACAAGTGGCGTGCTCCTATTCCCATTTTTCGACAGCGGCGAGGAAACTGAATCCAAGCGAGCGGGGAAACGGTGCGATTGGAGAAGTGTGTAGGAGGTGTAGGAGGTGAGACCTAGTGCGGAAGCTGTGAGGCGGGGAGTACGGAGGAGAAGGCGGGACATTTTGGGGGGTTGCGAGGGGGTAGGGTTGATGAGATCAGGATTAGAGTTGAGGTGATAGTGAGAGGCAATTGGAGGTGGTAAGTGATGTTTGTTTGTGTGTATATTTGTTGGATGAGATGTGAATTGGAGTGAAGTACAGTATAGACCCATAAAGTCAAACGATGTTGTATGTGATATGCTATGTTTCTGATCATACATCAAGTGACGTCACGATATCGATAAGGATAAGAGTAGGAACATTTATTATTATTTCTCTTTCATAGAAGACTAATATGTCTCTTACCTACCTACATATAATGAAAGACTTGACGTTATTGATATATCGAGATTATGAAGAAGAGATCAAGAGATAACGACTGGAAGATGGACGAGTGAGTACCTTTATTCATATATTATAACTTAGTTATATTAAAGTAAATTCGCAGATCATTATGACCTTCTTACCTTCTTACCCCGAGATCAGGATCCCGAACTCCGATGCAAATACCACACAACCCACCGCATCGGATAATACCCATATAGTATATAGTACCTACCTAGCACTACTCTGTACAACTTTCCCAAACATGCTAAATTCTCTTATTCGTATCCGTCATGTCATCTATTGTATTAATAAAATCTCATCGGTATATCATCTCATCACCGTTACATACCGATGGACTATTATTGCATACATACATTCATCTATGCATGCATACTAATGGACTCGCAAACTCCTGCTCCCTTTCTTTTCTTCTTCTTCTTCTTCCAGCTTCCCGAATCTTCCCATACATACATATTATAATGTTATATACATCATACACATTATACCCATCATACCCATCATACACATTATACCCATCATACCCATCATACCCATCCAACCATCCATCCATCCAACCATCCATCCCAATCATCCAACCCCAACATAACATTCCCAAAAATCTCGCAAACTCCTTCCCCGATCCCAAGCGTATCTACCCAGCCAAAAGTGCATACCCCTCGATCGCCGTCCTAACCTAAACGGGTACTAAATGATACGAAATAAAATAGAACCCCTGCATATATCGTGACTTTAAATAACCCCCACGATATACGCAGGTGCGATAATCGAGTGTCCTTTCACCAATCAGGAGGTGTGAATCAGAGGGTTATAAGGATAGCTATACGTACCAAGAGGTAGATTTATACCTAGGTAGGTAGTAAATTATCTACTAGGTAGTAATATCCTTTTTGTTTGTCTCGGCATTACTTACCGATCGGAGGGGCAAGTGTCTCCAGCTACCTAGGTGCCTAGGAGGTGCAGATGAATTTGAATTGATTAAGAGAGGCAATGAGAATGCGATGAGTAAAAACATACCAAGGTACACCAGTACTAATGGCTATAGGATGGATGCATCAATCAATTGACCTATCAAAATACGAAAACTAACTTTATACCAAGACTGAGATAGATTGAATGGAAGGGAAGGAGAAGAGTCATATGCTAGACTAGATCTTTTACTTAGAAAAGTATTTTCATAATTTGAATTTCTTTTTCGTTCTTTTCTCTGATATATTTATATATATATATATACATATCTCATACCTACCAATACTCCCGAGTACATACATACATACATCTTCGAAATAGATTTCTTGTTTGTAATCTTCATTTAACTACACTTCTTACCAAGTTACTTACTTACATACTTCATCTTTTCTACTGTAGATACTACCTTAGAAAAAGACCTTCACGCTTTAAACTTCAGTTCTCTCCTCTCAACACCCAACAATACTCACAAAATGTCCAACGAACTACCCACCAGCGCCACCAATGGAAATGGAAACGGTCATGGCAGCAACACATCCTCTAACTTTGTCGTCAAGACCGGGTTGGCGCGAATGTTAAAAGGGGGTGTGATTATGGATGTAGTCAATGCTGAACAAGTGAGTAACTTACACTCTTCCCTCTTCCCTCCCCCATACCATCATAGCATACTCTTCATCATCGATCAATCAAAATGAAACAAAAACCGCCACTAACACCCCCCACCTCCAGGCACGCATCGCAGAAGAAGCAGGCGCAGTAGCAGTCATGGCACTCGAGCGAGTTCCCGCCGATATTCGTGCTCAGGGAGGTGTAGCCCGTATGTCCGATCCAAAGATGATTCGAGAAATTATGGAGACGGTTACCATACCTGTTATGGCCAAGGCGAGAATCGGTCATTTTGTTGAATGTCAGGTTAGTTTTCTTCATTGCCCTCCAATGCCCTACCTTCCTTCTTTCTTTCCCATCTTCTCACCCCCCTTCCTCTCTTTCTCAACCCCTCTAACACCCCTCCTCACAGATCCTCCAATCCATCGGCGTAGACTACATCGACGAATCCGAAGTTCTCACTCCCGCCGACGCGCTCCACCACGTCGAGAAACACGCCTTCACCATCCCCTTCGTCTGCGGCTGCCGCAATCTCGGTGAAGCCCTCCGCCGCATCTCCGAGGGCGCCGCCATGATCCGCACCAAAGGCGAAGCTGGCACCGGCGACGTCATCGAAGCTGTGCGTCACCAACGCCAAGTAACCTCGGAAATCCGTGCCGCCTCTCTCATGTCGGATGAAGAATTACGCATCCTGGCAAAAGATATCCAAGCCCCCTTTGAGCTTCTCAAAGAAACTGCAAAATTGGGTCGTCTCCCCGTGGTTAATTTCGCAGCGGGAGGAATTGCTACACCGGCTGATGCGGCACTCATGATGCAGTTAGGATGTGATGGTGTTTTTGTCGGAAGTGGCATTTTCAAGAGTGGAGATGCGGCGAAGCGTGCGAAGGCGATTGTCCAGGCGACGACGCATTTTAATGATCCGAAGGTGTTGGCGGAGGTGAGTGAGGATTTGGGAGAGGCAATGGTGGGGTTGAATTGCGGGACGATGGATCCCAAGGAGAAGATGCAGGGGAGGGGATGGTAGATGGATGGTTGGATTGATGACTTGGGTGAATTATGAAGAGTGAAATGATTGAATGATAGGGAAGGAAGGAGGTGAGGGTGGTACTTTGTTTATACAAATAATATCACTTCTATGGATTCTATGGATACAATAGGGGAAAAGAGAATAAGGTTAGGGTTTGGTATACCATCATATCAAATGACATTCATGGTATGTGCAGAGGCGTGAAAGATAGGTCTAGGTATATAGAGATTCTCAACTCATCTCAAAAATATAAATCCACAAAGCTCAAGAAATTACAGTATGAAGTAGCTAGCACATAAGTTTTTGCATCCTTTCAATATTCCTCGAGTGTCTACTCAAGTCTATAGATTATATACAGTTTGTTGGAAATAGTTTATATCTTTTTCTGCAATTCTATATGTCATAGTTATAAAAAGTCTTAGAAAAGTAATGAATTGATGAAGAAGTAATGAATTGCTGAAGCCCTTTCATTAGTACAATGAGGGGGGGAGAGTATGAAACCCTCGATTAGTTGAAGTTTCCTTCGTTGGCTTGTAGTATACCTACCTAATGATATAATACAATGCTTTTTGAAACACTTGAGAGCTGTGCAAGAGTAAATCTAAATGAAATAGAATCTAGCATTGAATAGTTTCGGAACATTGTCATAAGTAATATACGATGCCTACCTAGTACGAAAGATTCAAATGATATCGGTTAAATCATGGAGGGGTAATGTGGGGAGGATGGTAGCGGGGTTAAAATTCTTGCCAGGCGGTGACACTAAGCGGGCAGAAAATGATTCATCCCGATGATCACATTGATTTTGAAGACTCTTCTTTTGTTCTCCAACCGTCTTCTTGTACGTTCAATACCTTGACGCAATTTAGAATTTCACAATGGAGCCCATTCGAATCCTCCTTGTCGGAAATGGTGGTCGGGAACATACTTTGGCTTGGAAACTCAGTCAATCTCCCCGAGTCGAGTCTATCATCGCAGTCCCAGGAAATGGAGGAACTGCAAATTGCCCAAAAGTTTCCAATGATTCCAGTGTTAAGGCTGATGATTATCCTGGACTCGTTGCTTTGGCCAAGAAATATAATGTTAACCTGGTGAGTTTCTACTTTCTACATTCATCTGTTTTTTCTATTTCATTCAGATGCTCAATTTTGTTAACCAATTACTTACGTTCACATGTAGGTAGTACCGGGACCAGAAGCACCCCTCGTTGATGGAATCCAAGATTATTTCCGTGAGGCAGACATAGCGTGTTATGGACCATCAAAACTTGCTGCGCGTTTGGAAGGAAGCAAAGCATTTTCGAAAGATTTCATGAAGAAGTATAACATTCCAACTGCGGCTTACGAGAACTTTACGGACTACGAAGAAGCGCGAAAATACATTGATAGCGTAGGCCATAATGTTGTCATTAAAGCTAGTGGATTGGCAGCGGGAAAGGGTGTTATTATCCCAACATCGAAGGAGGAAGCTCACCAAGGACTCAGGGACATTATGCTCGATCGAGAGTTTGGGGCTGCTGGCGATGAGGTTGTTATCGAGGAATTCTTGGAGGGCGACGAACTCAGCATTCTCACTTTCTGCGATGGTTACAACATGTACTCTTTACCTGCTGCTCAAGATCACAAGAGAATTTTCGACGGTGATCAGGGACCAAACACTGGAGGCATGGGATGCTATGCGCCTATTCCCATTGCTACCCAAAAATTAATCGAAGAGATCGAGCGAACCGTATTGGAGCCCACGCTTCGCGGCATGAGAAAAGAGCGTACACCTTTCGTCGGAACTCTTTTCACTGGCTTGATGATAACCAAGAATGGACCAAAAACCTTGGAGTACAACGTTCGTTTCGGTGATCCAGAAACACAGACTTTGTTACCATTGTTGAGTGAAGATACCGATCTTGCAGAAATCATGCTTCTCTGCACTCAGGGGTCCCTCGACGAAGCGAAGATTAAGATTGATCAAAAATTCAGTGCGACAGTTGTGGTAGCTGCTGGTGGATACCCAGGCTCGTATGCCAAAGGCACACCCGTGGAAGTCAGCACACCTCCGGCAGGTTCCAATATATTCCATGCTGGTACCGTGGTGAAGGATGGTCAGTTACAAACATCTGGTGGACGTGTCATCGCAGCACAAGCTGTTGCAGAAACTCTCGAGCAGGCCGTAAAGGATGCTTACACTACTGTCGATCTCATCAAGTTTGATAAAATGTTCTACCGCAAGGATATTGCTCATCGGGCATTCAGATCTTCATCTGCTACGAAGGAAGCACTTACATATGCATCCGCAGGTGTTAGTATTGATGCCGGTAATAACTTTGTCGAACGTATTAGAAAAGCAGTTCTTTCTACCCGAAGACCAGGAGCCGATGCTGAAATCGGTGGGTTCGGTGGAGAGATTGATTTGGAAGCTGCTGGTTATGCGGGTGCCCCAACTGTAGTTATGTGCATCGATGGGATTGGCACCAAACTTGCCATTGCACAAGCTATGGAGAAGCATGACACAGTTGGTATTGATTTGGTCGCTATGAATGTAAACGATTTGATTGTTGCAGGCGCTGAACCACTTGGATTCGTCGACTACTATGGCTGCAGTCAATTGAAGCTTAAGAACGCAGCAGACTTCGTAGAAGGTGTTGCTAACGGATGCAAAGATGCCAACAGTGCACTCGTTGGTGGTGAAACAGCTGAGATGCCTGGTATGTACCAAGGGGATGATTATGATGCTGCAGGTTGCGCCATGGGAGTTGTAAAGAAGGAGAACAGATTACCAAGGACAGATTTGATGGCAGAAGGTGATGTCCTTATTGGCTTGGCATCTGCGGGAGTTCACTCCAATGGATTCTCTCTCGTGCGAAAGATTATTGAGAGAGAAGGTCTCTCCTACAAAGAAGACAGGTGCCCATGGGATCCTTCCACCACCGTTGGTGAAAATCTTTTAACACCTACTCGCATTTACGTCCGCTCTTTGAAACCAGTGGTCCAGAAACATTTGGTCACTGGCTTGGCCCACATCACTGGTGGTGGCTTGACTGAAAATGTTCCTAGAATGTTGCCATCTCATCTAGCTGCCGAGATTGATGTCGCTGCTTGGCAACTACCGAATGTGTTCAAATGGTTGAAGAACGCAGGTAATGTCGAAGCTAGCGAGATGGCTAGAGCCTTTAACACGGGTATTGGAATGGTAGCAGTAGTTAAGAAGGAGAATGTAGAGCAGGTTGTGGGAGAACTGGAGAAGTCGGGTGAGAAGGTTTATACCATTGGAAAATTGATCAAGAGATCAGGTGAAGGCTGTGAGTTGAGAAATTTGGACTCGTGGAATTAAAGACTACCTAGGTAGGCCCTGGGTAGAAAAAACGAGAAAATGGGAAGGCGGATCGCAATGGGATGGGAGGAAATTATGTTATACTAGCCGTCGGGGAAAAAGAATTTTCAGACTACGGATTCGTAGAATTCTCTTATTAATTATTATAATGATTTTGAAATCTTACGAATTCGCAGACTTCAACTTTTCTTTCACCGACGGCGAGTACTAATATAATATATAAATTTAATTCTAATTCTAATGCTAATAATTCTATTAATAACGAATTGCTAAGGCCCTCTTATTATGGGAACCCCCGATTAGTCATTCTGTTACAGATGTCTGAGAAATTTAAATGGATCTTCACAACGATCCGAGCATGGTCTGATTTCCAATTTCGACCTTTCTGACTATAATCCTAGTTAATATACCAATTTTTTCCAGTTTAATAGCGATATCGGGCAAGGCTGATAAAAAAAAAAAAAGGTTACAGTAGAGTTTATCGAATGATTCGATAGCAACTTTGAAATTCATGCTGAACCTCTCATTAACTCCTCCAATCTCAAACTTCCAAAAACCACCTCGATAAAAATGATTACCATAAGTCCGTCATCTCTATTTTCTCAGAGCCGCCCAAAACCTCGTTTACATTAGGATCATTTCCCGCGATGCTAGCAAGAAATTCGAAACTGACGTCCATATAGAAGTACCCTGTTCCTCTGCGAACATTGGCCCCGGATTCGACGTTATCGGTCTCGCTCTCTCCATATGGCTCGAGTTACATGTCGATGTCAACACATCGGTTACCTCTCACGCACCTCTCAATTGCAAAATTACGTATGAAGGACAGGGCGCAGAAGAGGTTCCGTTGACGGCTGATAGCAATCTGATTACTCGAACTGCGTTGTATGTTTTGCGATGTCATGGGCAGAGAAGCTTTCCTTCCGAAACGTCGGTTCACATTATCAATCCTATTCCATTGGGACGCGGTCTTGGATCGTCTGGGGCCGCAGTGGTAGCTGGTGTTGCGCTGGCCAATGAAGTTGGGAAGCTGAAGTTATCGAAGGCTAGAATGTTGGACTATTGTCTTATGATAGGTACGATTTAGCTGTCCAAAAGCCTGATACATCTAACGACATACACAGAACGCCATCCAGACAACGTAGCCGCAGCATTGTATGGAGGGTTTGTCGGAACATACCTCAACGAACTCAGCGCCGAAGACACAGAACGCAAAGAGATTCCACTCAGTGAAGTTCTCCCTGAGCCTGCCGGAGGAGTAGATACTGGATCCAATCCTCCCGAGCCACCAGTTGGAATTGGGCATTACATGAAGTTTCCCTGGGCACCCGAAATCAAAGCCATTGCCATCATTCCACAATTCGAAGTCGCAACCGCAAAAGCTCGAAGCGTCTTGCCATCTTCGTATTCCAGGTCAGATGTAGTATTCAACCTTCAGAGAATTGCTCTTCTACCTTCAGCGCTTGGAAGATCACCACCTGATGCAGAGCAAATCTATCTCGCAATGCAAGACAAAGTACATCAACCTTACAGAAAAGGTTTGATACCAGGCCTCCCTGAGATCCTACAATCTGTCACTCCTAAATCCCATCCCGGTCTATGTGGAATCTGTCTATCAGGAGCCGGTCCAACTATTCTTGCGCTTGCAACAGAGAACTTTGATGCAATTGCGAATGTCATTTTAGATACTTTTGCGAAGAATGATATCAAATGCGATTGGAAATTGTTGGAACCTGCGCAGGACGGAACAACTGTTACATACAGCTGATACGGCGTTGTTAAAAAATAAAAAAAATGTTTCGTCTTCTAAATAAAATTTATAAAGACTTGAGGGAAATTTAAGGCACAAACATACTACCTTGCTGAACAAGCCAGGTCTACTGTTAGAGAGAAGCAAATATTTACGTCATCTAGCATAGAACATCAATGCTTATACGTCCCAATATCAGTCGAATTCCTCCCGTGCTTTTAAAGAGCCATGTATCCATATACGCCTTCCCTATACGAAAAAGAAGTCCCTATCCAGGCAAGCTAATCTGACAAAATTTCCCAAGCGAATTTAAGCAATTATGCAACGTTTTAGCATGTAGTTGTCCTAGTCTAACCTAAACCACCCCATGCACCTCGAATACGTCTTGCAAGTTGTATGTCCTTTTGCATAATTGTGACTCTCTTGGCATGAATAGCACACAAGTTCGTGTCTTCAAACAGGTGAACGAGAAATGCTTCAGCGGATTCTTGAAGTGCTTGAATAGCTTGTGATTGCCAGCGCATTCCCTCACCTTGAGGACGTACTGAGAGCGCAATTTCACGGACCTAGATTCGCATCATGTTAGATTTGACTCTGCAATGTTGAGAAGGGCATAAATACTAACCAAACGTGAGAAGGGAAGTTTGAGGAGGAGCAGGTCAGTAGACTTCTGGAACTTGCGAATTTCCTTCAGAGCGAGGGTACCAGGCTTATAACGTCGCTTTTTTCCTTGAGGAACTGGATCTCCGGCTAATCACATCAATTGAGTAAGTATGTCGAGTTTAATATGCACTATGATTTTCTCCCGAGCTTCACATCAGAGTATAATTGACCTGTTGACCCGTTTCAAACGCGCGCGCAATTCTTTGAAATGCAAGAAGAAAATCCGGCTTACCTCTAACAGCACTATCCCTTGCCTTTTTACTCATGCTCTTTCCTGCAACAGATTTTCCTGCTGGTCTGCCCGGTGCGTTTGCTCTTGGGGTACCCCCTATTGATTCGTCGTCCAGTGACAAACGCTGCTTTTTCTTCTGCATTTGCGACATTGTGAATTTTGATTGGAATCCAAAGCTTTAGGAGTATTCGGCGAGGAGATATCTTTTCTGCTGTGATTGCACAAAGTGATGGTGATCAATCAATTTGCGAAATTCTAGAGGATATTGTTGTGGCCGGAATGGATTCGACGACGCGGTTTTGCGCGATGATGCGCGTCTTTGAGATTTGGACAGCTGATCTAATTGAAGGTGAATAGACCAAACCGAACCGAACAAAATTTGAGAGGTGAAATCGCGTGGGATTGCAATGGGTGAGATGGGAGAGAAATGTAATTCAATTGGTAATTCTGGTCTGGTCTAGTCTGAAGTTGAATATTGAAGGGCCACAGCAACCATATTTACAATTCCTACGCGCTTTGACCATTTGGTAAAAAGGAAAATATGGCTATATTCAAGGCTGAAACCTAAGACTGTCATGTCAGCCTTGCCTTATCTAAGATCGTCCGCCGGGTCAAAGGCTAGTCATCGTTGGACCTTATTAGAACAGGACAACTTGTTCAAAGAAACCTTCGTTCGTCATGAACGACAGATAAATTATAAATACGAACCCACGACCTTCCTTTCCAAAACAAAAAATCTTTAAGTCAAACTAAACCATCTAGGAATCGCATTACCTCGTATCCCAAGAAAAAAGTATTTAAATTGCCTCCATATCCTCACTTCGGAATCTCGAAATATCCAGCAACTTCATTACGCAAGCGCTCCTCGTTTTATCCCATATAGTCAAATTCTGAGTCTCGTTGTCGCATTACTTCTATCAACACCCTCATACATCCAATTATGGATCAAATGATGGGAAATGGGGAAGGAGGTCCCGCCGGATTTCCGCTCGAAACTTGGTTTTGGGAGATGCCCGTTTGTACAAGATGGTGGACGACGGCTACAGTCCTTACAAGCGCGCTGGTGCAATGTCAAATTGTTACGCCATTCCAACTATTCTATAGCTTTAGAGCTGTATTTGTGAAGTCGCAGGTACGATTGTTTTTCCCTCCGTTGCGCATTCGCTTTCGCATCTAGAATCCTCGCTGATCCTTTATCACAAATAGTATTGGCGCCTCTTGACAACTTTTATATACTTTGGTCCTTTATCCCTGGATCTCGTTTTCCACGTCTTTTTCTTAACCAGGTACTCGCGACTCCTTGAAGAATCATCCGGTCGATCTGCGGCGCATTTCTCATGGCTATTGCTCTATGCGATGACTTGTCTTATCTGCATAAATCCTCTGGTCTCAATGCCATTTTTAGGACATCCGTTATCCTCGACTCTCGTATATATCTGGTCGAGACGAAACCCCGATACACAATTAAGTTTCCTCGGATTACTGGTTTTCACAGCTCCATATTTACCGTGGGTTTTGATGGGCTTCAGCTTAGTTTTGCACGGGACAGTTCCAAAGGATGAATTGATGGGAGTAGTCATTGGTCATGTTTGGTACTTCTTTTGCGACGTTTATCCACCGCTACACAATGGACATCGTCCTTTTGATCCACCAATGTTTTGGAGAAGATTGTTTGAGAGACAACCAAGAGAGGAAACGGCGGACGCAATCAATAACGATATTGCAATGGCCGCAGCGCCAGGACCTGAAGTGAGATGAAAAGAGCATCAAAGAATATCATGATGAGATTGCATGGGAAGGCGTTCGGATTTTAAGAAGAAATTGGGTGTGAGCGGAGGCTTTGAGGATATTTGTTCACATAACAAGCACAGCAAGCGTAAAATTACTGTATGATTAGAATTATTGATAACTCATTGAGCGTGGTCATGAACTACTATCTGCATCCGACTCTACTTTTAATGAATCCGCCGCAGCCCCCTTTGCAGCTCGGTCCTCCTTTTTCGTTTTCGTAGACACATCTACATCTCGAGCATCGTCTGAATCCTCCTCATTATCAAGCTCATCAACGGGAGCTACGGGATGATGGAGATGCTTCCAGTCCTCCAACTCTTCTATGATAGATCGCAAACGATCTCTAATACTCTCTATAGCGTAACTCCCCAAAAGTAATCGTAAAGGCGGGTAAGAACAATGACCTAGTTGCCAAACCAAATCCGCGCATTTCTTAGCACTAGTCGGTTGATTATCTCCCAGCCACTGAACCATTCTCTTCGCATGCAACGCCGGCGAAGTCGGATCGGAATATGGTTCACTGGGAGGTTTAATCAAAAAGTGTCCCCAGGTAGGTAGCGGACCCGAAGCCAATTCCTTCTCATCTCTCCTCACCAACCCCGGCTCTACCAGTGTAGCTTTGATATTGAAAGCATCCACTTCGTAAAGCATCGCTTCGATCATTCCCTCCACCGCATACTTCGTCGCGCAATATGGTCCCAAGCCCGGAACCCCCAATGCGCCGGAAGTACTACTGAATATCAAATATCTCCCCGCTCCTTGCTCGCGAAAATATGGGAGACTCAATTGGATAATATGTACAGTGCCCATGAAATTCGTCTCGAACTGATTGCGGATTTCGTGCTCATCTTGATCTTCGCATGCGCCGATGACGCCGTAGCCCGAACAATTGGCTATCACATCGATGCGCTTGAATTTTTCAAGTGCCTGTTCTGTTACTGTAGATACGGATTCTCGTACACGTACGTCGCAGAGGATATTGAAGCAGTTTGGGTGCGGGAATGTGGTTTGCATTGATTCGAGTGTATTTTCGTTGATTCGGCCGACGGCAACAACTTCGTCGCCTTTGGAAAGACATGCTCGTGTGAGACTCTGGCCCATATGGCCACTGGCGCCGAATATCTAAATCTGAGTTAGTTGATTAGAAGAGGTGGAATAGCATTAGTCAGATGGATAGATGATCTGTCTGCTGGGGCGCGATTGGAAATACTCACTATCCAAACCTTTGGTTTCGTCTTGTTATTTGGGCCCGGTGGCTCACAACTGAGAGGGAGTTGTAATTTGATCTTTTTACCATCGGCATTGAGAGTATTTTCGACTTTGAGAAAATCAGGAGGCATGCTGTCGTGGGCATTGCTCTGAGGGGGATTTTGTCCCGATGGTAGTAGATTGTTGTGAGAGTCGAAGTCGGGGGTATCGGCAGAGAGTTCTCCTTCTTTTGAATCCTTTTCCTTCATCTTCCTTTGTTTATAAGTTTGTGCGAACTCGTAAATCGTAAACGGCGATGATGAGTTGGTACTCTCGTGGTGACGTTGAAGGGAGCTGGGGAAAACTAGCCAATAGCGGGGTTAGCTTCCCCTTCCCAAAAGATTTGTTGCATATCTGTTAGCACCGTCGGCTTTGGGGCTTTGGGGAAAAGTAACAATTTAATTGCAGATCCAGAATCGCAAAGGTTTGAGGATCTTGAAAAGAAACATTCTGGGAATTTTGACCAAGGATTGCGAAAGTTATGGAGATGGGCATCTTAGTAGCAATTCGTTATCGGGTTGTTTACAAACTCTTATCGTCTTCAAAATATTCGTCTTATCTTTTATATCTTCATTCACTGCACGGCATGAATTGACGTAAGTCGGGATCTTTCTCTACCCTGATGGATGGTTGGCGCTGATGATGGGGTGAGATGGGAACAGATAGTTTAGATGGGTACTCGAGTACTGTACTTAGTTAGGATGGTAATCAGGCGTAGGTATCTGGCATGAGTTCAAAGGACGAACTATATGACTTTTATCTTGTCTATACATTTATGCGACAACAGTGTACAGTATCTCAATCAGACCTACCTGAGACACAAATTTGTTCCAGCCCCTGAAATCGCATTCTTGCTACCTATCATCAGATGCTATCAGATTCAGCTTGCAGTGTTTCATTACTTCGTTATCGCCGTTTCAGTTCCATCATCTACCCTTCCATCTCCAACTCTCCCATTACTGGCCTGCGATTGCAGGAACAGTTTGTAAATACTCCTTGCGGTATGGATTGGCATCGACTTCTGGACCACGGTTTAGAGGAGTCCATTTGGGTTCCTCCTTGAACAATCTCATTGCTTGGATATACTGTTCTTTTGTTAGTGATGGCGCTTGCTAAAAAGAACATCATAGAGGGGAATATACGTTGTTTTCATCGGTGGTAAAACGATGGTAGATACCAGCTGGGAGAATCTGTCCGCCAAAATCAGCCCCTATTCCAACACGATTCCAGCGCATCTATCAGAAATACTTACGATCAAGTCGTCCTTTTCCAATCTAATACGAACCCACTCATCGCCCTCACTTCTAACATCAAAGAATCCCGCCCCATCTCTGATATATCTGATCTCCTCATCTTCATGCAAATGCTCATTGAAGAACGACTTGACCTTCTCCTCATAAATATCGCCCATCTTCTCTGGTGAAACCGTAATTACATCGCGATTCTTGTAACTTCTGTCAGAGGCGAGCTTGTCGACATCTTTCTCATCTGCGAATCTGTAGTAGAGAACTCCGAGCTCCTCCAAGTATTCAGGGTTAACGTCGCGACCTGAGTCGTGAAGTTCGCGTTGGTCGCCCTATAGAAAACTGTTTGTTAGCAAAAAGAAAATCGAGGGAGGGGTAGTGTAGTGGGGGTGAGGGGTACTTTACCTCCTTGTTATCAAACCAGTAAGCTCTCATTTTGAATTTCAGTGGATTGAGTATTTGTAGATTTGGTTTCGAAAGGTTTGAGTGTGGTGTTTATGCTTCAGATGTATAAGAAGGGTTTGAAAGAGGCTGTGATATGTTTGTCTTTTGTTGGTTTTGGATAAACAATAAATGGAAATTCTTAGGAAAAAGTCTGCGCCGATGAGATTGACGCCATTCACCCATTCACAAATAGTATTACACAATCACATTGTATCGCAACGGCGCACCCCAACCAGTTGATAAATATATAATTGTGAATACCTAGAATGACCACGTGAGTCATAAATGGTTATTTCCAGACTCACCTTTTTTTGCAAATAAAAAATAAAAAAGATCGAGATTCTACGAAATGTCATCGTCTTCTCAATCCCCGAAATGCTTGCAGGGGTGTTTCCCGAGTTTCTCGAATCGATTCAAACAGTTCTCCTGAATACAAGCAAACAGTCAATGTATCTTTCCTCGTTGCTTCCAACCCATCTCTGGTCTATGAATATCAAATGCAAGCGCAAGTCTAAAGATGTTATTTAGAGAGTCATCAATTGTTGTATACATCATGCTGTGCAATATATCCCGGGAGAAAGTTCTTCGTACCCTGCAGTCAGAAAGGCCATCTCCAACATGCATGATATGTAGAGCCTTGAGTTGAGGCGAGATAACATCAAGGATCCTACTTCGAAATTGGATTCAAGAGAGAGTGAGAGGCTGAAGAGATGCAGATTCGGTCTGAAAATGGATCATAGAACAGATTTCTTTTCATCGTCAAGGAATGTGGAGCAGATCTATAGTTTGCTTCGTTCGAGATCACTCCAGGAAGATTTCTTACTTTGATCTTCCAGCAAGACTGATTTGATGTATGGTGATATGCGGGCTGCTAACATACAGCCCCCAGCGGCGAGTCTCCTTGGCCATCTCGTATATCATCTGTCCGTTGCAACTCGTCTTCCCCTTTGCCTCAACACAATAGAATCAGTCATACTCGGTGTATAGCCTGATGCACGCATGATTTAAATATCCTCGCATAGCTTTCCAAGTAAGCATAGTGATACTTTAAATAATTTGACCCAAAATATCAAAATAACTAATTGATAATCGACGGTTCAGCATCATATAAGTAAGAACGGCACAATTGCATCTCACCTGTGACTTGTGTACTTCACACTTCTGTCAGTATTGATATTCACTCGACTGATATATGACATCAATACGATCCCACAGCTTCCATATTTGATTTTTGCTTCTCAAAGGATGAAGACACATCATTCAGCAAGCTCATATACAAGTGGCGCTTCACAATCAAGTCTGCATAATCAACTCGACGAAATATCAGCACCACAATGACTGTTACACAATTCAATGGGCCCAATAGAAAATTCTCTGTGCGCTTCAGTGCCATCACATTCGAAGATCCCGATCTGGATCTACAACTAAATCCGTTGGCGTCCGTTTCAAACATAGGGAACGAGAATAATGTGCGCGAAAATTAACTTCATCCTTCAGATTCCACCTTGAACTTGCCTGGATCATCAATTCACGGCTCCGACGATGATTCTGCTAGTGAACAGCATTGTAAACACTTGATACCAAGTCCAGCCTCGAGCGCAACTGGAAACACTTTACTTGTGGATGATTGTGGTTTCACGCATCCATACACAGATATAACTCTAACTAATGCCTGTAGCCAATTTGAATACGGTATCCTGGAACTCTGATTGGCAACAACCTACACTCATGATTTCAATGTTGTCAATTGGATTTCTTCTATCAATCGGGCATCATGTCTTTTACAACTCCTTAGACGGCACTATCGCGGGTGATTTGGCGAGACAAGCATGGTCATTGCAAGTGGGTGCGGCATTTGCATTCCTCGCCGTCATATGTTTTCGAGTCGCTATAGTAGCTGCGCTAAATCAATTAATCTGGAAAATTGTGAAAGATTCGGCTCTCACTATGGGTACTGTTCTTCATATCATTATAAGCCTTCCGGGCCTCTTCATGCTGACACAGTGGGATTTACAGGTAGTCTAGATAAACTCTTTACTCTCGCCACTAACCCGTTTGGTATCTCCAATCTTTGCATTCTGAAGAATGCTTGGCTCGCGGCATTCATAGGCTTCATCTTTTGGTATTGTTTCTCTTTTTCTTCTTCTCAACTTCACATTTGAACTTCCAGTTAATATCGATTTTGGCCGCTTGTTGGGCGACCAAGAAAATTTTGTTGTTGCTAGACAAGCAACGAAGCTGATATCGTGGTCAAACTAGGTGTATGGATCTCATGAGTTTTTCACCAACAGCTACATTATCCGTTGTGGCTAAAAACTTATCTGTTGAGGTTGATATTTTAATGCTCAACAGCTCGAGGATTTCCTAGAATAGGGACGAAGTTTCTATTTTTGATCAAAGCAACCCATCGAACAGAATTGCATGGCAGTCAGCAGATATGTCAGATGTTGTACCTCTAATTCAGCTAGTATCGAGTCCAAATTGGTCTTACGACTTGAACTTCTTTGGACCAAGTTTCAAATGCAGGCCAGCTGATAGCACGGAGCAAGCTGATTTCAATCTCATGACCCGAGCGCTGGAGATCCAAGAAAACACTTTCGCTGCTACTCGGATGGATGATAAGTATTGGAACATTGGTACTCACCCTTCCCCTCCACGGAATGATAGTCTTGGAAATTCGAGCGATTCTGATTCCGATTATATGATGAAGAACATCACTTTCCATAGGCTACTCTTCTACTCCTCTTGGGCGACACCTACTTTCAAAGAATAAACCGATTCTTGGTGGCCTGGCGTTTATACGGAAGCTGATGGTACTCCAACTAGTAATTCAATTTTTTGGACTCCCTCTGATGTTCCATCCCCTTTTTGATCAAAATATATTCTCTTACAAACGTCAACCTCAAGCATAGTGTGCTCGCCGATAAATACTTCTTTTGAAGTCACAATTGCTTCTATAAGTGGAAGACAAAAAATCACACAACGTGGTGTTACCCCGGTCCAGAAGAGCTCTCTCAATTATATGGATCAGAGTATGCACGACTCTCAGTTCGTAGCACTAGCTTCAACATTAGCCGGCAATGCCACTCTCAGCATCGAGGGTTCGGGTCTGCCGGGTCTGTCTAATGGAAGCAATGACTTACGGTCGTTTATCATCGGAGAGTGCAACATCATCGCCCTTGGCCTTCTCGCAGATGAAGAATTTCAGAGATCTCCATTTATCTCGAAAATGAGCACCCCCAACGAGACAAACGCAGGCACCAAAAATCTATACGCCACGTGTCCCACGCAACCTTACCAGTGTCGAAACCAATCTATCTTGCGTGCAATCAAAGATCTCTCAAATAATATCACCATAAGCTATCTCAGTTCTCCTGCCCTTGCCAGTACTAAGCTCAGAAACATCACAACCTCAGACACTATGATTGTATATTTATATCGACCCCTCTTTCTCATTCTCTCGTATGGGATTGGATTTCTGTTCACATCTATCGCAGTCATCATTGGCCTTCACTCCATACATGTCAATGGAGTTTCATATTCCAGTCTGTTCTCCACTATTCTTGCTACGACTCGCAATGCCGATCTGGATGCCCTGACTAGCGGTGCTTCTTTGGACGCGGACCCTCTCGCGAAGAATATTAAACAAACTAAATTGAAGTTTGGTCCAGTATTAGGAAAGGAAGGAATGTGCCAGAGCTCGGTACCAGGCTGTGGTGTGTCGCACATTGCGTCTGGATTAGAGGGGACTATTAGGGATTTGAAAAAGCGGGGACAGTATTTGTAATTAGATCTACTCTTTGTATGGGGCACTTTGATATCAGTATGCATTGTATTTCTCTTAGTGTCTAGGGGGAAAGGCGTAAATCCGAGGTGACGATTTTTGACCCTGTTAGTAATGATTCTTAAGCTAAAAACAAACTCTATATTATCTGCCTGTAATCCGTATAGCTATGTGCAACACCCTTAACTGCCTAACAAAAATAGATTCAGATGGTCGTCCGCCTTAGGCATCGTTACTACGATCAGAGGAAGGCTTGCAACAATCATCTACTCGGCTGCTCAAGAATCCCATATACTGAAATAAACATTAACGCAGCATTTATCTAGGAGCTTAAAAACAGCGGATGTCGAGAGAATAGGTCAATATGCAAGTATCCTTCAATTTGTGAACTACACGGATGTAAAGAATTGCTATGTATCTCAGACCTGTATGCATCGTCTCGGTTATCCCAGCTATACAGAGGGCCCATTATTATCTCGGTTGTGTGAAAACTGGGGATCTAGTTCAATACCTCCGCCCTTGACAGGAACCTCCACAAGAGCGGTAGAAAAAATGATACCTCCCATTTTGAAAAACTGTTGCCTGATTGAGTTCTGTTTGGAAACATTCCTTACAGTTTCTCCATTCCCTTTGCCGTTCCCCACCCCGCTTTAGAGTTTCGCCCCTCCTTTTAAAGTTTGACTTCTCGCTATGTTTCTTTATTAAAGCTATTGAGTTCTATAATTGTTGATATCAACATGGGTATAGTGACATCATGTGTTCATACTGTTGTAATATTGCTTCAGGAGCTAACTAAGAAATTATTTAGTATAAACCCATCTAGATCTAGTTGCTATGTTAGTACCGGGATGCTAGCACTGTGCACTAGTATGATAGTTTAATTCTGAATGATATTGACGGCAATGAAGTATATACCCGTCTCTAACGACATTTGCTACCACTGGAAAATAATTGGATCTCATCACAAACAATGATAATTATGATCCGATATCTCAATAAGGAAAGCTTTTGAAGGATTTCAGAGCGTGGCGCGTTGGTTAGTTGGTGGCACGGTGCTTAACCTATCTAGGGACTAACTGCGAACTTCACAAAACCATGTTCAGTATGTAAACAAGCGCGCGATGTTCAAATTCCATTCTCTCTTCACCTTTCTTCCCTCTCATTTTTCTAAGCGCAAGATAATCAATTAATCTTCATCCATTTAAATCAAATCGGTTTGCGACGATAGATTGATCGTTGAATACCTACTGAATGTTACCCATTTGTTACCCCAATACCGTACTATTTATATTACACTGCAGTAGCAAACATCGAAGCGAAACTCCTGCATAAAACCCCGGTCCGCCTTTCACCTAGCCAACAATTTGGCGTCATCGCTTTATTTACAAGAGACCCTTCATGTACCTACATTTACAACATCAATTTCGCAAAAAAATCGCTGACATCAACGAAACATTAATTGCCATGGCTATCGTTCCGCGATTGATGCCAGGCATGGGAATGGGTGTGGTATCAACTGCATCTACTCCTTCTTTGCGGTCGAGGAGAGATAGTGTTGTGTCTACAGCCAGAGATACCGGTGGAAATGTTAGAGTTGTGGTTAGAGTTAGAGGATTTCTTCCTAGAGGTGAGTATTCTAAGTAGATCAGGAAATCAGAATATTTTACTAATGGCGAAATAGAAATTAATAGAGGAGCTAAGTGTCTGATTGATATGAATCCAATAACACAAGCAACCACCCTTCTAGTACCAAACGATACAGATCCTGCAAACTCTCGTTCGAAGATGCGCAGAGTCATTGAAGAGAAAAGCTTCACATTCGACAATTCCTTTTGGAGCCACAACCAATCTGATGAACACTATGCACATCAGGAGGATGTTTATAATAGTTTGGGAGAGGAATTTTTGGACCATAACTTCGAAGGATATCATACATGCATCTTTGCATATGGCCAGACTGGATCAGGAAAGAGTTATACAATGATGGGCACAGAAGATCAGCCAGGATTGATACCAAGGACCTGCGAAGACCTTTTTGAGCGGATCGAGGCAGCGCATAATGAAAGTCCAAACATTTCCTATAATGTCCGTGTATCTTATTTCGAGGTTTATAACGAACATGTTCGAGATCTTCTTGTTCCATTCCACCCCAATCAACCACCCTATTATCTGAAGATTCGTGAATCCCCCACCGAAGGACCCTATATCAAGGATTTGACCGATGTACCTGTTAAGAATTTTTCTGAAATTATGCGGTACATGAAGATGGGAGATGCCAGTCGAACCACAGCAAGTACTAAGATGAACGATACAAGTAGCAGAAGTCATAGTGTTTTTACCATCATGCTCAAACAGATCCACCACGATATGGAAACGGATGAAACAACAGAACGTACTGCCAGAATTCGACTCGTGGATCTCGCAGGTAGTGAACGTGCAAAGGCAACAGAAGCAACAGGTGCTCGTCTACGTGAGGGAAGTAATATTAACAAGTCTCTAACAACTCTCGGTCGTGTTATTGCAGCTCTCGCAGATCCAAAGCAACAACGTACCGGAAAACGCAACAAAGATGTCGTTCCCTATAGAGATTCAATCCTTACCTGGCTACTCAAAGATTCATTGGGAGGAAATAGTAAAACCGCAATGATTGCGTGTATTTCCCCTTCCGATTACGACGAAACTCTCTCTACCCTTCGCTATGCCGACCAAGCCAAACGTATTCGCACGCGTGCCGTCGTCAACCAAGATCACGTTTCCGCTGCGGAACGTGATGCTCAAATTGCTGCCATGGCAGAAGAGATTCGTATTTTACAACTTCAAGTTTCTAATTCTGACTCTACCAAAAAAGAAACAGAAACTAAAGCACAAGACGAAAGACTTGAGCAATATCAGAACAAAATTGCACTCATGCAAAGAATGATGGAAGACAGAACCATGATATCAGAAGGTAAAATTCGAAGCTTGACAACTGAGAATGACGCCTTGAGATTGCATCTTAAATTAGCTTTGGAGAGCTTGAAGAACCCAATCAAAGTGGAACCTGCTAGAACTATTAGTATGGGCAGTATTAGTTTCGGTATTGGGGGCGGAGTTGAACACGATAAGGAGAACAGAACTATCGATGAAGCGACTAATGAGGAAGATGGCTACGAACATGACTATTCAGACGAAGACGAAGCTATCGATATGGGTGCGCGCGAAGAGAGAGCAAGCGAGATGCAGGGTTTCATGGGCGATTTGTTAAAGGATCTGGATATGTTCAGGAAGAAGATCTGTGATGACAAGGGGCGTTTCGGTAGGGAAATGACGGTTAATGTTGTATGATTATTAGGAGAGGCTGGATTTTTATGACCTGGTATGGTTTCACGAAGGGAAAACAGGGCAAGCGTTGGTGTTATGGGAGGTTTGCATTTTTTTATTATACCAAGGGTAGGAAAGGGATTGGGGGTAGGATAGGCAGAGTCATGGATTATGGCACGGTTTATAGAGTCTAATCAGGCATTGGTTAATATTAGCGGTGGTAATCTGAGTTTGTGCCATATCTTTGGATCAGATCAAGGGGATCAATGTCCGTTAATCGAGGCGCATAGACTTTGAGGCAGTGTAAACAGTATGTCTTTTTGTAGAATTAAGCCGTTAAAATAAAGTCAATTCTTCTGCACAATGAGAGATGTAAATTGTATACCCAATTTAAGGTGTCATAGCAATGTTTGATGTGTTAATCGAATATGACAAGCAAACAGCACTCCACTCCAATGTTGAATATTCATGATTTCATTTTTGTATCCTTTTAATTACACCACAGCAATACGTGGTATCCTAATACTTCAAAGTTCCTCAATCCCTGCCTTCTTCCCCTCCTTCATCTTCCTATCACCATCAGCATCTTTCTCCTCGACTTCACTCTCACTTTCGCTTCCCCTCTCCCCATCCCTCGTTTCTTCCAAAACGCCCAGTCCCAAGTTCATCTCCACATAACTCTCTCCCTCTTTCACATCCTCCAATTTCCTATCTTCTCCTTTCTCAATCTTCTTCATCAATTCCTCATTCGCTTCTTTCATCTGTTTTAGAAAATCAGGAAGATTATTCAGACCTTCTGAAGCACCAAATCCGTTAAGTGTGGATACACGCATGACGGGACGAGCATTCAGAGGACGGATCATGGGAATCTCATCATCGGAGTCGTCTTCAGAAGAGGGTTCTGATGATGAAGTTTCGGCTTCGGATGATGTGTTGGCCTGGGATGATGCGGGAGATGAGGATTTAGGTGGGTTTGTTGATGGTTTGGAGACGGATGTGGATGGTGAAGTGGTGTTTGGGGAGGTTTTTCCAAGAGCGGTACGTTTTCTCGAGGGAAGTTTGGCGTCGAGGATTTTTCGAGTGAGCGTGGATTCGGTGTCCATTGCTTCTGTGGGAGGGGAGGAGCGTTTTGCTGACATGGTGATTAGGTATATCAGGTGAGTTATTGGGTTTGAGATATGGAGTGGACGTTTTGGAGAGTCTCAGCTCAGTATTGTGTCTCAGTGATAGGACCCAATGGTAGACCCGGGATACAAAAGATTGGTTAATGAAAGTCTCAAACCTATATATTCTCGTGAGTATTAGAACTTTTGATAGGTAATGGATCCAGAAGACCAGGGTACAAAGCAGGGCTTATGTGATACTGGAGTTTTGTTTGGATAGAGGTAGAATAGAATATGTATTGCAAGAGTCCAAAAGGAATTCTGACACTATTCTGATTGGAATCTTGTGATAACAATCCAGCAACAATAAATAATTGGTTTCTGTAAAGTGATTTGATGATTTAATTTGGAGTGATCGTCACCAAAAAAAAAAAACCAAATATTGAAATCTTCCCAATCATTTCTCACCGCCAAATATTGCCTTGACCCACGTGATCCCACTCCCGGCCACTCACCGGGCGTGTTTTACTTTTCCCTGACCGCGCCGCATGTCAGGCCTGCAATTCTGCACAACCAATTGAACCAATGTGAAAGGCCAAATGAACATTGCAAGGGGAAGCTACTCTTTGCGAGGGCCGTTCGGGCGCTTGTTTCAGGGTTTCATCCTGAATCCACTGCTTCAGATGTGATCTGCTGTGCATTCTCTTGGCGCCACTGTTACTTCACCACTTCATCCTTTGTACAATAATACGGGCTGCTTTCTCTTTCATCCTCTCCACCACCCCTTTCTATTCATCCCACCCTTAGCTTTGTCAATCTCTTGGTATCTTGTTGTTTCTTTCTCGAGAGCGGTAACAGCAGTCGAGTGTCCCATTACAACCTCAAAAGTTTTAATATTACACATACCATTTATACAATATGGCTTTACGACCATCACTCATTACACGAGGAATTTCCACCTCCGGCCCAAGCGATACTGGATCTCCTGCTCGCGACGATGCAAAGAAGAATATGCTGAAAGCAATGCGTCCATTGCCGACGCAACATTATTGGAATATATATTTCGATAGGTCAGTGCTTCTCTTTATGGGATGTGTGGATTCCGTCGGGTATTGGATTGAGTACAATTGCTAACACGCTACCAAATAGACAACAGAAGGATCAAAAGCCTGCCGCAGATGGAAGCTATACTGCTACCCTTGACAAGCTTCCTACGCAAGTTGAATCCATTCAGGACTTTTGGCGTTATTGCAACAATACCCCGTTCGATCAGATTAAAATGAGAGAATCGATTTATTTGTTCAAACAAGGATTCCAGCCAGTATGGGAAGATAGAAGGAATATCAATGGAGGTAGTTGGACATTTAGGGTTCCTAAGCAAAATGGTCCGGACTTTTTCACTAGAGTTCAATTGATGGCTATAGGGGAGAAGCTTCAAGGCTGTTTAGAATCAGGTAAGCGGGCTTACACGAATCCCTCGGTTGAAAAAATACCAGCCCCTTTATACAGGCAGCTGGAATCGGAATATGGGTGAGAGTCAAAAATATCCAATTTTTGGTCTCCACAACGTCTGAGTGTCCCTTGAACAAGCGTTCTAGGCCACGGGCTGGAAGTGTGAAAGGCTATGGATGGAACGCTACTGGAAATAAATACTAACATACGAATAGGCGATCAGCTTTGTGGTGTTGGACTCTCCGTACGTTTCAATTCTCACCTTATCTCAATCTGGCACCGTGATGCCTCGAAACAGAAATCCATCGATGCGTTACTCGCTACAGTTATGGAGGAACTTCCCCAAGAACTGAAACCCAAGCCCGACAATTTCTTCTACAAGAAACACTCAGATCACGCCGGATTCAAAGCTCCACCAGCGGAAAGTACATCCGAGTCCGCACAGACTGAGTCTACTGCACCTAAAATTCAGACGGAGGTTCCAGCGGTTTAGACTAGCTGTTTCATTCATGATATCATGGGAATTATATGGGAATTGGCGTCACAAATATCATTTAAGGTCAGATAATGAAAATTATCCACGAGGTGGAAAGGTCTTTTTGTCGGATAGGACCAGATTTTGCATAATCTTGTCGGCGTTTGTACTAAGAGCAATCAGCTAAATAAATGGAATATGTACAACAAACCAATGCTTCGCTAGACTCCTATCTCCCAGTGTATGTGACTCCGTCAAGGGTAATTTCAATCCAATCCCAAATGTCATGCCAGGAATGCCACCAAAAAATTATGTCCCAAAACTCCACGTGCGCCAAGTGCTCAAGATCGCTCATCATATGTCAAATTGACCCATTCAACCACCCGTCACCTCCACATCCCTGCCCTCCTCATGACATCTTCAAACTCATCTCTCTCCACGCCCTTCCCAACTCCCTGCCCACCATTCGCCTCCAACAACATACTAACCAGCAACTCCTCATCTACATCCTCCTTCAACACCCTCGCAACCCTCTTCAACGTCGCCAATGTAATTTTTCCCATATCCTCGCCGCCTCCACTGCTGCCCTTCTTCTGCCCAGCATTTGAAAACAGTCGGAACGCATCATCTACATCTTTTTTATGTGAATCCGATGTACGAGTCCGGGAATGAAATTTAATAGCGCAGATGGCAACGAAATGTCGATAGACTGTAAAGCCTTCGTCTTCTGGGTCGAGAATGCTGTGGTATTCGCGGAGTTCGGAGGGGGTGGGGGTTAGTCCTAGGGCGCTGTTTCAGAGTTAGTATGCAACTCTGTTGCAAGAAATATTGATGTCTATGCTATGAATCGAGCAGAAAAAGGAACGCTCTAGAAAACCCGATAGCAATGGCACATACATCAACGCTCTCCTCACATCACCCATAGCAATAACACCCTCCTTCTCGCCCTCCATCTTTTGTGAAAATAATGAAAATGCTTCTTTTATCTCTGTTTCTTCCGCAGCGGTAATATTGTGTTCTTTAGCTAGCTTGGACCGCGGTCCAGCTGCTGGCGCAGAGGTATCTTTGCGTTTTGCTGGCTGGGGCTTTTGTTAGTCATTCGTTAGATTTGGGAAATGAGGAGGAGGGGTAATACCATTTCGTATACCAAGCAATATAATAACAAGTTGCGCAAAGAATATTTTTATGAAAAGGCAACCTGGGTTGGAGGATAAAATAAAATCGCGAGTTTCATCTGGATATTGATAAAGTTCGCCCGCTACATGCATGACGCGAAGGCCTTATTGACGAGGCTGAGGTGGACCGCTCTGGATTGACCAATCGGCTTTACTTTAATCAGACTAGCTCATCACTAGCGCAGAAACTAGTGAGCCGTATGAAAACCTCGAAATTTTTCTCTCAGAATTCATTTCCTTCTTTACTAAGTACACAATGGTATTCATTCACGTAGAGAATATCCTTCAAGCAATGAGATCCTCAGCAAGCATGGAGAACAATTGATTATTATTCTTCTTCTTCAAGACAGGTAGGTATTCTTCATTCAGCACATCATCATTTCTACTCTTCTTCGAACAGAAGAACCCCCCCAACATCCGCTTCAAAATATTGCTAGAGCTTGCCGAGTCTCAACCCAGAGCGAGCAAGTGTGGACAGTGAAGCAAGAATAAAACCCGGGTCACGATTTTGATTCTTCGAGACTTTTCCTTGAGGTATCCTGACTATGAGACTCGTCGATGAGTTTTGTGTTCGGTTCCTTTGGGAGACATTGGGTATTTGGTGGGATAAGTTTGAGGACTTGGGAGGGAGGGTGGTTTAGGTCGACTAGGTTATGCAATAAATTTACATTTATATCTTTTGAATACTGTTTTGTTGCTTGGCTGTGATGTTTATTTAATGTGAGTTGTCTTCTGTAAAGTTTATGGATGGCCAAGCTGGTCATCAACAATGATATGGCCAGCTTCATATCTGGACTTTGGATCTTGATATTGCAGAGTCTATTTGTTCATGCGACATAAACAATTATTAGCTACGCTGTATTGTGAGACACTGTATTGCTATCAGTGTGCGTGTCTTCTTCGGTCATTCCACCAATCCATATACTTCCACTATTTCAGGATTACATCTTCATGATATCAAAAGCACCGCAAGCGCATGATGGCTTTTTGTCACCATCATCCCTATTCTTGATTCCCGTAGTATTGAGTACCCATCCAGCCGTTTTGGATGTCTTCGTAGCTAGCCTACCTCTGGGTGATACTAAGTAAGCGAAAGCAGTTATCAGGCAAAATTAACAGTTTGGCACCAGGCGCTGTGATCCTCGCTCTCATATATAGTATACCAACTCGAAATCATAACCAAGAATTTATCTTTTAAACTCTGCAACTCCTTGAATGTCTTGTTAGTGCGACAGCTTTCTGTTATTTGCACGGATGCCTCTGCCTTTTCGTTTGTGCAGCCTCGAATAACTGTATCTTGAATCGCAGACGTCGAGTAAATCGATCCACGTCGCACTTTCTAGGAATAAATCGTAAGGGACTCATGCTACCTGTGCTAGATAGACTACCCCCATGAATCAAAATTTACTAGTGACGAATTCATGATCTGAAAATACATGTTCGACAGTAGTGAATTTGCTTGAAAGTGGGGACACATGAACCTGCCAAAAAAAAAATGCCTCTCGACACTATGAGAAGTCCATACTACTGCTGCGCAGACTTCAGAAATAGACAAAAAGTAAGCAACGGAATGGAAAGGTTGGCTAAAACTGTCTACCCAAATCCAAATCATCAAAAGAAGACCAAAAATAAATAAAGCGAGCTTCAGGATGACAAAAGGATAACGTCGACTTTGTTATCCTCCCAGGTGCGTGGTCTGTAGCTGCCTGTGGCTAATATCCTCGACCTCGTTTTATGGTAGTTGATGTAATCGCTCTACCACTTGCACCAGAAGCGGATTATTAGTTATAAGTTGCGAAGTTGTTTGGATATATATTAACGAGGGGCAATCGGGAAGGGAAGTTTCTATTGGTTGAATCATGGCATCTTGAAGTGAATATTGAGTATGGGATGTTTTCGGCTTGTCCATTACTTCTAACTTCTAGATATTTATCATTACAATTTCTCCTCGGTCTGGCACTTCTTAGTTGTGGGTACATAGAATGCCTATTACATGTTCATATCGATGAGTTATCTAACAATACAGCCTACCACGATTCAGCATGTCTGTCTCCAATCTTTCCAATCTTTCTACCACAGTCGCTTCTTCATCTTTCGATTCTCCTTCCGCAAATCTTTCTCTATCTGAATCTGCGTCTCCATTTCCTCCCATTGACTCGATTTCCATCCTTTCAGATTTACTCTGACATATACTACTTCATATCCCGCCAGCGATTCTTTCATTTCTTGAAGCTGTGTCAAATATTCACTCCACTATCCATACAAAATTCCCTCAAAACTTGTACCCGCCGCCTGGCCAGTCATGACAAGTGATTCTGCGTTATCCTGCGCACATGACTTCTTTTCAAATCCTTCTTCGCAAGCTCTGGGACATATCCAGTAGCAGGCATCGGGTAAGGTGTAACATACTTCGTCAGCTGGAATCGCTATCTTGTCGCCGGTGTGGCCGCAGATGTGGAATTTGATGACGTCGCGATAGTATGTGTTGAAGACTTTGTAAACGCTACCGACTAGGATTTGCTTTTTTGCCGTCGGTGTGTATTTACGAGGTTGAGGAGTAACGGGTGAAGGTGCATCACAGTTCAGAAGGTATTTCATTGATCCGTGAGCATATTGTGGAGGCGGTGAGGAACTCATGTCTTGGGAAGAGTCTTGTAGTATAACGTCGAGATTCGGAGGAGAAATTTGTACAAGGAGACTTAGTGGCTTACATCGAGTATACTACAGAATGGAAGTTGACACAGCAAGTTCTAAGTAACATTCATAAGTGCTCAAGCTTTACCATTCATAATAGCCTCTATCATTATGATTGAGTATTGGTAGATTCTCACAGTGATCCCACGTCATAATACTGAATATATAATTCTTTGTCATAAAGTAAAACTAAGGTAAATCATTGCCCCCCTCCTGTTTCAAAAACTTAAAATTATTTCGATTTGTATCAAGCAATCATTCTCATGCTTTGACTTGATATGAGAAAAACATCTCCTTTATTATATACTCGAAGTTTTCGGTAGAATAATAAAAACAATCATTCCATTGATAGGCTTTGGAATACTCTCTGATTCCACGAAAAAGAATCTTGGTTGTAAGAAACTAACTTGAGAAGAATGGATCAAACTCATTCTCATCTAAGCCCGTTATTCTAACTCTCTGGTGCTCTGCTGGGGAAAGGTTTGAATTATCTTCATGTTTTCGGCTCTGCACCCGATTATCCCCTTTGACAAGATGAAGAGACTGGAGCTGTTGAAGTTTGCTCTGATTTTCAATCATTCTCTGAAACTAGACTACTCTTAGTTTTGGTTCAGGGGCCACCTCGCCATCTCGAAATTCATAATCTCTGCGTCCGATACGAATCCATTCGTCCCAGAGCACTTGAAAACAATGACACGTTACGGCTTCCCATTTCGATCGAGCTTATCCTCTATAAGCCCAATAATGATGTTACAGCCCCAGCATTTTGTATCGACGATACAGCTTTCAGCTTTTTTGAGCATGTATGTGGGACGAAGTGAATCCTCGCGAAAGGGGTCTGAGGCATACAAAGTTTTGATGTTAAGATATCAGTGAGACATTGTCATGATGTATCTGACTGTCAAAAGTGGAAAAAATCCTCTACGAATGATTCATATACCATATATGCACATATATTCATACCATTTTTGGAACAGGAATAGTCTGATCATGTTGGGTTTTTGTAAAGTCAGGCTTGTTTATTTCTCTATTCCTCCTAAGAAATCCTTAACATAAGAGACCAATAGGAGTCAACCAAATCCTTCTCGCGGAAAAACGCTCTCTCCAAATTTCATCTCCCTTTCAGATCACGTGGAGCTCAGCCCAAAGGCTCTGAATATGAGCGCCCCATCAATGAGTTATGACCCTGCTCGTTGTTGGGCGAAAAGCTACTTGAGCGTACCATCTGCGAGGAGCGGGTTTGCAAAGGCGATTCTGATGCCACTCCTGCTGTTCTTTCTCGTCGTCGTATTTGCCGTTCTCCTCGTTTCACTTGCCCCTCTTTGTTCTGCTGCTGCTATTCTGTTTCATTCTCGAGTACAATCGATCGTACTCCTAAAATGACACGCATAATCCGCCGGGTGTCAAAAAGGGGAGGATTATTGTCGCTGTCGGAAAATCCATCTTCGAACAGCATGCCCTTTCCTATCCACAGTTTTGATAGCTGAGTATTGAGGATCTCATGAAATCGTTCCCTGTCTATGGCACGCTTGAGTTTTTCGGACTGGAATTTAACCGTGCGACAACGTGCACACTCGTCGTAGTTATTGCAGAGCGATTTCTCAAGGGTGTACTTACGGCGCGGACGGTGCTCGGAAGCTTCAAGTTCGAGGCATCGGGATTCCCCGCAGAGGTTAAATACAATGTAGAAAATATTATCCCGAGGTTTGTTACTACAATAACTGCCATTTCTCACTTCATCATTGAGTGCGAGATGGTTGGATGGGGGAGGGTTTGGTTGGCCATAAGGAGGGGCCATTTGAGTGGAGTAGCCAGGATTGGATAGTTGATATTTGGGTGGACTGCGGGGCGAGGTAATAGCAGGTAGAGAGGCATAGTTAATAGCATGATACTTTGACATCGCGTGTATGCGACAGGTTGAGTTCCAATGGTTTAAGATTTGTGTATGTAGGATAGCTATGTCATTAGCCCCGAGGAATAGTATAGAAAGCAGCAAAACTTACTCGACGTGAATTCTAGGATTAACAGTTGAGAGCAAGCCAACAAATGATGAGAGCTAGGTAGAGTCGCAGATGAATCAATAGAGATGTGAAAATGTATGGATTCCACACGATAATGTTGTAAGTATTGGTCGCTTGAAACTTTTCCACGGTATGATGTAATGATGTAGAAGAACTTTGAAGAACAAGTCTGAGGTGGGAAATCTTAAGGCTCTTAACCACATGGAACTAGTGTACTACAATTACTCACATGGGGCATCTTTGTATGAATCTCTCAATATCCTTGGTGTTTAGTTAGTCGAAGAGTCTTTTTCGTCACTGAACAGTCATATATCATACAATGACAAATCGACCGTTAATTCAACTTCTGTGTCATGTATGACAATGTACTCATTGAAAATGATTCCCCATGAATCAGTATCTGAATTCTACACATGCAGACCATACTCATTGAGTGATTTTTAACTTAGTCTGAATATATAAGAATACAAAAAGTCTCTCTGAGCTTAAACGATACATTCATTTGGGCCCAGGGAGTTTCAGATTTCTGTCCAGTCAGAATTCAATATCGACTATTCCTATACTGTTTGGAGGGAACTTCGAGCGTTCAAGAATAATACCAGATGATGGCGTGATTACTCATCGTTGGAAACGAGCAGTTTATGAATTCTAGGAGCTCAGCATGGGTCACAACCTGTACAAGATCTGTTTGGACATCACTTCCACTTTCTGCCAAAGCTGCCATGATATGGAGATATTGCAACCTTTGCAGTACCCCTGGGAACAACGGTTGCATCTTTCTTTAAACTTGTTTTCTTTTACTCCTGGGCCATCCAAAGAAAATAAACGGCTCCATATGATGAACCTGCAACAACCTCGAACCCTCACCAGCTTTAATGATCCAATGATCTCCATACAATAGAGGAGCAATCTCCTCATACTGATATTCAGTAACCATCCATTGTCCATGGAGAGGCAGAGAAAAGACACCTTTTTGGTCCTATAATTTGGGCGATACATCGCCACCATAGTAGCCAGTCTCGAGCGGGCGTCGTATGAAGCGTCCGCAGAAATAGGTACCGGCGAATAGTCTGATGGTTTGCGAGCTTAACATCCTACCCAGTAAGGGGCAGGTTGAGTATTAGATGTTGGACTTATTGTTGGGTTCTCTGCCATCTGCCACCATGTCAATCAAATTGGGTTGCACGTGTTATGAACAACTGAGCAGTCGCATATTCATGATTGATGAAGGTACTTCAGATCACTTAACATCGTAGTAGTATGATTACACATTTCTCAACTAGATCTGAGCTTCGAATAACTTGATACAAATCATCTTGATAACAGATGATTTTCCATGGCTCTCAAATGCGGAAGTCTATCTGGCAAAGGATTCACACATGTCCTCAAAGTTCTTGAACTTATGATTATACCGGTCACTTACCTTGATCTCAAGGCTTACTTGGAAAAAAGGACTCTAATCTCGTACTCGTTAAATACTTCACACTTGCAGACTAGTTAAAAGTTCGACCAATAATCCTGCCTGAGATGTACCTTCCCTTAATAGTTTTTGTTTAAAGTGGGTGCCCTTCTCAATAACAAAAAAAGAAGTGTGTGGTCAAGCCCCGGAATTGGTTGATAAGAAAGTTATATACATACCACGTCTCAATCTGCTCACTAACCATGAGGCTTCTTCTCTTGACAGTGGCGGAATTCAGACTATCAAGAGCAACATAGTAAGTGCTGGGGTATCTGAACACTGCGAACACAAACGAAACGAAACTACGAGAACAAGTGCTGTTATTCAAGGAATAAAACTACGAGACCAATTGCTGTTATTCCATGTTAGCGAAATTCATTGAAGCTGTAGGGTGAAAAGTGATGAGCTTGACCACCGCACTATGTCATTTGTTTTGATTATTTCGTGCATAGATTGAATTATAAAATCAACTTAAAGCCCTGCGTCAAGGTGCTGGGAGGGGAGGAAGAGGTAAAGGTAGATATGGGAGGTGTTGGGGAGGAAAGAGCTATGAGACGATGCGGGTATGATGTGGAGCAACCTTATAAATCCCTGAATGCATACCTCAGTAAGTAGATGGTTCAAATGGAGAAAACAAACTTTCAACACCTTGGAAAAGAAAGCTTCGATGTACCTAAACTACACAGTAGGTGACTATTAAAATGTTGTTCCTGTGCCGTCCCGACATTCATATTCTATTGTCCAAATTCAAATGAATGCAAAATCTAGATAATACAACCGAATAGGTGGCTTCCAATCCTAGAACAGCGACTTCCTCCTTTGAGTGTAGACAGACAGAATACTGGATGACAAAATTCATTGTCGGAAAGGGCTCTTATACATGCATAGAGGGTAAAGAGATATAGGATCTTGTATTTCATTTGGCAAGCGAATACCAGAACATGATACTTCAAGTGAAACGGAAATGGAAACTCAAAAATTGCTTTTGAAGATTCACACCAGAAAGTTTTAAGTCACACTTGTGAGCTCAGAATTGACTTTGAGTTGAGGACATTGCATTCATCAATTTGACTAAACATCCGTACATAGTTCGAAGAACTGTAGCTAATAGATGCGTTTTCACTCAGTTATCTTTGCCACACAGACTTCTAAAGGAATAAGACTATCCCCATGATGCTATATAGATTCAATGCTTCATCTACCTTCAGATTTCTCAAGTTTCGTTGGGATTGTGAATAGTGATAGGGGTACTATCGTTCTCCCATGGGGAAGTTATACAGAAAAAAGTAGCACAATCCTCAGAGTCCCAGAGTATCAAACAGTCCGGACTGCAGTCCAACAACATAAGTTCTGAACGTCTACAAATAGTTAGAAATCTGAAAATAGTTCAATATTCCAATCAAAGTCGAAGTCTCACACGATTTGAATGTTCTAATTGGTTTGGGGATTTGATAATCTTTGCAGTCCTGATCATTGGACGCCTTGTCTCAGACCCCTTCTCATAGAGTGTGTAGATGACATTCAGTGTACCCGTTCAAGCGAAACCCCATTGTGAAAGAGGATTGAAATTCGCATGTTTATAGAAGAGATCTTCGTCGTCGAGCAAACTGGCTCACTTCCCCACACCAGAAGATATCCAAAATTACCTACAACAATGGCACGTGATTTCGTAATTTTGGCGTGATTCCCCGCGTCACTTTTGCCTTTGTGGTTCATCAATTTCTTTGCTTTTGTTTCCACAACCATCTCACGATCTATAATATAGCATTCGCCGTCGCATTCGCCGTCGCATTCTTTTATAACCCATTTGAGGATAATTACTGGTTGCTGTTTGCGAATTCAATACATCCTATCTCAAATCTCGATTCACCTTTTTCGATTCTGTTCAACCTTCCAGCTTTGCGATCAAACTATTAGATACAACTTGCAAAATAACCCCGCAGCCTGCGAAATTGCGACAATGGGCTCTTCAAATATCGCTCGAAAGGAGCGGCGCAAAAAACAAACACGTTTGACATTCGATCCAATCTCCACTGAAGTACCTTTAGATTCACATGCGAAAAGTCAAGGACCATCGCCTGCGAAGGTTCGATACGAGAGAAAGAATGGCGGCACATCTACCGGAAATGGAGGCAGAATTACACGCAGTGGGATGTCTTCAGGGTCGCCGTTGAAAGCAAGTTCGGGTATGAAAGGAAAATCTGGGGACAAGGGAAAGAATGCGAGAGATGGTAAAATCGGCTTTGGATCATTACCAACACCCGCGAAAAGCTCACAGAAAGAGGAAATCAATATTGCAGATACAGAAGTAATCAGCGGATCACGTCAAAGCACACGAGGTTCAAAAGCGAAGAAGCCAATGATTGAGGACGCCACTGGTTCAGACGATGAGGCTACAATTGAAGTTGAAGTAACGACTCCATCGAAGAAAAACAGCGAGGAACCTGCTGCCGCAGAAGCTGCAGATGACAACTCGGATATTGAGATTACAGGTTCTACTACAAAATCTTCTGGAGGTAGTTCCTCGAGGAGACGTTCTCTCACAGGTCGAGGCTTTATACAAGGTGGAAGTACATATAACGCCCCCTTACCTTCTGGAAATCGTGGCCGAGCACCAAAAGCCCTAGTTCATAGCCCCAAACCTCCAACCCCCTCGAAGACTACGCCAAAGAAAAGATCAGTAACATTGTCAGATACAAGTGACGATGATGTATTCGCATCAAACTCTAGACCTTCACAACGCCCTGGCCTATTTAGTCAGAAGCTAGCTGCGCCAATAGAAAGTAGCGATGAATCTTGTGAAGAGGCTGATGAAGATTCCGAAGATGATATACTTCCATCTTCCACTAGACGTTGGCAAGCAACACGGATAGTCCCGCGAGTTACAGTTGAGATTGATTCCGATGACCCGGATGATGAGCCTCCAACCTCACCTATGAAGAGAAAGCGTCCCACCATCATTTCGGATGATGAGGATGGTATTGTTAGATCGCCTGCAAAGAGAACGAGGATCGTGGATGAGACTGATTCGGATGATGATCTGCCGCCTATGACTAAGCTACCCAAGACCACTCCCCCTGAATCTGATAGTCCCGCCCCAGCCCCACAAGTCAAACGAAGAGGACTGCCTAGGAAGCACAGAACTGCTAAGCAGAAGCAATTAGAGATTCTCAAACGCAAGCGTGCTGGAGAAAGTAACCCTGTTCTAACAGAATCTGAGTCTGATGATGAAGAAGTTGGGGGCTTATATGATTCGGGTAGTGATGCATTGACTACCTTTGAAGATGAAGAAGACGAGGAAGTGGAAGAGGAGGTTCAAGAAACGCGCAAACGAAAATCTCCAAAGAAGCCTGTACGAGAGAACGAGGATGAGTACGATTCGGACTTTGTTGATGACGATGATGTTGGCCTTCTTGGGGTCCCAGATTACGCTATGATTCCTCTACATCTCACGGCCGCAGCTCACAAACCTCTAAGAGAACATTTTGTCGAAGCGGTTGAATGGTGTGTTCAAAACAAGATCAATCCAGGTTTCAACCAAAATCTTATGCCCATCTACAAGGCGGCGTGGAATAAGCTCGAAGATGCATACAGTGGGTTATCTGGCAGCAAGTTTGTTTCCACTTCATGGACTTGTGACTTTACCAAAGGTCTCTATGCCCGCCCCGAATTCATCACCAGGAGACTTGCTCCAGGAGAAGCAATTGATCTTTTAGGAGAGGCTAAATGCGAGGCATGCAATCGTAGGAAGCATATACCAACTTTTGGTATCACATTAAAGGGATCCGCATACCACAGGGATAGCTTAGCCGAAGTAGAGAAAGATGATAGTGATACTGAGGAAGATGACGAGGAAGAAGATTCTGATGATGAGAAGGACACACGGAGTTTGAACAGCAGGGATGAACCTCTACCACCTCAAGACAAAGAGTTCATGGTCGGCTCGTAAGTTACAATTACCTACATATTTGGGTATGGATTTTGACTAACCTGGCCGTATAGTGTCTGTAAAGAAAACGCAGAAAATGCACATACACTCATTCATCTGAAGTATGCACTTAATCAATGGGTCATCGGCAGTCTAGAAAGTCAAGGCCATCTCACTATTGAGAAGCTTGCGAAGAGAGACAAGATGAGCGCAAAGAAGAGACAGAAGGAAGTTAACGGAATCGTCGATAAGTGGAAGGAGGAGAAAGAGATTAAAGAATTGTATGGCATCTGGAAACAACAATTAGAAACAGCACAGAACGCCAGTACAACGGGAAGACGATAAGATACCACGTGGTGACTGGGGGTGTCAGTTGGAGACAAGCAAGGGAGAGAATTGAATTTATGGGGCATAGTGGTGGAGAACTAGGAAGATTCTAACGATGCTAGGCATAGTATCAGGTATTTGGGAGCGAAATATGGAAGCAGGTAGCGATGATTTTACATTACTTTATTGCATTTCAGAGAGTCAGTAATTAGGAATGACTGGGAGCGAAAATAGTATTGAATTAGAGATACGGCGGGGATTTTATCGCTATCTAGTCAGTACTTGGAGGTTAAAGACCATATCGATGATACGGCACGATTTTAGATATCCAATAGCAAGATTATTAACAGTTCAATAAATGATTGATTGATGTCTCAATCTCTTATGATTGATTTCTTACTACATACCTACCAATCCTAGTGTACCCAGGTGGCTTTTGAGAGGGAAACGACCGTTTCATATATACTCCTGGTATGAACATCTGAGCTTGAAATACATGTAATCTTACGATATACGATATTCAACATACCTACACCTGCCTGGACCAATTGATTTGTTCTAGACGTGGCGGTTACCAGGATGTATCAATCATCATAAATGTGACACTGTACCGAAGTTACTCGGCCAAAAACATGCGATTCTTTCTTTACCATGATAATGATGATGACTTGGGGTATGTAGGTGACCCCTCACATCTGTCTGACGTATCTGTATCCCGTGTCTGTTTTGACCAAGGAAAAAAATCCCATCCCTTGGTGTCGATCAATTTGATATTTTTCTTTGTCAAGTACGAGTAGACTGCTGTAGCATTGACGCGTATTGTGTTTGTGTGGAGTGATTGTATGGTAGGGCAGTCGAGCATCTATCAAGTAGGTATCAACTAATAAGGATCTAGTAGTACCGTTATTAGTAAAGGCGTGGAGTGTTGGATTTATTTGGCTTGATAAATGATAGATAGGGTAGCGTGAAGACGATGTAGTATCGAGAAATGCAAGAATACCGGTATTTGAGAATCTATCTACCTATTAAATTGAGTTTATGTAAGGTTATCCATATCCGTATCCATAATTGACGGGAGATCTCCAATCTAGTCTATTTGTGGTTATAGTTGGGAAATGTGGTACGGAGCGTGGCGTTGGTATCCGCCAATTAAAGCGATTAGCCCCATGATTAGCTCAGTGATTAGCTCAGCGATGAGCTCAATTGAAAAAAAGGTGACGTAGTAAATTGGGAGCAATGCAATGGGAACATCCATACTTCTCTGTACGATGTACATACAGTCCCGGTAGATATTATGACTCTTCACTCGCACCCGCCACAACTAGGGAAACTAGGGAAACTAGGGATAGGTAATTACCTACTTGGGTACTACTTGGGTGGTGCATCTCCACTCTTGAGTAAGAACAAACAAGGCTCCCATGGATTCCATCAAGGTTTACGAAGAGAGGAGTAGGAAGTAGGAAGTAGGTACCACGGAGGGAGGTAATGATCAGATGAAATCCAAAAGGCAAGAAACAAGATCAAGTAAAGGAACAAGTGGGAGTGAAAAACAAGGCAAGAAAAGATGGTATCATCAAGGTAAGAAAATGCAGTAAGTGCCATGGAATTAAAGGAACCAACTTTCCCCCTCTCATGATTTGGCTTTCTTTTTCTTTTTCCTCTCCCTCACATTCTTGATACACAACAAACATCTCATACCATACCATCGCATACGAAAACAACAACACCACCACGACCAATACCCAATACCCAATACCCAATACCCAATACCTCCAATAACGATCAACATATCAACTTCTTGAACAAGTTTTGATATCAATCCCATTATCCCACTTCCAAAAATCAAAACATCGTCATTACATCTTAATTCACCTCACCTCGTTCTTTATTCATCCCATCAAAGAGCCAATCAATTACTACTTGCAATCAAATCATCAAGTTTAAGACGCCTCATTACCTCATACGTTACATACACTACGCCAGCTTCTACGAGTTCTCTCACACTTGATATTCGAGTAGATAGAAAGTCTCTTTCTTCTATTTTCGAAGACTTCCGACACCTTTTCTTTTCTTTCGTGATACCCAGATACCCCAATATTAATCAATAAACCGCAATCATGTCTGTCAACGTGCCTGTCGACAGCGTCCAAAAGGAAAATGACATCAATCTTAAATTAAAACTTTACGGAATGTACCAAGGTATGATTTGACGCTCCCTTGCCACCGGCAGATGGGTATATACACAACTTTACTAACCACAAATCCGTGTAGCTTTCCAAGCTGGCAAAGTCCCATCTGTAAGTATTTTGTTTGGCGATCGCAGCATTCCCTCGCGCAATCGCTGATTGACGATGTACAGAATAACCAAATCGATGTTGCCCTCAACAGTTTCCTTGAGTCGAAAGCTCTCAAATCACCTTCCAACAGGCTTTCCAAGGAGGGTCAAGAATTAGCCCAACAATTTCGTTCCGTGGTCGAACAGGCAAAACTCCTCCTTCTCACCAAGAACAGAGACGAGCTTTTTCAAGATTTTGTTTGGCAATGTGAGCGTATTGACGGCGGAGCAGCTGCCGTTCCCGGAGCTCCTGTTGATCAGGCAACTGCTAAACAACACGGTCAAGAGGTAAAGGGAGGTCTCAAGACTCTTGGCCAATTAATTCTAACCAACGGACAATTTCGCAAGCTTTGTAAGTTGATGTGATATACGCGATTTTACGTCAAATATTAATATCCGAATTAGTGAATGATGCGGTCATCCTTTTACGCGATATTGCTGGTGACGCTGCTACTAATGCCGCTGGCAGGCTTAACCCATCTGAAGATCAATTGAGTCAAATTGATCGTCCCGCCGATGATAATACCTGGCACGAAAATCCAAACGTTTCAGCTGGCAGCATGAAGAACCAGATGAAGCAAAAATTCCAAAAGAACCAACCCATCGACAAAAACGATGTCAAGGAAGCCGTTGGCGATGCTAATCAACAAGCTCACCCAAGTGGATCTCGTGATCCAGCAGATACTGCTCAATTGGCTGGTCGTGATCAACAATACGACACTGCCTCTGGAGTTGATGGCCAGGCTGGTGCTCAAGCTGGTGCAAATACCTTGAAGCAACGTGCTTCTGAGAACATCCCCGAGGAGACCAAAGAACGAGGCCGTGAGACGAGAGATAAAACCAAGAACTACCTTCAACAAAAGTTGCCCGAAGAACGCCGTGAAAATCTTATCCACAGGCTTAAGAAGATGGTTGTGGAGATCCAAGGTCATCCAGATTGTATGTTTACTTATAGCTTGCTAGTGTGTTCATTTCAGAATTAACATATAGCAGATATGCAATCTATCGACACTCTTCTCGACTTAGCCGAGCAGTATGGAGGACATGCACATAATCTGGGCCAATCCGGATCTGGTGCTGTCAAAGGTGCACATACCGACAGCGCTCTAAAGACTGCCGAGAATGATTTGAAAGTTTGTACCTCACTGAAACTATCAAAAGTAGAATTCAAGCTAACGCACGTCAGACACTCATTGAGCGTTTTGCGAATTACACATCAAGCGATGATTTAATCGACTCCGTTAATGCGATCTATCGAGATGCTGATGCAGATCCAGAGCTGAAGAAATGGTTCCAGCAGATGAACGCCTTCGTTCGCAAATGTCTCAAGGAACAAGGTTATATTCTTGAAGACAGCACCACTCAACACTGGAATGAACTCTACGATAGAGGCAACTTTCTTCTCAGAGATCGCTACAGACCTCACACTAATCGTATCATTGATGAGATCAAATTCTTTGGCAATGAGTTCGATAACGATGAACAGAATAAGCGATTTGCAGAAACTTGTCAAAAGTTCTTCACAGCCTTGGGCCATGACAGCAGTGGTAACATTAAATTTAAGACGCATTTGCTTACGGACCTGTCCAATGTCATCATTCCTGCAGCTCTCGAAAGAATCCGATATACGCCAATTCCCAGAATCGAGTACAGAGATGGACAGAAGATGGAGATTGTCATTGAGAATCTGGTAGTTGAGAGTGATAATCTCATGCCTAACTTGCTTGATATTCAACACGGTATGTGCTAACATTTCCTTTGCCCTTATTCGGCGTGTTGCTGCATCTGCTTTCTACAGCAATGATATGTGAATTGCAGTCTATTGTTGCTTAGGGCTACGCCCGATATGCCATTTTCCCTTTTTGAGAATAATTACTAATCAAATGTTCATTGTAGAAAGCTCCTTTAGATTCGGCCGCAAAGGTTTCCACAACTCACAGAAAGGTTCATTCTTCGTTGCAGTTCAAGGTATTCAGATGGATTTAAGAGATATATCTTATTACATCAAGAGATCTGGTGGTCCTTTCAACCACGACGAGGGTATTCTCGATATTTTCCTCGGGGGTACTGGACTCAGTTTCGACATTAAGTTGACTGCAATCAATTCAGGAGAGAAGAATCGTCAAAACTTCTTGAGATGTGACGGTGTCAAAGTTAACATGAAGAAGATCAAGCTTAAGATCAAGCAATCAAGACACAAGGCGTTGCTCACTGTTGGAAAGTCGTTGGCACTCAAACCTCTTACAAAAGCCATTTGTAAGGCTATCGAGTTGGCCATCAAGCAGAAGGTTGAAGAAGCCGATGGATTCTTATTCAGAATTAAGCAAGAAGCCGATCGAGCTCAACAGGAGGCCAGCAAAAATCCAGATAATATCCCCAACATTTACAAACAATATCTTTCTGCTTTCCAACGACAAATGACCAAGGGACAAGAGAAGGCACAAAAAGCACAAGCATCCATGGCAGACAAGCAATTCAATATGCCTATGACAATGGACGATTCGATTATGCCCCATGTTATCTTGCCAGGTGGAATCTCAGCCAAGGCAACCGAGCATAAGAATAATGCTAGACAAGGTGCTGATTGGAGGTCAGCTGTCTTTGATCTTGGAAGTGCCAAAGCATCTACAAGTCTTCCCCAACCAAAGGAAATCTCAAGAAAACCACACTCCGTTACTCAAGGTGGTGTAAGAGGTCCACAAAATGTAGGTAGCACCAATAATCAGGGTGCTCAACAAGGCTATGGTCAACAAGGTTATTCTCAAGGTACTGGCCAAGGTTATCCTCAAGGTACTGGTCAAGCTTATCCTCAAGGTACTGGTCAAGCTTATTCTCAAGGTACTGGCCAAGCTTATTCTCAAGGTACTGGCCAGGACCATGGAAAACAAGGATACGGCCAATCAAACTTCAATCAACAACTTGATGCTGCTTTCGACAACACTGGTGCAGGTGTACTTCCTAGCACTACTGGCGTTGGTGTTCTACAAAACCAAACTGCTAGCAACGGTGCTATTGGCAATGGCGCTTCAAACCATAAGAATGTCCTTCCTACTAACGGAAACACTCAATTGGGATCCAACAACCCAGTTTTCCAAGGTAGAGTTTAATTGCCTTGATCGATACAAATGCATAATCTCTTTTACTTGTGTTTTGCGGAATGGAATTGTTTCTTCATAAGATACTACTACCGCGGATGATACCAATGCATATTTGGGGCTTGTTGGGGTTAAAAAAGACAAAACTGGAATGGATGAAGGATGAAGGATGGTTTCATATGTTTTCCCTTTACTTATTTGCATGGGCTTCACTTTGATACCTGATTGATTTATTTGCTTTTTAATTGCCAATTAATTGGTGGTCGAAAGATACCATAGCGTTTTGTTGGATTGGTTGATGGGAAAGAGAGTCATTAATGGGCATTAATGGTTATTCGTTGAAAGATGGATGCAGCCAGAATTTATGACGTGATGGATGGGACAGGACAGAATTCCTTTGACTATATTCTTAGGATTCGAAATAGCGATTTCTTATGTGTCATTAATAATAAAGATACTTTGAGCGATTAATGTAATCTTTCTTGTGTGATGATATTGAACAGTGAAGAGGATAGTGAGTGAGCGAAGTGAAGCCGTGTGAGGTGAAATAGATGTGGATATCTAGGTAATGGAATTGGATTGTTCTTATCGCCGGATGTGAATTGTTCACCATATGTGTTGAGGAGTGGCCTACAGGACTACAGTTTCGTTTATACATTTTGAGAGATTTGAGAGATTTGAGAAATTTGAGTATGTTAGGATTTGTCCATTATGATTTCAGAAACGATCCGGTACACCATAACAACTCTACTCGGGAAGTTCGGGTACCGAGGCCCATTTAAATCATTTTGTCAATACCTAAAAAGTTAGATTTTACATAATTCAAAAAGAATTTTTAAAATTTATATAATATATATATAGAAATCTTAAAAAGAAAAATTATATTATATAAAATTATATAATTGATAATAATTTTATAAAAAAAATTATATCATTAGAAAGCTCTTATTATTAATATTATTAATATAATTTTAGAATTTATTTCAGAATTTTTTAAAAAAAGTATACTAATATTCAAATTCTAATATATAATCTTTTTTAAATAGTTTTCTTTTTATATATAGATTAATTATTAATAAGTAAAAGAATTTTAATAAGAATTTCTTATCTTACTTATTTCAAATTAAGAATTAATTTCTATAATATTAAAAAAAAATTATTCAATTTAACATACAATTTCAAATGAATAAATAAAATTATAATTAATTTAATTATAATAATTAAGCTATTTTTATTCATACTTTAAATATTAGAATATATGATTAATCAAGCTTTCCTTAATTAATATCTAAAAATTATAGAATTCTTTTATTCAATATAAAACCTTAAAAAGATTAATAAAAAGAAAAGAAAAGAAAAGAGATATTAATATGAATTATAATTCAAGGAATCAATTGATAAATATTTTTTCGAATTATTTCAAAAATTGAAATTTATATTCAATATAAAAGTATTTGAATAAGAAAAGATTAAATATTGAAATTGTATTATGTTACGACGGCATCCAACACACCGCGTCACATGACATAAATCGCACGTGATGGAGCGTCAAGGAGCTTCAGCGCTCCTGGAGCGCGTTGCGATCCTTAACGATCCAACATATCGGAGAGGTCCCAGGGACCAGGACAAAGCACGAAGGTCTATATAAAGAATGGGATTTCATTACAATGTAGAGCTTCGTGCTCAAGAACAATCATTAGTTTCATTACTATAGTTACGAGAATTGCAACCAGTTACAACCTTATCGAATTCCTACTTGAAGTCTAGTCTAAACCACCTCGAGAGATCTCTAGACACTTCCACGTGACCCTAGAGGCAGCTCCCGTAACATATTATTATTCAAGTTTATTTAAATAATTTTATATTGAATATGAATTTCAATTTTTAAGATAATTCGAAAAGATTTATATCAATCGATTTCTTGAATTATGATTATACTAATATCTCTTTTCTTTTTATTCTATATATTTTTTTAAAGTTGTATATTAAATTGAAGGTATTACGGGCTATAAGTGTTAGACAGGACAGGTATACAACATAGGCGACTCGGTGGGACACCGGGGGGGGTAGGTTTTTATATCTTTTTCCTATCTACTTTATTCAATTAGATACAGATATAGGCGTATCGCATGGTCTTAGTATAACTATATAGATCGAATCGATTATGAATTTACTACTACTACTATTAAATTGAATATTCTTATTATTATAAATACATTATTAAATTCTAAATATACTTTCAACCTATGCAAAACCTAACTTTTCAGGTATTAGCAAAATGATTCAAATGGGACCCTAGTAATCTTTATTATTCATTTCGTAGCTACTAGCTACCCCACAGACCGTCATCGATTATGTAACACGAGTTCTTTTCGAGGCATGGACGAATGATTGGTGGTTGATTTGATTGATAAGAAGTAGTACATAGGTGGGTACGGACTCCGGAGGTAGCTTGCGAGTCACGATTTGGAATTGCTCGTCTGTTTGTCTGTTTGGTTTGTTGTGTTGTGTTTGTTTGGGCAAGTAAAAGCAGGATATCATTAAATGCTTTCGAGATTGTGCAGTGCGGGGATTAATCGATCATTGGGTGTTTTGGAGAGAAGTTTGTTTGTGAGTTTGAGTGTTGTTTTTTTTTGTTATTTGTTTTTTGATTTGAGTGATTGGGTTTGGGTTTGGGTGGAAGAGGGAGGGGAGAGGGGAGAGGGAGAGAGGGGAAGAGAAAAGGGGAGAGGGGAGAGGGGATTGTACGTTTCTTTGGTTGTTTTTGGAGGAGAGACGACATGTACATGCTACGATTGCGCAAAAATATTAAGCAAAAACCAAATTCAAATCAGAGAGAAGAAACTAATCACTGCCCCCCACAATCTCTAGAACAATATCACAAGTCTCAATACGAGAACCGAAAGTTCAAGACAGATACACAGACAAAGACGAGGAATAGAAATACAGAAACGCAATATGCAGATTCAGAGTATTCCGATGTGGGAGGGTACCTCGAATAATTATGCGTATTTGGTAGTGGATGAGGGGAGTAGGGATGCGGTGGTGATTGATCCGGCGAGTGCGGGGGGAGTGAGTTTGTTTCTTTTTTGAGGGGTTTTTTGGGGGAGGGGAGAGGGGGGAGAGGAGGTTGATGCTCGCAGATTGGCAGATTGGCAGACTGGCAGACAGATAGGGCGGGTAGAGGGAGAAATGGACAGAAAAATAAGGATGGAAATGATATTGAAGAAAGGCTAACATTAATCCAATAGGGTCGCACCAGTCTTAAAAGAACAAATCAAAGATGGAAAGATCAATTTAGTAGCAATTGTCAATACACACCAGTGAGTTTCTCACCGGCATCCATCTCCCTAGGAAGCATTGTTCTAATACTCGATTCCCAGTCATTGGGATCACTCAGGAGGAAATAATAAAATAGTAACGCCTCCCTCTCCCTCTCTCTTTCAAAGACAATTCCAGCTAATACCATCATCCAGCTCGCCGATCCAGAATTCAAAGGAAAACCTGTAATTGGAGGTAAAGATTGTGAGGGAGTTACAAAGACACCAAAGAATGGAGAGGGTTTCACAATTGGAGAGATAAATGTCAAGGCACTTTATACACCATGCCATACACAGGATAGTATTTGTTGGTTTATGGAAGATAAGAGTGGAAAGGCTATTTTTACGGGTGATACTCTGTTTCATGGAGGTGAGTTTGTGGACTGACGGGGAAGGAGGGGTGCAAATGAGACAGGAAGTGGATGGCTAGGATACATACAGAGCTGACTAAATCAGGATGTGGAAGATTCTTTGAAGGAACCGCAGAGGAAATGCACACAGCACTTAACAAGACACTGGCAGCTGTACCAGATGATACAGTTGTCTATGTAGGTCTCCTATGCTCTCGTCATCGGAAACTTCCAACGAAATGCTAACCATCCAATCTAGCCCGGTCACGAATACACCAAAGCGAATGTCAAATTCGCCGTCTCCGTTTCCCAAAGTGAAGCCGTCAAGGCTCTCGAAGCTTTCGCAGACAAGAATAAGGAAACACAAGGACAATTTACAATTGGAGATGAGAAGAAACATAATGTTTTTATGAGAATGGATGATCCGGAGATTCAAAAGGCGACGGGGAAAACGGATCCCGTGGAGGTGATGGCAAAATTGAGGGAAATGAAGAATAATTTTAAGTGAGTGTAAGTATTGCTTGGGGTGGGTTTCTATTTTGATGAAGAGATGTATACTGATGGGAGGTTGATGTAGAGAACCAATGGCTAAATTTTGATGAGGGGAGGGGAGGGGAGATGGCTTTTGGGATTGGGGAATGGTGGAAATGCAATGTTCAATGATTTAAAACGAATAGAGATGCAATATATTTTTTAGTACTTGCGTGAAGATATCTGAGTATGTATCCTGACTGATAGAATAAATCATGTGAACAATCAATGTAGGCGTGAGTAATCACTATGTACCTGAGTACCGGAGATTTTCCCCCCTCGCTTGCCCTTTCCCTTTTCCAATTACCCCTCACTAGGTGCCTTGATAATATGCGAGGAGGGAGAGGAGAGAATGGTCCGAATAGAACACAAGCATGAATAGAGGTGGGTGATCCAGCATACACCTATTAGCATTATTTATGTAAGTATATATGCATGACGTAATCCTTTTCACATGATTTTGATTCTTGATTCCTGATTTCGATCTCGGAAGGTTTGCTCCTTTTGAAGTTTTGTGTATCATAGATGTGTGGGATGTGATGTAGTTAGTTAGGTAAGGAAGAGTAGGTAAGATTCTCATGTTAAATAGCTGTCGGAGTGAGATATGATATGAAGACCACCAAACTTCCAGATCCAATATCTACTCGGTCGATTGCAAAGATTTATCTTCCAGACGGGACAGCGCTGGTCGAGAGGATTTGTATTGTATTGTTACTTTTTTGTTGTTGTGGTGGTGGTGGGATATTGGATATTGGATAGCTAATAAGTATCTGCAGTGGATTCCTTACAGAATGGCACAACGACCTCTCACACATGGTGCGCCGGGCCCGGAAGTAAGTGGGAAGGATAAGGTAGGTTGTTTATATATATATCTATATACATCCATACACATACACATACACATACACATACATCTAAGCATACAACACCCCAACACAAAACACAAAACACAAAACACAAAACTAACACCTCGAAAATAGATTCTCGAAACAGGAGCAAGCGTAACGCAAAGTTTTGCCCCGATCAAAAAGATTTGTGCCCATCTTAATGCGTTTCATGTTTATGCTGGGGAGCCCGGGAGGAGTGTGGAGGCGAATCATTATTGTACGCATTTGAGTGCGGATGTGAGTTTTTTTTGTTCTTTGTTTTTTTATAACTTTTTGCAGGGGTTGTGGAGGAATGGAGGGGGGGGAGGGAAGAGGGAGAGAGGGGGGGAAGATGGAGGGGATGGAATGGGAAGAGGAAAAGTAGATGGGTGGATGGAGAGAGGGGAGAGAGGATGGTCGAAGGGAAATGGGTGGACGGATTGAGAAGGGAGAGGTAACGAGAAAGGGAATAGGGGAATGGGGAGGTGAGAGAGGAGGGGTAATGAAAAAAAGAGGGGTGGAGAATAGATTTTGAGTGGATGAAGCAAAAGAGGAGAGAGAAACGGAAGACAAGGTCCTTCACTAAAGAATCATAGAAGCTTTACGTGACGAAGTCATTACTGAGAGCGTCGAGACAGAGACAATGGGCTTCAAAGTGAAACCCCGACATCAAAAAGTCCAAATTACTAACAAAACAATACACACAATATAGGTTCGTCAATGTCTCATCTACGATTCCCCAACAAATCCGGCAAGATTGATTGGAGTCGAATATATGATCACCAGGAGATTGTATGAGAAATTGGATGAGGAGGAGAGGAAACTTTGGCATTCGCATGATTATGAGGTAGGTTTTTGGTTTTTGTCTCATTATCTGTTTCTGTACTTCCCCTTAGGCAACCTTCTCTTTTTATTCAGAGTATATCATCTCTCTCCATAACCGAAACTACATACAATCAATTCACTATAATTATATCTATATATTCTAAAACCCCCCAGGTCAAATCCGGAATGCTCATTCTCCCCAACCCCACAATCCCAGATGCAGTCTGGACAGTAGCAGAAACGGAAGAAATGAAAGAGGTCATTGGGTTGTATGGAAAAACATTTCATTTCTGGCAGACGGATAGGGGAGATGAGTTACCGCTTGGAATGCCGGTTTTGATGGGGAGTTTTACGGCGGATGAGCAGGTATGTTGGGTTTCTTTTTGTGTTTATAGGGAAGGGGTTGTTGGGAGAGGGAAGAAGAGATAGGTATGGAGTGGGGGAAGAAATGATGGGAGAAGAGAAGATAGAGGATATGCTAAAAGGAATTTACTGATGACGATATTATAATCTAGGTACCATGGGATAAAGTCAAGGAAAGAGATGAGAGATTTGGTGTTGATACGATGAAGAAACGGGAAGCGAGGAAGGGGATTGAGAGTGTGGATATTCATGAAGATGCTGATCAGGTTTGGAAGAAGAAATAAGTTTTTCGCAGTTGGAGGGTGAAATGAGTTTTCATTAGAAGTTGGGATGATGATGATGATGTTATTGTTGACATGTTGTTGTTGTTGTTGTTGTTGATCGAAAAAGTTTATGGCTGCTCTCTGCTTAGGTGGATGCGCTTGATTTGAGGTGGATTGGATATCCACTTTCTATCTATTTAATTGGCACTAAAATTATGAAATGGATAGATAATGGATGCTAAAGTGAAAAAATAATAGTGAATTTTCATCACATATTCAAAATATGCTTTCACTTACAACTTTATTGATATCTTCTATCCACTCCCTCATCCAATTCTCCCCCCTCCAAAAAAATTACATTATCCCGAGTGAACCCGAGATCGCAGAATGCGGCTTCTGTGGATCGAACACAGTGCCTCCAGATTAATGAACCGAAGTAGACTTCAGTCTGGCGCTCTCCCAAGTGAGCTAAAGCCGCTTGGTGTTGTGTTGTTGATGGAGGAGGGCAAGGAAAAAGAACATATGTTGTTGATACAATTTTGTGTGGGATGGGGTGGAATGAGGTGAGATGTTGATTGGTGGAACGGTGGTGGGGGGAAGGGGGGTGGGTTTTATCAAAACCTTTTCAAAACGATTAAAATTCGAGAATAATATATGTTGAAGAGATACCTTTCATTTGGTTCAGACAATTGCTTCTAGCTTTCAAGATTAAATATATCTGTAAAGACAAATTGTTATTAGTTGTTGAAGATCTCGGCAAATAAATAGAATATTGTTACTTGTAATGTCATTTCTCTATACTCCAGACTTCTAATCCTTCTCAATCTGATTATACAAAATCTCTGCAAAGCTAGCATTTGTCGAATTGGGAGCAAGCAGCTACTAAGATGGGATATCCACCTTGAACTCCGTGAAAATCCAGTTACGAAACTCTGCACCAATCATACTATCCCACCCAGAACTTGCAATCGTCCGAGTCTAAGGGTTAATCTCATCCTTATCAATCATCAACACTGTTGAAAGACCGTGTACGAGATGTTCCCATGTATAATTGACCGCCTCTTCCTTGTCTAAAGAATTCTCAATTTTGGCAAGAATACTGCTGCTTTTTGTGGCGCCATCATTCGCGATTTACTTTTTTATCTTGGCGGGAATTATACTGAGTCGAGGCTCCAGAGGCCATGTTACTTTTGTTTCGGTTGCCGAAATGGCTTTAGCTAGTCGAGTAGGCTCGATTCCGGCGATGATATGATCGGCTTCCGGCTGGTGAGCCATCATAGCAACTTTAAAAGTGGCAAGCATCTCACTTTCATCGATGCCATAAAAGCCTTTTCTGCGAAGGTACGTCTCGATCTCAGGATGGTCGGCAACGTATCCAATACCGATGACCATGGGCTAGATGAGTGAAATGGCAGTGAGACTTTGTTTCCTTCCATGACGAGCGAGAAAATCAAGGGATGAATCCGCTGGGAGTTTGTTAGATTCTTTTGAAATTTCGGAGTGGGGGGTTATCTGAATTACCGGCGGCATAGTTGCTCTGGCCAGCTGAGCCTAGGGTTCCGGAAACTGAGCTCGTCATGACGAAAAAATCCAACTCGGTCTTGTTTGAGAAGACTTCATGGAGATTTAGACCCCCTTTAACCTTTGCCTCTAGGACTTGTTGCCAACTACTAATGTCCATGTTTTGAAATAGTTTGTCCTGTATATGTGCGGTTAAATAGATGGGCATCCCACAAGGATAAGTGTAAACATATTTTTAGGACCATCGCTGCATGCACAACTCCACGTATTGGGTGCTTTGGGTCCATTGAAGCAATCACCTCCAAAATTTGTCATTTTGATGCTACATTGGCACGTAACACAACTGCATTCACACCACTCGCTTTGAGACCTTCACCCAAAGCTAGAGCTGAAAGACTATCGGTGCCAGAACGGGACAGAAAGACAGGATGCCTCGCGCCACTTTCAACCATCCACGATGTCAAGCTTCTGCCTAGACCACCGAGACACCCGATGAGAAGATATGAGGCGTCGGATCTAAGCTGGAGCCGAGATGGTGTTGTTAGAACCTGAAATGGTGCACAAATTAGTTTATGTAGGAGAGCGAAGGTGTAACGTAACTCTTGTGGTATGCATAGCTTGAATAGTGAAGTAGGTTGGTACTCAAGCACCAGTTTGCCATCTCCAAGGTTGTGCGGGAAAGAACCGAAAACTTCGTCGATTTGAGACGGACCCCTAACGGTAAGTGGGCCGATTGCTGATTTTCTCTTTATATTTGTAAATTTCCACACATTGTTGGAGAAATCTATAATACAAGTCAGTAATTCAGACCATGAATGATCAATTTTGCGATTTGCTCACCTTGACAGTATCTCGGACCTCTATGAAGAGAGGTCCTGTAGGTCATAAGTAAACAAGCTACAACCGCGTGCTATGTTCGAGAGGTTTGGTAGCACACTGTCACGTTGCAACCCAAACGTAACTATTCTACCAAAGGGAGCCAATACTCTACTGCACTCCATCAGAATAGCGATATCGTGCTATTGAGAGGTGAAGATAATATGAGGACCTCTACATCCTGTTAGACGCTGAATTTGTATTGCCACATCTTCAATTCCAGGACGTATGATTTGCTCGCGCGGAAGACCCAAATTAAGAAGTGACTTGCTGGTGGAATCTACGTTGGTAATGACAATGGCCTTGGCTTGGGTCTTTTTGCATAATTGAATAACTGCTTGACCAACAGATCCACGGCGTCAATCATAGCAACAACATCGCCATTCTCCATAGAAGCAAGGTTGTATAAACCATAAAATGCTGTGCAAAATGCTGTTGGTATGGTGGCCCTGGTATCCAACGGCTCGTTAGCGATCCGTTGAATAAATTGGGCTTTTGTTCGTTGCTTTGTTGAAAGCGTATTGAAGGAAAACGCAACACCTCGATCACCAACTAGAGCCAATTTGGGTGATTATTCTCGATATCTCATGACTGAATGTCGTGGAGTCGCTGGAACCAGAAACAACAAGCGAGTCTTGTTCATTTATACTGACGGCCTCAACTTCAATCTCAATGAAATCGGACAACAGATTTTGGTGTATCAGCGAATCATCCTGAAAACAGATCTTCCCAGCTTTCAACTGACCCTTGAAAGCAACCCCTTCTTGGATTGATGAGAATCATAGCTTGCTTCTTGTAGGTACAAACTTTGTATTGATTGCTTTAACTAGAGCCAGCTGGTCAATATGAACTGAATTGTTATCAAGAAAGTGTTCTGTTTCCTTATTTTTTCCAAGAAATTAACGCTCCAGTATATCAAAAAGAATTTTGATAACCATACTATCTAAACTGATCCCGGAATCGAAATTAAAAGTAGCCAGATTCAGGAATGATTTCTTTTGTTTTATAGTACAGGACCACCCAAGTGGCATACCATATTCCAGCTCGCATTTGGAAATTAAACTACCACATGTAACCCAGATCAATGATCAAGCATTGCCTATCAAACATTTGAAGATTCTAAGGTCCTCGTCTTGAAGTGTCGCCAAAAGTGGGTTTTCTAATTCAACGAGCATTATAACATGTTCATGAGATTGGCGTCAGACAGAGTTTAGTGGACTGGTGTGAACATCCCATCCGTTTTCGATACAAAATTGTTCCAACAGGTGAATAAAAGGTGGTGGTTGAGTTTGATATACCTGGGGGAAGGGTCAGTAAAAGAAGCAAGATATACATTAATACTCACCAAAAGCACATTTCTGACAGGTAATGTGGGATTGTGTCCTGTTACTGACACATGCATAGCCTTGTTGACTTTTGATAGTATAATCGCTGTTGTCGCAAACGCTGGGGTCGTTGAAGATAACCCAACATTTGACTCCCCTCCTGATAACCTTGGAACGCTGGAAGAGCCACCCTGTATTGATCTGAAAGCACTGGAAGTCAACCTTATTGGGGTTATGTACACTACACATCTTGCCTTTCATTACTTACCTAAGAATCCAGGGTCAGAGAAGGTCTATCGACCATCTGCTAGTACGAAAGATCAAGATTCACCAAATAGAGACTGACATATCTTGTTAATAGGTTGCATGGTACCTAGGTATGTTCCCGATAGCGGCTCAGGTTCAGTACTGCATTGCAAAACATGTAATTGTGGGGCTTTATCGCTCTTTGATGTGTACAGCTTTTATTAAAAGGAATTTGTATCAACCTCCTTATGCTATATTTCATAGATACTCCCGTATTGTCTACTTTTGGACGGGCAATACTCGCCGGTGTACCTTTGGGTAAGATTGAAGATGTTGTGGATGCTGGCACAAGACTTATGGCAAGTAACATTGATGGGAAAGTTCTACATATAGGACCGAGATTTGAGGTTGATCAGGATTGGAATATAGTACTAGGAACTTTGAACGGTGCCAAGTCTGGTGGAATTTGGGAAGTATACCTACAATGATAGGTCCTAATAAATGTCAAATTATATTAAAAAGTTAGCTATTATACACAGATAGTAGGCCGTAAATAAGAACTACTGAAAGAGTTAGTCTCTTTCGTATTCGCTTAGGGCCCGTTCGAATCGTTTGTAGGTGATATAGATGTACATTTATCATTTGAATGAGTATTTACTAAACGTCAATATTATCTATAAAATTATTGTTAAAATTAAATTACTAAATACTAATATATTACCACAAAATCTCAAAAATTATAAATCTATAAATTTCAAAAATTTATATAATAACTTTATCAAATCTATAATAAAGCTTTAATCTCTATTTATTAATATATTATTACTCTATATTTTATAGGTCTATAAATATAAAGCTAAATCTACAAAATTTAGGCTAATTTATTAGTCAACAATTTAATCAATCTTATTTTGACAATAAATAATAATAAAAGATTCGAACGGGCCCTTAGACTTGGTATAGTGACCATTGAATTGAATTCATTCACCTACGTCCATACACTATAGCAGCATTGCTTCAGGATTTATGGCTGCGACGAAGTCAATGACCGGTCTGGCTGCAGTCATCTAGCGTAGATGAATGATACGATAGTGTTTTTGTTGTAATCTTGCGATTTGTTCTTCCAGTACTACGGTTTGATATATTTGTTTATATATACCCCGTCTACTTGCCTCTACCTGGTTACCGCAAACCAAATTTCAGCATATCAACTAAAAAGTATCTCAACGATAACTACATTTCTACTATTAGTCTATTAAGTATTTCAAGCAATGTCAGAAAAATTCCATGCTTGTGTCATCATCTACCCCGCTCCAGGAAAAGAAGCCCGAGTTCGTATATTCCTTTCTTATTGCTATCAAGACTTAGCTATATCGAACAGCAAATATTAACAGAAACTCCTCAATGGGCTTGCTACAAGAGTTAAGGAGGATGAGCCGGGTGCGGTATGCTTTTCACTCTTTTCTCCCTGTGCTTCTATTTCATTCATTGTCCTGCTTAAGCCCAGCTTCGAAATCATACAATCTAACATAGAATCGAAATAGGAAAAATTCGAATTTTTCGAACACTTGAACCCCGAATCTGGATGAAATCTTTATATTCTCGAAGAGATTTGTCTGTTTGTTTCTCATTCTAGACTGCCCAATTCATTCGTATTCACCCCTGGAATACTTCATAATGTCCCAGCTAACGCGGGATATAGGGGAGAACAAAGCCGCGCTCGATGCCCACTTTGCAACTCCTGCTTTTATCACTATTGTGACAGGAAAGTTTCCCAATGAGGATTTGCTTGCTCAGCCCCTTGATATGATGAAAGTTGAGCCTTTTGAAGGATTTGCTTCTTGTTAGGGTAGCCATTCCCTGAGGTCGTTTACCTCATATTTTCCTTCTTACGTCTTTCTCTATTTTAAAGAAGTATAGTGGACAGGAAACGACGAAGTAGAGGTAGACTTTGACTAAGGCCAATTTTTCAGGCAGTGGAGGTAGATTTGGAATGGAGCCAAGCTTTCAGGCACATATTTCCTTCTTTGACTCTGTATGATCAACGAATGCTAGTTGAACATCTAAAAAGCTAGCTACTTTCAATCATATATTTCATATGTGCCAAAATCAAACCGTCTCTGTGTTTATACTATGCGGCTTGAAGTGCTTCCAAATCGTTACTTCAAGATGATGATGCATAATAAGTGGTTAAGAATGGTAATAGTGATATATCCTCAGAGCTCGATGTATGGACATCTTCTATTGAATCTGGTAAGCCGGCCTTACTTCAGTTGGCCAATCCCTTTGCTAAAAATTCTTGATGGCAATGCATGAGAGCTCTATGATTGCTGAAAAGAGATATAAGGCCGTGGAGTGCTGGAAAGGGTTGGATGATAAGCGATCGCCTAAGACTGGCGTTTTACATTATTCCTGGGCACAATTTCTTCCCATCTCTTTCTCTGCAACTTCATACAGTCATTCCTCAAAACAGATCCTTCTCGTATCCTGCTGAGATCCTAATGTTATGGATCCACACTATCATGTATAACTTTCTTGAATTCTACTCCGGATAAATTGAATGAATTGCGATGATTGGAGCTATGCCATGGAGATGCATCTACGCAACTATTGAAATTATTCTTACGATCAAGATCTTGATGCATCCAGTCTATTCGCAAATTTCACCGAATATAGCAAGTAGTACTTGCAGACATTTGCAACGTGACTAGCTTAAGACAACTACTTATCTGATAGTCGCTGACAGCGGTCCTTTCCATATGGTCCTGTGTAGTCACCACTATTACTGGTGACTTTACACTTTTACAATTGTCGAATGAATGATCAATTACTAAAATGAAAAACGCACCTAGGCAATATGTGCTCACTATAGAGACAAGGGCAGTTTGGTGTATCATTAAGGAGGCCTAGTCAGCGTTGGATTAATAGGCACAGCACATTACTTGAATATCAGTTCTCGACAACAATCATTCTAGGTCCCGAGCCAACCACAGTACAAGTACTAACTAGGTATTAAATAGGCTACTATAGTACAATAAGCGAGAGGGCTAGTCTTAAGCATATAAGGATTACTTCTTTCTATATATAGCTAGCTCCTTAGACAGAATACTCGTGCAGTCAGAAAGTATGCAACACTCCATCTAAATATAGGCTATCAAACATCTTGTATTTTACCACCTTATGGGACGTGCCTGTGAGTGGAGTGTGGCATACTTTCTGGCTGCACGAGTACAATGCTAATAATTAGAACCTATTATCGTAGGTGCTACGATAACACTGGGAGGCGCGACTGCTCACAGTATTCGAGATCTGGACCACTTCCACATGACTTCAAGATTCAATTTCGAACAAGCTACCTATCGTCAGTTATTTTATATAATATCACTTGAACCACATCCTTCCACATACGACCATAGACTGAAGAGAATTGGGCATCCCGTCCGCTCTGCCATACACAAGCTTCAGATCGGTAGATTAGTAGTTGGGTGGGTGACCACCAGCGAATCCCTACTGTTGTATGTATTTTTTTGTTTCTTGATCTTCGGAATGGTGGGTGATATGTCGTCGGCCCTTCGCGAGAGAGGCGAAAACTTTTTTCTGCGTTTTTAGTGCTGTAATCAGTCTTTGGTATCCACTATACACCCCACTCAGAGAGTAAAGAGCCAGGCTCTATGTAAGCGAAAAAAAAGGCGGAAATTGACCTTTTTGAGCCTGTCTCGCCTGTTTCAATATCATTTATTTATTGAATGATAAATTTCAACTCAAGAGAAATCTTGATATTTGAAAAGATCAAATGAAAATTCTATTTTCTTTCTATTGATAGTTGGAATCTTCTTTATTTAAAACTGTACCAAAAAGAGGCCTGAATTGTTAAAGCTCTTTCGAATGGTGGTTAATTTCCGCCTGTTATTTCGCTGATGTAGATAGAGCCAGGGCGAACGTGCTAAACGCAACGCGTTATGATTCTAATCTACTTCCACTGCTCAAATTATTCATAGAGAACTTCGTAGATGAGGATAGTTTCATTTTCTCTATTGTATTCTATGATTATGTATTTGTATCGATCAGTTGTTCTAGCGATATGAGATAGTAATGTCGATTTCGGGGGATGTGTATCTGTGCTACAGTACATTCCTCATGCTTTTCATATTACTGTAACAATTTCCTGAATTCGGATTTACTTGTTTAGAATTAACGAGAGAGAGATTACTATAGAGATACCTTTTTACGTCATTAATTGATCTTTAGCAATCACAGCAGATGGAATGACTCTCACTCTTCGCTATATATGTTTTCTGACATTATATTCTCGCTCATCTCATATCATTTTTTTTTTGCAAAAGGACTAGTAGTATTACTCTTCGTACCTAGCAATGTTTTCTTTTCCGTTATAATTTACATCTCATTTATCAATAGCAAAATTCGGGCAGAGACATGTGTGAATTGAGAGAAAGATGAGTATTTGAAAGTGAATTCTGGGTCCGCCAGCATACAAGGAGTCAATATTTGATTCGCAAAGTAATAGAATAATCTCCTTAAACGATCAACAGTGGTATCTGCGTGGGAATATCAACTTTTGTGATTGACCAGAAGTCCTACAAGTCAACCCCCTCCCCCCCGGAATGTCCTCCTCATCATCACTAATGCACCATAAATTATGAGGACGGAATTACAACAGCTCCATCCTCCCACTTCCCATTAGAATACAACATCGTGGCCACAGAATTGTTCTGTTGCCCATAGAACACAGTAATCTCATTTCGAACCGATGTACAGCCCAAGTTCGAGCCGTGGACAAAATCAATAACATCATCTTGTTTCTCGCCATCTTTGTAATGTCAGACCTTGTGTTTATGATTTTCACCATAGCCAGCAAAGAAAAGATGAATGCTTCCATCCTCGGTCATGGTACAGCAGAGTGGTGTTAGGTTTTCGACTGGCATTGGAACGTTTTCTTTCTCGACGGAAACGCCTTGATCTTTGGGATGGTTAGTCTCGAAATCGCAGTCGCATGGGCTGGGAATCTTGCTTACTTTTCCATTCACCACCTTTACACTCATATAGATGGATGCTACCGTCAGCGTGCTGAAAAATACCTGGAAGAAAATGTAAGTGTGTGGATTTGGAACAGGCGGGGGGGGGGGGCATACTTTGATGCTTTTGTTCGAAATTTGGCAGGCTAGATAGGTTTCCGGGATCATTTATCCCTTTCTTTCCAGGAGGACTGTATGTAAATACCACTTCTTTCCTCCTGAGCGTCGAATTTCAGCAATCCCGACCGAGTCATCGTCTTCTCTTTAATCACACTTAGTCAAGTTGCAAGATTAAAGTTATAGATTGTAACTCACACGCAGCAGTAAGTCCACTGCGACCCATTCACATTCCAATCCGACTTTTCGTTGAATGCTCCACCTGTCAATTTCGAGAATGTGCTTGGGCGTTTCTAAATATCATTTGGAACCTTAACATTTGTCCAAATCGGTGTTGATCGCTCCAAATGCTCGACTTTCCCCATTAATTTCTTGTCTTTATTCAAATAAAGAACATGAATCTGTCATGTATCAGCCAGTAGAATCAACATCGAATAGTAGAAACATCCTGTAGATCTACTTTAAAACCCTAGGTCCTTGTCTACATAGTAACACGTCATCGGAGAACTATCGAAATCTGCATCTTCAGCGACAAAAAGATCTTGAAAACTCCAAACGCTGCCACCATCTGGAGATCGTGCTTCTCGAATGAGTCTGCCTCCGTCAAATTGCTGGAATATGAGATGTAAAACCTCACCAGGGGAAGTAGTGCAAGCAAGTCCTGTGTTTGAAAGAGCCATTGTGATGTTGATTGATTCGATTCTAGTCATTTAGATGAGTATAAGTGTTGGTACATTGGATCTTTACTAAATTTCCTCTGGATTTCAGGGCGTACACATATACAGAACTTATAGTCCTGTGATGCTGAAATCGAAGACAAAGCTGAGGGAAAATCATTCAAGATGTTCATCTTTGCATCGACCCCTCACTTGGCCACGAGATCGTAAACTTATCCAAAACGAAAAATATGTATGTATGTAATCCAAACTCGCAGTATCCTATGAGAAGTTCACAATGAAGGAATGAGGAGAAGATGGCGTCGAAGTCTTGGATTAGAAGACCTTCGAATTACAATGTTCAGAAAGAGCAAGTTACTTCTCACCAAGGGACGCAGTGTATCACACTGGTGATAGACTTATTGTTGTGCTACCCATCCCAATGAATGATATGGCTGATTTGAGTATTCATTTTCCTACCAGCAACATTCGTTGTTTGTTGATAGCCAACCACTTAAATGGCCAAACTTCAATATCTACTTCTCATATTCAACTGAACCGGAAAACGAGCACGCCGAATTCGGAAAACTTTCCCATAGCAGCAGTTTTCTCCTCATTATTGCAACTTGTAATATTATATTATCTGGCATCACAACATTTACCACACGAACTTTTGATCAAAAGATGGCATTAGTGTAACAAGGCGATATCACAATTGATGATTGAAATCCCTTGAGATTCGTTGATCAATTCTCATGACTTGATAGAATTGTAGTAACTGTTGACGGATATTCCAAAGTCTGGTAGAAGATTACTTATCTTTAATTGAGCAGATGAAAGAGGGGAAAACCATATAAGTTGGGTCGATTGCATGTGTTCATCTACCCTACTCCAGAAATTACAACTAGCGGGGTTGTACACGTGAAAATGCTGAAGTACCTCGAGAGTACCTACAGACTACAGAGCAGGTAAACGGTTTAGCTCTTGGCTATCTATTGCCTTTGAAGTTTCAAAGCTATTGATATAGAGTCATTTTAGAGTGGTTCTACCAGGATTTCATCTTCTCTCCGATTCGAATCCTTCAAGTCAAGATGGAAATCCGCAACCTATCACGATAAGGTTAACCTTACCAACTCGAAAACCCTCCAGGTCGTTCACCAAGATCAACAATATTCACCACATTATTATTAGTCTCAAAGCCAAAAATCTAAAAGCCTTCCTTCCATTCACTTCACAGACCAACATCACAAAAATCTACACCTGCAAACCCCTCCCCCCACTACAAATCTACAAGCACCCAACTTTCACACTTCCAAGTTCCAACCCCTCGCTAACCAAGTATCTAGTAACGAAATTATATACACACCAAAAAAGATTCTCTAAAGATACTTCTTTGAAAATAATCACAAATTATATTCGAATATAATATAAATGGGGTTATATATATAAATTTTCACTATTTAAATCTTCTCATCATAAATTTGAAACATAGTATTGATTAAACAATAATTAGATGAATTTTGAAAACGCTATTGATATTTGATATGTGTAAAGAATTTCGTCCACATGGAGAGCCAACTCAACTCAACCCCACCATCCATATCCATGTCCATGCCTACCCCTCCCCTCTAGCAAAAAGAAAAAGAAAAAAAACTCTTCAACCCCTCCCTCCCCTCCACTCCACAACAAACCCACAAACAAGCAAAAACAAAAGAAATTTGACCTACGCAGGGATCGAACCTGCAATCTCTTGATATCGACGAATCGTAGTCAAGCGCCTTGCCATTGGGCCAGCAGGCCTGAAGAACTATAGAAAGGTTCTTGTTGTTTGTTGACGAGTCTGGTGAAGTTTAAGTCTATATTGTAGTTTTGAGATAGGAGAGAAATCAAAGGGAAAGAGAAGGATGTGGGAAGAGGATACCGTATCAATGTCTGGAATGCGGATGAGTCACTTGTTTGTTATATCTATCTTTTATGATTACTCATGTTTCTTACTTGGATACTCTTTATTTATATACTTCTTTCCGCTACAGGAGATTTTACGATAAATTTGAATACATAAAGGTCAGCATCAGATACTGTACCATACTATTGATGCATCTAGCCCTCGCTGATCCGGATATTCTTTACATCAACCTTGCTCATCAGTCTACTATGTCTCGTCATTACATCTTTGAGATCTATACAATCCCTCTCACTTCAATACATCCCACTTCCAATCATCAAATCACATTGCATCAGTAAAACACTTTCAACTGGGTAGGAAGACATTGTATTGTAACTATCCTATTCTATTCCTTTTCCCCGAAAAAAAAAGCACAACCACCACCATCCATATACAGTCGACCTGGTACTTGAAAAATAAAATAAGAAAAAACTGCGCTATTCGCTATTCGGCATGCTGCAGGGTTATCTTGGTTGAAGAAAGAAGAAGAAAAAGATTTACAAAACATATTTTAGGTACAGACAATAAAAGAAAATTTTGACTGCTAAAGTCCAGGTGGTATCTCAACTCGCGCTCTCGCGCTCTCTCGCTCTCCCTCTTATTCTCTTTTGGAATCTGGGTCTCTCTCCTCCCCTCTCTTCTCCCCTTACGACGCAATGCAACATAAAAACACTAATGCGTGTGAAGAGCCTCCATACGTCATAAATTCCTGCGTGAAGCCCTTTCCTTCTAAGATAAAAAAAATGGAATGATAAGTCAATGAATGCTGATGAGGTATATTACCAAATAATGACTATCAAAGTCATGAGAAAGTGTGTCAAAAAAGGAAATATTCTTATGCAAGAGAGTGACGATTGTAATTATTATTGTCCATAGGTTGCCCAATGTCCATGAGCTTCTCGTAGAACTGAATTGTGTTAGTGAATATGATCGAAATAAGAATAGACATCAACGTACCACTTAAAGTGTGTCCCTGACCGGCTCGATCCTCACACGCAATTTGCAGCTCACCACCTTCCAAGAAAGCCAAAACAACACTGTTTGGTAATTCTTGCATATCAACATCGGGTATTTCAGGAGCTCTAAATTCACCAAGGTGAAATCTCCGTGTTGCTCCTTTATCATTTCCACCAGCTGTGATAATAAGAAGTCCTTGAGAATCCAGGATCATTGATCTACGCTTCCACAAAAGACTATCAGGAAATTGAACGTTGACATCTCCAATGTCATGAGCAATTGTGGGCGAGGCTCCCAAGGATGGTTGAGATGGAACAAGTGAAGACTCCGAATCAGGAAAAAACGGAGGTTCTGATTCCTCACGAACTGTAGGTGAGATAGCATGTGCAATAGCTTTGCGACTTGAAGATAATGATGAAGACATACGCTTCATCATACGACTTGCACGGCCAGACTTTTTGTCCGACTTCTCATCATTCCCGGAAGATGCTGAGCTAGCTGTTGGTGGTGGAGAGAATTCGGAACGATCAAGACTACGACGACTGCTGACGGAGGATGGTCGAGATTTACGAACAGGGGATGTAACATCAGCGTAAGAAGATTTTGATGGCGACTTAACAGTCGGAGAAGATGCGAAAGGCTCGATAGTAGAAGAACGCCGACGCTCGGAAAATGAAGAACGACTATCGTTAATGAGGTCTTTGACCATTGCGATAGATGATCGTCTCTCATTGTTAGTAGTTGTGGTAGTTTTAGATGACGTTGATAAACGCCTTTCGGGTACGGTCTCTTTCTCTTTTGGAGGACTAGAAACCGCCATCTGGTGATCTATGATCAATGGGGATTCTGTCAATGGCGAAGAGTTATAATCCGAAGGATCTTTGCCAGCTTCTGGCTTTTGAGGAAATGGTTGATTAGGATCTCTGACGATGCGAGCGGTTACCTGGACAGTCTCAGGTCGAGATGGAGTCGACTTGAGGTCAGAAACAGGAGTCGGTTTCAACATAGCCACTCTTTTCTGAACCGAGTTTGATCTTTCACGTCCTTTAACAACTTCTGGTGACCCATCTCTCGATACACTAGGAGTTGGTGTATTCTTGTTCAAGGAATGTGTACGTTCGGCAATAGAAGGAGCTCTCGATGGAACGAGTACACTACTTTTTCGAACAGAAAAAAATGCAGGCGATGCAGATGGATTTGGGCCCAATGTGGATGGTGCTGCAGAAGAGTCGGGAGCTAGATTTTGAAATTTTTCAAAGGCCTTAATTCTGTTCGCAACACCGGATCCTACACTGATCTTCTTAGGAACAACGGGTGCTGCGGCAGGTTGCATGCTTAGGCGGTTCAAAAAGTTTGCAGATGCCGAAACAGGTCGAGAAACAGGTCGGTCACCACCAGGCATGGCCGTAAGAGGTGGAGGAATCGGATTAACTGATTGTAATGGACTTGAAACAGTTCGTGAAAATTTGATCTCATTTTGCGTAGGTTGTGGAAACAAAGGACTAATTGGCGACTTGCCCACCGACATAGGCTTTGCATCTTGGATGACTGCAGACTGCAGCTCATCCATAAGTTCATCATCTGAGGAGAAGTTATTCTCAGAGTTAGGGCCACTTTTATCGAAACTAGTTCGAATGGGCTCAATATTATGGATTTTCTTCTTCTGTGATAAATTGTACCCAGGGTCGAAAGGACTATCCTTAAGAGGCTTGTCAACTATGTTGAAAACAGGCTCACTAGCGGAAGTTTGCAAAGGCTCTTCAGGCGCTTCATATTTGGTATTTTGTTCTTCGGCAAGGGGAGAGGTGGCGACCGTGAGATCATCCTGTATAATATCTTTGGAGACAGAGTGACTAGAGTCGCTAGCTAATTCCTCTGTGCCTTTAAGTTGGTCGGGATTTATGCTTTCGTCGTCTAGCTCTGGGCTTTGAAGTGATATCGTTACAGCTGGCTCGTTTCCATTACTTTCTAATAAAGTAGTAGGGGACAATTCTGAAGCCATATTGTCTTTCGTCACCACCTTTGTAGAAAGTGCTTCTTGAACGGTTTCATCCGTGGACTCCGAGATAGAAGACGCTCTTGTCGATTCTGCTTTTTCCGAAGGCCCAATGGGCGAGACCGGGTAGGAATCGGATCTTGTAGCGTCTGAGTCGTCCGTTCTCATAGCGAAGCTTGTATCGAGGGCAATCGCGGATTGATCTGCTTTGGCCATATCAGTCAGCAAAGCCAAGGTATCTTGAATCTCCTGTGGAGCGCCTTGTGACGTGCTAGGGCCTAGGGCAGAGGGTATCTCGAGATTTCTTGGAGACGTCGAGGGAGTTGGAGAAGTGGGTGGTATTTGCGCAGGTGAACCAGCACTCAATTGCCTCTTCCGCATTTCCATAGCCTTCATAAGCCGTGCCTTCTCTGGCGTAATTGTTGGGACTTTTGCATTGGGGGTGGTAGAATTCGTTGACAATGTTGTTCGAACCGAAACCCCAGAGCTGGTGTTTGGTCGTCCACCACTTGTATGAGGGCGAGAAGGGAATGACGTGGGTAGAGTTCCATTTTCAGGAATAGAGGGTGGTGACAAACTCATACTGGGTGGCTCTTCAGACTCCTGCGAGTTTAAACTCGCCCGCCCCTTTTTTGACCCTCCCTTTGTAGATGCTTTCAACCCCTGTGGAAGTGTTGACACTGGACGACAGTTAGGGGCTCCTCCAGATGTAGTCGTTTTGCCAACATCGAGAGAGGGGCGAGGTCCAAGTCTAACTTTAGGTCTGCCGGTAAACTCGTGAGATGTAAGGCTGTACAAATCAGGTCGTGCGGACTGAGAAGATGTCCGAGGTGTTTCGTCAGTGGTTGTGATAGGTGAGAATGATCCAAGTTCAGCTTCACGCGGTTCCCTTGGAGGAGGCGGAGATGTATCAAGATCGAATGTCAAAGGTGCTTTGGAACGTGGTGGAGGAGGAGAAGTTTCAAGATTGTTGTCCCCTTCTACAACCATAGAAGAGAAAGTAAATGAATTTGGCAGATCGGCCGGCAGGGTGGTCGGATCAACTGTTGGCTGGGTGCCCGATATTGAGGTAATAGTGTGTGCAGTAGGGGGGCGCTCCTCCTGAACTGTGGATTGTCGTTTGGTTCTAATATCCTCCTCCTCGTCCTCTGCAATTTCCATTAAACGTCGTCGGCGCAAAGAACTCGTCGAAGATGAAACGGATCCCGAAGCAGTGTGTAGTGAACAGGCGGCAGACAGGGTCGTATCACGGAGCTCTTTCGCAGTGGTTATTTCGAATATCGTATGGTAGGGAGCGAACTTTTCGGTAACAGCATTAAAATGAACAGTGACGCGAGCTATCAGATTATCAGATTGTTAGAATTTAGAATTTAGAATCCCGAAAGTGAGATTTGTTTGAGCGAGATCAACAACAAGGGAACCCACCTTGAACCAGTCTTGAGCATCCATCTGGCACATACTTGATGACTACGTTCCGTCGCCTGTATCGCAGAAACCCGAACAACGGCGATGGTTCTTCATATTGTCCAATTTTATTTCTTATTTCCACAATTCCGCCATTGCCACGACCCATTAATTCTATTTCGTCTCTCGAAGCATACTTCAGCAGGAACCTACACGACGAATACAATATCAGTCTACTATATCACGGCGCACGCAGAGCAATAAGATACAAGATGTTGAATATAAGCATACCATCCTCCGGGCTCAGCTACCGCCGCATCGTATGCTTCCTTGACCTTCGCATCATCCAAGCCATTCAACGACATTTCCTTGCGAGCCTCGTCGAAATTTGTTGTGGATCAGGGTAATTATACCAATCTTCCGGTTTAAACATTCGATTCAGGGGTAATCGTATCTGTACATGATATAATGTAACGCCGCTTCATCTGTCAACTGCGCGATTGGAGGCCCAAATAAATTGGCAGATTCCCAAAAAAGAAGCCAGAACCCCAAAATATCAAAAGCAAGAACCAAAGCAAGGGAAGGGAAAGGAAAAGAAAAGAAAATATTGAAGCCGGTCGTGACTCGTCACTGTACAGAAGCAAGGTGTGTTAAGGACTGACTGACTGACTGACTGAAGAAGCAAGATGGATTATCGGAAATTATTAATAAATGTTCCAAAAGTTAGAAGATTGGAGAGCAAAGGTACCCAAGTAAGTAAGGTGTTTTTGTGAGGGGGTCTGCGCTTAATAAATGGTTAAGATGCTTCGAGTAAAGATCTTTGACAATTCCTTTTTGAGGAAAGATTCATTGGTGAAGTTTGTTGGACCCTTGGAGATGGCTCTCTATCATACTTTTTATATACGCCTCCACATCTCAAAGGATACTACCGGTAAGTATGGTATGTATCTAGCAACAAGTTTGACGTCGTTGATGAGAGATCTAGGTGATCGCTTCAAATGTGCTCTGTATGTATTGACAAGTATCAAAATATCACCCCCTTTATTGACTACAGCCAAACAGAAAGGTTGTCTCCCCCGCCTTTCAGATAAGTACCTACAGACAAGTATCTACCCGGTATCTCTCTGGGGATTATTCATGCGATTTGAAAATGTAATCTGTGTCTGTTCGTGTTCTGTAACAAGTGTTCGTCCGAAGGTGCACAGATGAATCAGATTGACCAATAACTGAGTCTAATTGTACTTACTGGACGATTTTGTGCAGAGTAGCTACAAGCACAAGCCGTCTCAATCGACTTGATTGGTAGCTGACATTCTACTCACTACCTAACTTGCATATCTTTCAAGCCATCTCGGTTCGATACGAATGTGTAGTTGATAGATACGTATTGTCTTTTACATCTTCAACCTAACTCCTGTAGTACCGGTAGGCATCTACTGCGTACATTCTACGGAATCACACATCCAAATCCTCACCCTATCAAACCCCTAGTGAGTCTAAAATACACCACAAGTTCACAACCCACGTTATCTACACGAGATGACAATTTAGTTGAAGATCTGCATCTTGGGTAATTGTTTCATTTCTCACTACATCCACTTCTCTCTATCTGTCACTTAATAATTATTTCGACTACAAGTTACTCGGTACTCAGACGGGTCTCTTTTTTATTACAGTGGCCGTGCTAGGAACGAAAATTCGATCGATGTCAAATCATGTACGAAGTACTTCGGATTTTAAATATGACTTCAGGTCGTATTTTACGAGTACCACCATACCTCTATTTCGCATCATATTTTTTTTTACATTGGTTGTTGTTGAATGATCCTATCTTGCAACGTGTCTTTATGAGCATTTAATCTTACAACCTGTGAAATCATGATGTATCGGCCACGGTGATTATTTGGTACAAAGAAGAATTGAATAGTGCTTTTATTAACAATCACCATCATTCCCACCTTGCCTGAAGTGCATCCTCGTAAGCAGCCTCGCTGCGGCTCTCCCATTGACTCTCTGGATCAATCCGCGAATCTTGCGGACGGCGATTGATCATTAACCCTGTGAACTTGCATTTTCCAGCGAAATCACACGTGAACGTGCCTGACAAAGACTTATCCTTGTCGTTAAAGGTGATACTCTCCAACCTTTTATCAGAGCCGAGTTGAATTTCTCCCTCGCCAGTCTCCTCGCCTCTCCAGCGATATGGCCATGTAGGTCGCCTGGCTGTGGGCTTATCGTTGGCTCCAAGATAAAAGGCGCTTTCTTTGTATTTACTATTACTCGCACCGTCTTGAGAAACGTCACTCATCATGACATCTCCATCCTCATCTATTGAGGAAGTACTTTGTCGCTTTCTCTTTCTATCGCTAGTCTTCGGACTGGGCACATCAGTTGGTCTTTCAAATCGCATGATGCCCTTATTGCAAAGTTAGCTATTGAACACCACGCACGAGTCTACAATAAAATCATACCTCGACAACTATAAAATTGAACATTGCAAACATTTGATGCCTTCCATTTTTGTTTTCCACATAAATGTCAAGGATAAGGTCCGAGTCTTTCTCTCCCCATTCTTCTTCAATATTTGGGCACTCTATCACATAAGAACCTCGAACATCCCATAGACCTTCCAACTCAGTTGTGCTTGAATTGGCTCGCGCGCCGCTAGCCGATGTCCGTAATCTTTTTGCAGCTGGCTGTCTGTGAGCGACTTCATCTTCACCATCGTCCACGAACAGGTCTAAATGAGTGCTAGCACTTCTTGTAGACTTTACAGCTGTCTGTTTTCGGGGGCCTGGAGAGACTGGCCCCGGACTTTCTGGATTCTCAGTATTACTATCGAAAAATATGTCTAAATCAGTGCTAGTACTACTTGCAGACTTTATAGCCGTCTGTTTTTTGGGGGCCCGAAGAGGTGGTCCCGGAAGGTTATGACTATAAGAATCACTATCGGAGAACAAATTATCATGTGCGGCAGTGCTTGGCGCAAATTTTCTAGCTGTCTGTTTTTTCCGTGGTAGTGGTAGTATTGGGCGTGCTGACTGAGTTTCGATTTCATCAAACACATTGTCGTGCGTTCCTGAACTGGGTACATATTTCCTTGCTGTTTGTTTTGGTCGACCTCCAGGGGTTTTCTAAGAAGAAATAACTTAGCTCCTATTTTTTACAATGATCTAACATAACATGGAGTATATTTCAACTTCAGTATGACATAGCAGAAGTTAAAAATACCATATATAGGGCCAATTTTATGCAGAAGAATTGAAAACATGACACAAAAAAAGGCCAAGCTATTCCAGGCAAGATGAAGGTTTTTCCAATATCACGATGATGCAAATGTGAACCAAATGATAATTATGAGAATGACTTTCGAACCCTTTTGCTCCGGCAAGGCAATGTGAATGTCCAAGTTATTTTCGATGATTGGAGGTACCCTTGAGGGAGAATAAGGGGTTGCTAACCGTCCAATCTCAGCTCAGAGAATGGATGACATTGCATTACAAATTTCGATCATCTGTATGGTACTACCATTTGAAAAAAAAAAAAAATAAGTCTTTGTCGCTTGTTTTTCTCTTACCTTTGGTGTATTTTCCTTGGACCAAGTTGTTGCTCGTTCAAGCTCATGCTTCTGATTCAATACAGCATCTGTAATTCTCCCCACTACGACCCACTGATCTGGAGAAGGTCGTGTGTTACCCACCTGAGGGGCATCCACTAACACAGACTCCAATCCCATCTTGTACGCAGCTTTAGCTAGGGCAGTTTTATGTTTATTCTTAACAATAATAATGTCCGGCTTTGCTACTTCTCCCGTGGCACTGTTCGGAAACGCTTCGTTGAGGTATCTCTGTGGATCAGCATCAGCCTTCTCCTCGGCAGTCTTCAAGTTTTTCCAATTGCCATCCCTCGCAAGTTTGTTTTGCTTCTTGAAATCCTTGTTCAATTGAGACTCTGCGGCCTTAAGCTCTGGATCCATTTCCTTCTTCGCTGCTCCCAACCTCAACTGCAAATCGGCGATGGATCCAGTTTGTTTCAATCCTCTGAATGCGCATTGGGCTTTCCACCAACCTGCTGGTTTCGTTCCAAGACTGTTGCCTGGCTTTTGGCCTTTGGGGGCTATAAAATTTTCGACGTGGGGATCGTAAGGATGGCCATCTTTGCGTAGACCTTCTCCTCTGCATGTATAGGTGACAGCCTTGAATCTATGTTCAAATGGCGGGATGACAATTGGATATAGGTCGGTCATGATGGTTGCAACTTGGCGAGGCTAAGTCCTTGGTTGATTCTCGTCAATGGCCGTAGAATGTGCGTCGCATTTATGTATAAGGTTAACTTCGAGATTTTGCTGTGAGAAGTTTCGCAAAAAGAATACAAAGGAAATTAAACCAGTGACCATAACTAACACCAATTGAAACACCCAAACATCGATATTCAAAGAAAGTACAAAGAATGAAAAAATGTAATATTTGATGGCTGTTTTGGACATGGAAGCCAGGGGATTTGAAGTTTCGACAGCCTGACGTCGTTCGTTGACCAGCCTTGCCGCTAGCGTGATCTCTTAGCGTGGCGGGCACCAAAAAATCATCAGGCCCGCATAGCTAGACAAAGATATAATCCACCATCAGGGAATTGAATCTATACTGGCATACCACAACCCATCCCTTTCCCTACGAATATAAAAATTAAAACTTCGCAAAGATGGTTGAATTGACAGAAGTTGAGGATGAGTCCTTTGAGCAAAAGCAAGCTGGACCATCTGAGGATGATTACTACACGGATACTGGTTGGTCTTACAATTGATTGCGAATTCATCTACAATTAGCTAATGAACGCTCAACAAAGATTCCGAGATTTCCTCTGACGAAGAGGACAATGTCGCAGATGAGGAGACTTTCGCAGACCGCATAAGTGCCCTGAAAGATATAGTACCAGCATCTACTCGTTCATTCATCTCCAGCAAGGTGGATGCAACTACAACTTGGATCAAATCGGGCTTGATGTTTGGAGGCAAGACTTTATTTGTTGTGAGCACAAGTGCTTTGTTATTGGGAGTTCCATGGGCATTGGCATTTGTGGAGGAGCAGCAGGTAGTTGAAATGGAGAAGGAGATGAAGATGAGAGAGATGGGTGGAGAGGTGCGTTGCTCAATCCAATTCAATCGCATTTCATTTGGAATATTTCATACTGACATGGCTCACAATAGTTACTTTCCTCGGGCACAGATACAGCAGGACAGTTGAACGCTCAACTTGGCGCACAACAAGGAAAGCCAGCATTGTAATGAACAAATCTGCTATGTTGCGAGATAAAGGAAAATGAATCTGGATTGGGGAAGATATGATAGCATTGTACATCAGTGAGTGGCTTTTGGGGTGGGCGCATGATTCAGAAGGTTTACGGCCACAAAACCTGTGTATTTCTAGTTCTTCTCACCTCATGAACAAATAATTACTTCAGTAAATACTCGAGTACAATTACAAATCCAGTTCAATGTCACATGCAATAACCAAGGGTCCAAGTTAAAGTTTTTTCTTATTTTGCAGATATTATGGATTTAGCCGCCTCGTCCGCCACTACGCCCAATCACTCAAATAGATTCATACTTTGAAAACATTACATTTATATTTCATTCCCCCTCCATAGTTTCGGATTATCCTGAAGATACAAATAAGATAAAAGCTCATAAAATTACACGTCTAATTTAATATCAAAATAATGATTGTCTGAATTTATATCGGATATTGAAAAGAAAATGTAGTTTCGCTATCCCAGTTTTCCTGTTGTGGAGGCTGTTTGGCCAAAGTGTTATCCTGGCTAATTCATGATAACGCTTTTTCGGGCACGTAGAGACAGCCTAACGGAATTGAGTGCTTTCGAACTCATTCCTTAATTTGGCGCATGAATCAACCATCTGAGATCGTAGAGAAAAAGTACCAACCAAAAGCTGGCTTACTAGTTCAAGATCCTATACATAACAAAATAGATTTCATGCATGATCTTTGCGTCGTATAGAGTAAAGACTGCCCGAAGATCTTCAAATCCGGCACCTTGTTTCGCTTACGTAGTGTATACCCCTGTGTTGGAGTCGAATGTCATGGCGGCTTAAGCAAGGTCCACTTCCCCATGTTATGCGTCGAGCAACTCGTACAATCTTACCGCTCAAAGTGAATGTCTGCTCCTCATCCCACAATCACACCAACTTCTCCGAGTTCTTCTTGATCTGTAAGCGTTTTGCCCAAACTATATTATTCCGACTACAAGTGAATCTCCAACCCTCGTCTTAAGATTACCTACTGCAATCTCTCTGAAATCCTCCTAATCTGCGCTTGTTTCAGCAAAGACTATTATTGTACCACTACAAGTGAATCTTTCACCCCTCATCTCAGGCCCGCTGGAGTTTCTCTATATTTTTCTTGATTCGCAAAGTTAGTTCCGCCATAATGTCGAGAACACCTCTATTCCTAAACTTTACCGGAGATTCAAGCCGGAATCGTCAAATGTCGTGGTTACTGGCAAGTTCATCAAGGAGGAAGGAGAGAAGGTAAAGTCAATATCTGAGGCGTTTATATATGCAAAGACCTCTGGCTAACAATAGAAAAATAGATGGCCTCTAGTACTTAGGTTCTGGAAAGGAAGCGTCCATAGTGGTAAGATATAATAGTGAACTACTTTGAAGAGAAAACGAGACTAACAAGTTCCCTATGCAGAGGTTATCTGGCCTGTTGCCATTCTTTCTGCTATCTCTGCTATCGTCGTATATCTGAACCAACACATCAGCAGCGATGTTACGCTTCCAACCAGCATTGTAAGTACTCTCCACAATCTAGACGTTGGAATTGATCATTTCGGACCCTCCCATGCGGCTCCGCTTAGTTGTGGTATGCCAAAATCAGTACCAAATATTTTTGAGTCTACGAAGATCAACAAGATACCATTTTGAGATTATGATCAATTTTCAATTGTGATCCAGCACTTCATTCAGTTTGAACAATCTGAAACCATGGGTTAAAGTTGATTGTCCATGCATAACAAGGTGAGGGTTCACTTGCACGTGACTTAAAACGCGGTATGGTAATACGCGAGTGTCACGTGTATGAGGACCCTCAACTCATGCTTAAGACTTTGATGACAGATCAAGAACACACATGATATTTAGATAGATTGGTCCCGAAAGCTATGCCAAGGCTAGACAGAGCCGTGCATCTAGTCATATACACAGAGACTTCAAAAATAGTCTTACAATAAGGTTGAGAAAATAGTGTCTAACTGAGTGAAGGTCCCCTCACTATCCATTGTCGTCGGTCTAGAACTCGTGTTCCGAAATCAAACAGCATATGCAAGGTTTTGGTCGGGACGTTCTCATTTCGCAACTCTCACAACCTCAATTAGATGTCTCACACGACACTTACTTGTACTTGTTCCTGCCCCCGCTCCTTCCGATCATCAATACGATTCACCGTTCACACAGAATGAAGGCAGTACGGATAGCTCAGCATATAAAGATTTTGATGGCGGAGTAGATAGAGCCCAGCAGCCAATTTCCAAAGCGCTTGAGGTAAAGACAATCGAGACAGTCAAGATTATGATAGCGATGTTGTATACGGTTAAAAACCACTTGAGAGCAGATTGGGGCGTAGAACTTAGTTCAGGAACAATGATGACTGAAGAGGGCGAGTTTTCCTGGCCAGCAGAATACAAGGATCTGCTGCCACAAGGCTTTAAAGGTCATGAACATATGGGATTGGGTCTCACACTTCAGTTGAGTACCTACGTTGAAAAATTCGTCAACACTGGTTGCAACTTGTAAGTCTGCTATTCATCCTATTTTTTTTTGAGACAATTAAGTCCTTTCTATTTATTCTCTTGTTCTGAAATTCTAATGGGTCCTTTACACACAGGAATTGGTTCAACAATAGTGCCTCGGCTCAGATGCTCGCCAAACTTAACGAACTCGTCGCAGCCTACGGCAACATGGAAGTAATTAGACTTGCACCTACACCCGTTGCGCACCTCATCCACAGTAAACAGACACTAGCCCTCTTCTGTAGCATACTGCCTTTTGCTATGGCTGCAGAGATTGGGTGGTGGACAATCCCCCTCGTCGCTTTCGTAGCCTTCGCCCTCTACGGAATTGAAGGGATCGCCCAATGGCACGAAGACCCCTTCGGAACAGACAAGATTGACATTAATATGGACGACCTTGTAGAAGATGCTAGAAGAGAGATTGAAGTAATGTTGGAAGCTTGGAAAACTCAGGGACTAAGCGGACATGGAATTTTTACGCCTAAGTTGAGCACACCATTTACACCACGAGCTGAATATGGTACTCTGGGCTGAGAGAGATGTGAATGAAACCACTGAAGCTCATACACGATAAAGGGATATGAAACTGATATGGGAGCATTGAAATTGTATTTTTGGGGGGGTCTTATATCGATTCTCGGCGGCATTGGTCACGTGAATATCACATTGAAGGTAGACAGTATTTGAAGGTGGATCAATAGCTTTTGCTATTGGCCTGGGAGCACTGTTCATTGTTACAGATTGTTTCAGACATTCAAAGGTTGATATTCAAGCATTGTTTTTGGGTGGTAGATTTCCTGGTTCGTTGCATCTAGTTTCCGGTACACTAGACGAAGGATGAGTCAAATTGGTTGGAGAGCATTGCTTTTCACTTGATGGGTCTTTAGAGAGTCAATTTCTTTTCGAATGTCATCTAGAAGCAGGACAATCTGAGGGTTTAAGTTATAGTTTTTGGGGAATTTTACTGGTGATTGTTCAATAACTAAATTTGCTTACAACTCTTTCCGGCTCTCCCACCTCATAGGCCAACATTTCAGCGTAGTCTCATTGGTATCTTGGTAATCCATCAGATTGGGTGTGATTTTGATAAATTGATGTCCGCTTGACGACTACAAATCATGACAAAGCCACATGCGTCTAGATATCGGCTAACTATCTATGTTGCATTTAAACGAAGTATTTGTCCAATGAGGAGGCACATTGGCTGACGTCAAATACCGTCATTTCTCACCCGTGTAAATAATCTATGCTGACTTGCATAGCTAGAATTTGTATATAAGATCCATTGCTCTCTCAAGAAACGAGTGGTACTACGAGACATTTAAAGCAAAATCACACGACTGGATAAATGATGCGTGCAATAGGTGAAAAAAAGAATAAAACCCCCCTATAAAAAGGAGTTATATGATTAACGAAATACAGATATCAAAAACGGGCGCGGACCAATCTCCTGTCTCTTTTTGAACAATGATATCCCCAAACCCGAACCTTGCACTTCCCAAGCCCTAGTAAAAATCCATTCCTTTGGTCTCAATCGAATGGATTTGATGCAGCGGGAGGGGAAATATAATATACCCCCACAAGCGGGGAAAATACTAGGTGTGGAGTTTTCCGGGGTGATTGAGAAGCTTGGGGATGGGGATATCGGGGATTTCAAAGTTGGTGATGAGGTTTTTGGACTTGCGTATGGTGGTATGATACCTTCTTTATGTGGTTCCAGAGCGTGCTGATTGATGGTTTAATAGGGGCATATGCGGAGTACATCGCATCGTCAACAAAAATGCTCATCCACAAACCGACTGATATATCTTGGTCTGTAGCTGCTGGGATCCCAGAGGTATGTATTAGAGCCACTATGTAATATGGTATTAACAAGACAACAGACCTGGATAACAGCAACCCAAGCTTTACATCTCGTTGGATGTTTTAAAGCAGGAAATAATGTTTTATGGCATGCTGGAGCATCCGCAGTTTCCATTGCTGGAATTCAACTATCCAAAGCTGCCGGCGCCCATAAGATACTCGTCACTGCGGGTTCGGATGAGAAGATCGCTTTCTGTAAGAGTTTGGGCGCAACGTATGGCTTTAACTACAACACCGACAACTGGGTCCAAGGAGCTCTAGATGCAACTGACGGGCATGGAGCAGATGTAATTGTTGACTTCGTTGGGAAGAATTACGCCCAGGGAAACTTTGAAGTCGCAGCTGTGGATGGAAGGATTGTCCAACTGGCTAGTCTTAGTGGATATAAACTCGATGGTTTAGATATCACTCTTCTTGAGAACAAACGCTTACGATGGGAGGGAAGTAGATTGAGAAGCAGACCTCTAGATTACCAGGGGAAACTAAGAGATGTGTTGGTCGAAACTGCGTTACAGAAATTTGCAGATGGCACTTTCAAGGTTCCTATCGAGAGGATTTTTTCCTGGAAAGATATTAGGGAGGCTCATACATTTATGGAAAGTAATCAGTCGAAGGGGAAAATCATTTGTACGGTGGACTGATAGTATGATTTGATTGGTCGTAATGCTATATGGCGGCCTGCATCAAAACATGATGAATATATGTAGGCAACAAGATTCCTTGTTATTTTTACAAAAACGGTCACCGAGTATGAATGAATATGAATTAAATACCTCCAAAATCTCTTGATTGACTCGCACCGTACTTATCGTTCCGCGCTCGAATTTCTTCATCATTTACTTAAATCTTACACTTTCACAACAACATAACAATCTCAAATAATTTCATCAACATGGGCACCAGCGGATTAATTGTCTTTGTTCTCGGAACACAACGTCGAGCAGTTTATTCTCATTTTGACTCATACCCCAAAGGTCTAGGGCAAGACATTGTTACATTCATTCTAGGATTGAAGCCCGAGCAATTCTCGACAATGTATCAACGTCTTCAAGACATTGAAGTACGTGCATTGTTTGACATCTTTCTATGAATTCAACTGACAGATACACAGTGGGTCAAAGAAACTGTCGAAGTCCCAAAGGATCTTCAACAGAAGTATCGCAAGCTGGGCTACTCCAAGCCAAGCGGCGATGAACGAGAAACACAATGGTATTGGATTCTTCGTGGTGTCCAAGGAGGAGATGCGCTATTGCCAATCTTGAATGGTGATCTTAAGCATTTGGTGGAAGTGGAAGTCGATTTCAATGATCCTTTTGCGGAATATACGTACTTTCTCGATTTCCAGAAGATGACGTTGGAGACGTGGTGTTGTAAAAAGATGGTTCATACAGTGAGCTTTCAGGCGTTGGCAGATTCAGAACAGGATTGTATGGAGGTGCTACAGAAGAAATTGATGGAAGAAAAGGAGTAAACTAAATTCGGGGGAGGATCTGAGAACGGTCTCGACTAAGACCAGATAGCTTCTCGCCGCTATCCAGAAGGTTACGTTTTATTATTCGAATGAGAATCAGAGAATCACACTGCGCATAGTATTGATAATCAAATATCTTCATCGTCTTTCTACGTGTTCCTGTCTTCGTACATGATAGTGATACCGCGTGATAATCATCTGATCAGTAGGAACTGTATAAAGCGCCAATATCGTATTCCACCTGCTTTCCATGTTACATGAGATCGTTGTACATGATAGGCAAGACCCTTCTTAATGTCGCCGCTTTCGAAGCATAAACATACTGGTCGGAATAGATTCTTGCACGACAGCATGTGTAACGATGCTTACTAACCTGCCCATATTCTTAAACTGTAACAAAATTCACCTACGAGCACCAAGTTATATTGAAAGACAGGAAACATCCTGCTCTCCCATTTATATTTCATTGTCAACGTGCGGTAAACGTTGCAAAATGAGGGGTCGAAATAAAGTGGGGGCAATATATGCAAAACTCTGCCTATATTTTAGCTCCGTGCCACCCTAGACCTCACTTGATATTTTACTTCACTACAAATTCGATGACGCGACAGAAATGAAAACAGGTACTTGTTGAAGCCCTCAGATTCAATAAAGCAGTTAATCCGCGATTTAACTCTGTGACAGACCTCTTCCCCTTATTTCGATATGGAAAGTACGTCTCCAACAGCTCACAACGCTGCCACGATTCATCCAGCATGCAGTTCGCTGCTCCCGACTCCAACTCCGCCATAAGAGACATAGCTAAGTAGGTTATAGGAACGTTCATGTATCGGGAAGCAATGGAAGTATCACGTCATCTCTCAGAGCCCCTGATAAGCTTCATAGCGATCAAATCGCTCCTCAAAATGGAGCCAACCAACCAACCAACCAACAAACAAACGCATACGTTCAATAACCCTTGGACGATTCCTTGTAGCCAACAAGGACATTACTTTGTAGCATAAATCGGCCTCAAAGTACCACGCAGAAACGGCTTTCATTCGGTGCCTCTTTACTTCCACTTTCAACCGCCTCCGATCGATCATCATTCTGATATCCCTTTCTATTCTCCTCGGGACTTGGACAAGATGCACGCATATATCTAAGTTGACTCGCAATCTCCTTTTCTTCTTCAATCATCTCATCGAGTGTCTGAAGCCGGTTTGAGGAAGGATTTAGTTGAAGATCTTGTCCTAATCTAGACGAGTGTGGTGATTCTCCCAATAGGCTTGAGTCTTTGTGTGCTGTTGTTGCAGACACTCCTGCTACGGATAGCTCACTCTCCAGTTGCGTGGTGAAGGACGCCAACTGCGCTTTCTTCAGCCCCTGTTGTAATAAATGTGGGCGTTCACCAAGTACAGATGCCTTCGAATTGTGGTTGGATAAGACTCGTGCTGATGCTTCCGCCGCCTGCTTCTTGCTCGAGAGGCTTCGTTTTAATTTCCTCCGGTATTCTTTTCTTCTTTGTATTGTAACGATGCCCCAATCTATGGATTTAGTGTCACCTTTAGCCTTGGTCCGACCTCTAGTTGCAACACTCTGCTTTGGACGCGAACCTTCTCTGGAAATGGTGGTCTTTGCTGGTATATCTGAGTTGGAAATACTGTGCTGCGGTGCCACTTCTGATGCTTCAATCTGTTCACTGCGAGTGTCTGCTTGCTCAATACTCTGCTTTATTTGCCCAGCGATGTATTCATTTTCGCCTGGAAATTCTTCATCTGGCCCTGAAGTCATTGTCAGAATTCATTCTGGTCAATCATCCCAAGCCTCTTACAGAATTGATGCCAGAAGCATTTATCTGCCATATAGAGCATCTTTTCTGTACCAACTCGAACATATCCTCTGCTATATTTTCTATAACAAATTTGATAAAGTCGCGTGGCTTGCTTTTTTGTATATGCGGGGTCGAAACTCTGATCATCAACGAGCTTTGCTATCATAAATTCACCGCATGATATATAAACCATAATGAAAGGGTATTCGCGATGGTACCACAGCGAAGTTCGTTATTGTGTTTTGTTTTTGCAATGGTGTGTGTAGTTGAGGTGATAAAAATTTGAAGATACCTAATCTTATCGAGAAAATAGGTTGGTGGAAAAATTCAATAGTGAATCTTGAGCTGGAAAATGTTCAGAATCGGTCACCTTAAAAAAGCAAGAGTATAGAGTAGGGCGATGATATTTCTATTGTTCTAAAGAAGCCAGCTAATTGACTCTCGATTCAATTGTAACGCCTCATGTACATCAGAAGGCCCAATAGGCTTCTCATTGCCATCCATTAAAAACACCCGTGTAAGTCTAAACGCGATGTACTATTATACGTAGAAATCACAATCAGGTTGTGCCAAAGCTTCTCAGCAATCCAAGAATCACCTTTTTGCTTCTTCTCTCAAATCCCAAGTTGGGCCAATTGCTGTAAACCTTCATCTTGATGATCATCTGCCTCATGGTCCTCAATCTGCTCTCCTTTCTGTTCCATCTGCGCAATCTTATCCTCGATACTCTTGCTCCACGCCTGAGCCTCCTGGACATAGAATTGAAGACATCTCTGCTGTTGGGCACGATACATCTGCTCATTCAGGGCATTCAAGCGTTCGACAGGAATCTGGCTGTATGCCCTATGAATGACCTCCTTATCATACGGAGTCAAGAAACAATTTTGGCGGGGAAACTGCTCATGAGGCCCTACATTTTAGTCAGAAAATTATTCCAAGTAGAAAAGGGCCAATGGTTAACATGCAGTGAGAACGCCAGAACAACTTATCTGCCATGAAGGTAATGGTGCCTTCGCTTGCTCCAGCACACACTTTGGCCATGGTGTGGTGGTGACTGACATAGTGTCTCAATGCGTCTTCCATGGTGATGGTTGTTGATTCATGAACCAATCGGTGGACCATGTACTGCTTGAGGGAGGGGAGAGACAAGAGTGATTGTGGCATCAAACTGTACGAACCGGGTTCATGGGGAATTGGTGGAGCTTGCATGGTTGCGTGCGACATGTTGAGCAATACTGATGGAGGTAGTTGGTACTTTGATGGTATTTCAGATATCGAGGTATCGTTGTTGACGCCTCTGATTTTTGTCGAAGCATTGACCGGAAAATCATCTCAAAGTCGCGTGCACCTTGATCATTATAAATAATGAAAATCCAACCATCTCCAATCAAGCTAGGCAGCAGTGCAATCACACCCCATATTCTTTTCTCCCAATTTTGTTGAAATGCGAAACGGCTTGTGCCGTGCCAAACCGCCGTAAACGGAAACAGAAACACAAATACCAAATACACGGCCTGTGAATCATATTCAGACCGCTAATAATAATAGTAAATACCCAATTCATCTCTCATCTCATCTCTCGCCTCATATCCTCATATAAACCAGTACAGCTCGCTCGACATCTAATTTCCGAACTTTATTAATATCGTGCCCGAATTATGGTATATATCTCGAATTCTCAACGAGAAGAGTAAGCGATCCAATGGCTTTGGATGGGATTAGGTAAACTCGATAGGTGGTGGCTTTTTGTTGTTAGATTTATTATTATTATTATTATTATTAGGGTAGCGGATTTGGGAGGAAGGGTGATGGTGTAGTGAATTGAATTGAATTGAAATTAGATAGATGTCAAGGTTGAGTGTGTCGATCGAGGGTGGTTTATGTGAGAGGGTTAGGGATCGGGTTTGGGTTTGGGTTTGGGTTTGGGAGTCTTTTCTAGGTTGCTTTGGTTTTTGGGATCGGGAGTTTGAGGAAGATGATCTATCTTGTGGGTGGGAGACGAGGTTGATGGGTTTTCTTTGTATGTCCACGTGATGATATTGTAGAGTTCTGGGGAATTTATGACAAGCTGTTGAGAGAAGTACCTAGATATGTAATGTGGTGAAGAGTCTTGTTGATGTATGAGAGCATTCATTACGTCTGAATTGGTATTCAAACTTTCTTCACTTGTTCATTGTACGTCAAGTCGTTGTGCTTTTGGTTGAAATGAATGCTGATGTTTGATATATTCTGGAACGTCTCGAGATTTGGCTTCTTCCTCTTCCTGACGCCATGCATTTACCCGTCTCATCATCTCTGCATGTTCTTCTGCAATCATTTCATCGTAGGTTTGGACTCTTGGAGCTTGTAGTAAGTAGTACACCGCCGCTAGGTAACTCGTTTGAATCTACAGCAAGTATGATGGGTTAGCGATGAAATTCATGCGAGGAACACCAACAGTAGATTCATGGATACGATTCCTTACGACTCAAACGACGAGACAGGTATTCCGAAGTAAGGTTACTTACAGGCTGGGAGACTAGACCTCTCTTCGCCCTCTGAGTTGTCTTGGATTCGAGACCGAAGTTCCTGATCTGCTCCAATGTGGTAGGAATTTCCAGATCTTTGGATTTGTGGCTGCTGGTATATTTCTCTGAAAATTGATCGATTTCCCTCTCTGCTTGTCTTGCGATTATGTTTCTCCACCTGACCTGTACTAAAAGATTGAGTCATTTCCGGATAGAATGATTGTCGTACTGATGACTTCTCTGCATTTTCTGTCAACCTTCTCTGGTAGAGCTCGAATTTTCTTAATTCCCCTTCACGATCCTTAACAAGGTGCACATCTTTCCTATATATTTGCAATGGTATTTTTTCTGGATAATTCCATGCAGGATCGCGGAACCTAGACTCTTCATGTCACTTTCTGGCCGTACAACGCGCATGTCATACTACGAGTACACTTTTAGAAGAATCGAAGTAAGCAGAAGTTATTCGATAGTTGAGTGAGTTTTTATTATGCAGAATCTAACTCGAAAAGTCCCTTGAGCCACACATGTACTTATCGTCTCCATTTTTCGTAGATGAAGTACAATACTTCGTCGATAATACTCGGACACAATGTACAATTCTGCCTGGACAAACAACGCAATGAAGCACCAGTGGGCGTATGGATTGACGGGACACTTCCCAACTTTCGAAATTTTTAACAAATTCAATCTTTGATTGTTTGATATGAGACTTCACAATTTGATTGTTTCAAGTCTAATGAACAATTTTAATGGTTCTTAAGAAATATGGTTTGATTTATTAGGAGATATTCACAAGTCAATCTTTATAGTGTCCCGTCAGTCCGTACACCCACTAGTGAGGTATAAAACTGGGGTAAACATAGCTCTTAAATCTCTCACTTTACTACTTTGTATGTTCTTGGATAATATTGGCCAACGTAGTAGTGAGTGAGTCCTCCAACAACGCTCGGGCTAGAGGCTTGGTCATACGATTTGGTGTCGACTTAACGGCAGCTTCTGCCTGTCTGATGGCCATTTCAGCACCACGACCAAGACATCGACGCTCAAACATCTTTATTGTGATTAGTTCACCAGTATTAGGATCTTTGAAAACCGAATCGGGAAGTAGGAGAGGAGGAAGAGGAGCCAATGACGAGGATGGTGCGGCGGGTACGGCGTTGGATGTTGTAATTGGGTTTGAGAGACCAGGTGAAGCAAGTCGAGCAGCTAAGAGCGATGAAAAGATTGAAGCCGAAGTCGGTGGCTCTGGTCCGGCTGTTGATACCGAGAATTCTTTGGGAGCCAGCGAGGTGCCTAGGTCTTCGGAATTGAGTGGAATATTGGCAAAGCCTCGAGAGTCTTGTACTGGAGTATATAGGCTTTTGGGATAGACAAAGTCTTTGGGGCAATCTCGGTGTGCTTGTTCTGGTGCCGAAGCTAGTGGATTTTGAGGTTTGAGGTATCCCTCGAAATGATTTTGAGCTAGTTTTTGAGATGGCATCGCCATGAGATCCACTCGTTGTTGAACGGGTTTCGAGACAGGTGTTTCGTAGGCAGCTTTAGACATTCCTGGAGCCTGAAATTTGATTGGTTGGACAGGTTTCGCAGAGCGGCTTGGGGTTCCCAAAGACTCCAATATACTATCAAAGAAATGTGCAGTTATCGCAGGTGCTGGCTCAGCAGATTCTGGAGTGGGAGGCAATTTTCCAACTTGTTGTTGAACAATGTACTCAGGACCACCATATTTACCGGGAAACTCGCCATATGCACTTGACAATTGGAACCTATCCCACAGGACCTTTTCAGTCCAATAATAACAAAAGTCCAGACCAGACAAAGGATATTGAGAAATGACCGAAGCAAGTTCCTTTTGGTACTCGCGGTCGAAATTATCTGTCTCAAAAAATGGATGTATGCTGCAAAGATCCAACAGCATGGACTGATGATGTCTCTGATAATGAGGAGGTCGGACGTAGGAGTTTGACATGTTGTGAAAGTAGGATGTTGTCTTGGGTGTTGGTTGACTGCGTACTCTTAGTAATCTCTGATCGCAGACGGGATTGATGTTCTATCGTGGGCGAGTATGTATCTGATTGATTTATTACTGTGTAGTCTTGTTGCTTGTCTAATGACTTACTTGTGGTATGGAAGTCTCTGGAATTGGGTAACCCATATATAGTTAAGTTAAAGGAAGCATGATACGGCCTTTTCTTTGGTTCAAAGGAGGACCCTAAGATACGGTTTCTTGTGAATTTTATACTGCGTAATCATACAAGTCTGTGCCAAACAGTACGATAGAAGATCGGGTTCAGAATCAATTGACCTGGAAATGACACATGAATGGCCGTATGTTGTCGTAAAATGGCTTCAAGCAGTAGCATTATTTGTGCTTGTGGTCAAAACTTCCCATAAACCCGGACTTAGAGATTGGAGCTTCGTTTTTGGTGATTGATTAATATCAGGAATTAGTGTTTTCTTGAAGCAGAGTAAATTTGTATCTGACATCTTCCCATGGCACTGATCATTTGATGGGACTAACAAAAAGACAAAGTGTCTTGACAAATTCCTGTAAATGCCATACTGACTGATTGTGCTAATACAAGACTTTTGTTATAATATAGATAATTATCGAAGAAGGTTTAGAATATTCAGAATAGGCTCGAAGGTTATCCACAAACGAAGCAAAGAAACAAGCAACCGTCGAGTCCTAAGTCACTCCTTGCCAGGTCATTGAGTCAATTTATCTCATCTTTTCAAGCAAAGTGCTCTATCATCTTCGAAGCCGTAAACTCACACAGCCTCAAAGGCTTTGTGGACATTCAAATCTCACTAAAGAAATAAACATGCTTCGATGGTAGAGCAGAAGAAGAAGCACGGGTAATAAAGTCCAGACGTCGAGGCCTACACTTGTCTTCACCCGTTCAGAAACACAATTACCTAGAAACATGAATGTAACTACTAGATTCGTGGTGAGCACTGCTTGTGATCTTTGCTTCCTTGATTTTGTACTTCTAAGTTCTGCCTTCGAGTTTCGGACGAGTTACCAATCGTCGTACGCCCCAACAAGCTCTATCCGCATGTCAATATAAGTTTAATACCAGACCGTAGTGAAGACTTTTGATTGCAAGACGAAGACAAGAAATACCAAAAACCAGCTGCCGCGCATAATATTCTACCTACCTAGTCCCCTTGTACTTCCCGAATTTGAGCTTTTGAATATGCATATGGATTTGATACTGAGGTATCCTATGTAAGTAAGATAAGAGTCAGAGTAAGCTGTATTGACGCATCGGAATTATTGAAGGTTGATAATCCGTCTACCCATACCTTTGAATGATGACCCAAGACGGTAGATATTCTTGGTGGTGATAGCTTCCCAGTGAAAATGTTTACTCTGAAGAGAAGTGCTAGAAGCAGGTATGAAAGGATCTGGAGAGAAATCTTCGATTCGAATTCCGCTAAGTTTTTAAATTTGCTTCTGCAGAATTAAATACTCAGATCCATAGTTGTCCGACTTTATATTTCCATTCATATGGGAATGGTTGATCAACAAATAGGAAGTTCTGTCATAGGAAACGATTCCCATTGTACAGATTTGATCAATCACTCAACAACTGAGTTTCCTCCAAAAAATTTGGGTACATAGTGTAAGAATCTGCCTGGTCAGATGTGAAATAACATGGCCTGCTGGCCCAATGGCAAGGCGCTTGACTACGATCAAAGGATTTCGTCCTTCGATTCGGCATCAAGAGATTGCAGGTTCGATCCCTGCGTAGGTCAAATTTTCTTTTGCTTTTTGCATGTGGATGTGGTGTATGGGGCCAAGGCAGGGGATGATGGAGGGATCTTTGCATTAGGCGACGTCTAGCGTTTTATTTTGTAAATGGGAGCGCAGAACCCTGCGAATCTAGTTAATGTTATTGAAAGATTTGACCTCATCTGAAGAATAGCATGTAAAGTATGTTGTCATATACCCAAGGAATTGTATGTTACGGGAAAGACAAGGAGAGCAAATTAGTGGTCGTCTTCTATTCCATCTTGACGAAACTTGTTGGTGGATTTGACAAATCTAAAAGCATCTCTAAATTTCTACGAAAGATCAAGAATATTGTTGGCTGCAGAAAGAAAAGAGTAGGTGGCAGTCAATATCCTCGGCTAATGCCTACCTCCTTTGTTTATCAACACATTACAATTCACAGCAAACAAATATCCATTGCTTTCTAAATACACACTTATTTTCAACTTTTGAAGTCCTCTCGCATATTGTTTTGCTACTCAATTAGCTTTCGATAAAAGAGGAAGAAAAAAAAGAGCAAAATTTGCAGGTTGGAGCGGGGCAAGTGGGGCAGCAAAGGCTCATGCACTGACCGGGACAAGAACAAACTCTGTAAAAGTATGATCTGAAGCAGAAAAACATTGACTGTCTGAAACAGAAAGAAGTGAAGTCGATGGAATATTATAGAGTCTGGTAATAAGTTATCGTGCTGAGATTTTTATGGAAAACTTGTGTATGGTGTGAGGGGGATGTTTTTTAGGGTCGGCTAAGTTATATGGTAATATGATAGTATGAACGTATGAAAGGCATTGTATGATATAAACTGGAACAATAATATCAATTGGGATAAGTTAACGATATTAATTGAAATACTGATGGGCTGACATCATAATGTAGATTAGGACAATGATATGAATTAGGGTTATCATATAAATTGGAACAATTATACAGTTTTCAAAGAAAAGGAGAGGAGGGTTCCTAAGGGTTTCTCCCGTAATCTGTACTCTCCCACTTTACTCCTAAAAACATGGGCTCTACACAACGTATATAACACATGCCCTCAACTGATATCGGTACGGCAAAATCTCTCTATAAGGATTCTGTTCAATAGGGGTGCACGCTATATACATTCTTCCATAGCCCTTGTGCCTGGGGATGGGAGTGGAAGTACAGATACAACGGGGAAACATTGTAGCGCAGTCAAATATGATGATTGTATGAATACCTACACAAGATATGGCTCGGTACTAGTTATTGGTGGAGAAGATTGGTAAAGATGGATCCTAGATTCTACAAAAGCAAAGGATTTACGAGAGTTGCTGATTCCTAGGTTATGGGACTGAGCAACTGACTGCACAGGGAATCGTATATACTTACTCGTAACAATACGAGCCTTTAATCTGCAATAATCACATTCTTAACAATCTGAATGCGGGACAATTGAAATATAGACATTAAATAACTATCAAAAATAAAAATCGCTAAATTCAATACATTACACTCCCTGCTCTAGGAACTACCAGAATACCTTCTTCTAACAACCGTTCCGCCAGTTCAAAAATCATCCCATCACATCCTTTTCTCGCAATAATGTCAATTGCCACGGGTAGATATTCTGTTTGTAAGGATATGGTAGAGTTGTATGCGGCTTGGCCTATTGGGAACACCATATCGGGGACTTCGGCAAAGTTGGATACGCGGCTGACAGACCATCCAGAGGGTATGTCTGGGAGACTACTCCATTGAACTCAGTTAGTAAAAAAATGGGTTTGGGAGTAAAATGTTTTAAGTTTTTGCTTGTTAGACTGCAGCCCAGACTATCGGATACTTTGATGGATATATGAAAAAAAAATTACGTACCTGGTGTAGACGTTTCTATATGATGTTTCTGCCAATGTCCCGGGATAGAGAAGCAAACTTTCGCTACAGCTGACTGGGCTAGAAGGTACAACTTTCTCGGCGAACCAATCCATGAAAAGAGTTTTGTTATAAATGGCTTGTTCGGTTGCATCAGCACTGATGTTGTTCTGTCCCCAAGTCCATCTGCTTAATGGTACGGGGTCAATGAAAGGAGAGGCGCCATCATTTGCAGCAGCGTAATCTGCGTAAAACGGTTCGGCAAGGAGACTGTACTGTTGTTGGGCAATGAGGGTAGGATAGACAAGAGTGAGGAAGTCGTCAATTGATGAACCATTTGCTCCAGATGGGGTTGTTTCGTTCCAAAGAGCCCCCATATCTAGAGCAGTCGTGCTTGTCGAGTTAAGGAACGTTTCTAACTTTGCGAGAAAATCAAGTAAGACTGATTCAGCCTCTGTTGTGGCATTCTCTGGGAAATCTGATGTCAAAATCTTTTTGGGGAATTCAGTGAAGTTGCTTGTGATATTGCTTCCATACAAAACTTTAGCAGCTTCGTGCCACAAAATTGGATCTCTGGTGAGAAGCCCGGCGGTGTCAAGAGTTGGAGACAAAGGCATAACGTTATCCAAGCTAACCATTCCATGGGATGGTCTGTTACCAAAACATCCATTGACTTGAGATGGATTACGAATACTTCCACCAGTATCGGATCCAATGCCAAGGTCTAACCAATCATAAGCACCAATTCCAGCTCCAGGGCCAGAAGAGGAAGAGGATGGGGATTGGTATCCATCACCACGGGGGTTGAAAGGGCAGTGATAGTCCACCCAGTCCGCGGTTGGATCTTCCCCATTAGCAAATTGGGATGTCTTCATTTTTCCGACGATAATTGCTCCTGCATCAATCAAACTCTGGACAGCGGGTCCGGTAACATTTGCTGGTGGATAAAGCTCATAATATGCCCGATTGCCATTACTGGTCTTGATTCCTGCAATATCGTAGATATCCTTAACACCAAGCCGGACTCCAGCGAGAGGCTTTTCAGCAGTTTTAGTATAGTAAAGCCTGGAAGGCACGCCGATAGTAGAACTCTGCACTCCAGGAATGGATGCACTCAGAATAGAAAACGTTCCGTCCGAGTTTTCAATTGTTCCTTCAGTAAAAGCATCCTGTACATCAGAATACAAGCGATAGGCTTTGAAGAGCTCGCCTGTATTTGGTGTTAAGAAGTATGGCCCTGGAGGCATTTGATTATTTGAACTGCTGGTAAACTTTTGAGTTCCATATTCATGACAAACGGCTGATAACGAACTAGAATTAGTAGAACCGACAAGGTGGACAGCTACTTAGGTTAA